CACAACTTGTCCACACACAACTTGTCATCACACAACTTGCTCGCACACAACTTGTCCTCACCAAATCGCTCACTCACGACTTGCCATCACACAACTTGCTTACACACAACTTGTCTTCACCAAATTGCTCCCACACAACTTGTCTTCACCAAATCGCTCCCGCACAACTTGTCCTCACACAACTTGTCCACACACAACTTGTCCACACACAACTTGTCATCGCACAACTTGCTCACACACTTGTCCTCACCAAATCGCTCACGCACAACTTGTCATCACACAACTTGCTCGCACACAACTTGTCTTCACCAAATCGCTCCCACACAACTTGTCCTCACACCACTTGTCCACACACAACTTGTCATCACACAACTTGCTCGCACACAACTTGTCCTCACCAAATCGCTCACACACAACTTGTCCTCACACAACTTGCCCACACACAACTTGTACATGATTTCTGTGTGGCAGGCGTGGCACTTATGGCACTGGGCTGGCTCTGGTGGCGCGCTTGGTTCCCAGTTGACGCCGTGGACGCCGCCGCTGTTTGCGTGGCAGGCGTGGTACTTGGCGACACGTGCGTGCATTCTGCGTGGCAGGTGCGGCACTTGGCGACATGTACGTGCATTCTGCATGGCAGGCGTGGCACTTATGGCACGGTGGCGCGCTTGGTTCCCAGTTGACGCCGTGGACGCCGCCGCTGTTTGCGTGGCAGGCGTGGTACTTGGCGACACGTGCGTGCATTCTGCGTGGCAGGTGCGGCACTTGGTGGCATGGACCTCCACTTTGCGTGGCAGGCGTGGCACTTATGGCACTGGGCTGGCTCTGGTGGCGCGCTTGGTTCCCAGTTGACGCCGTGGACGCCGCCGCTGTTTGCGTGGCAGGCGTGGCACTTGGCGACATGGACCTCCACTTTGCGTGGCACTTATGGCACTTGGTGACATCGACTTCCACTTTGCGTGCCAGGCAAGGCGCTTGGTGACATCCACCTTCGTTTCACGTGGCAGGCGTGGCACTTGGAGACATCTACCTTCGTTTTGCGTGGCAGGTGTGGCGCTTGGTGACATCCACCTCCTTTCACGAACCATCTTTCACACACCACTTTGTCACCCACCATCTTTGACAAACCATCTTTCACACACACCACTTTGTCACACACCATCTTTGACACACCACTTTGTCACACACCATCTTTCACACACCATCTTTGACACACTATCTTTCACACACCACCTTTGTCACACACCAGCTTTCACACACCACCTTTCACACACCATCTTTCACGCCCACCTTTGTCACACACACCATCTTTCACACACCACCTTTCACCCACCATCTTTCACACACCACCTTTCACCCACCATCTTTGACACACCATCTTTCACACCATCTTTCACACCACTTTGTCACACACCATCTTTCACCACACAATCCTTCACACACCATCTCTCACACACCAGCTTTGACACACCATCTTTGACACAACATCTTTCACACCATCTTTCACACACCGTCACAGGCTTTCGCACACCACTTTGTCTCACACCATCTTTCACCACACCATCCTTCACACACCACTTTGTCACACACACACACACCCCATCTTTCAACACACCACCTTTCACACACACACACAACTTTGTCACACATCATCTTTCACCACAGCGGCTTTCACATACCACTTTGTCGCACACCATCTTTTACACACAACTTTGTCACACGCTCTCTTTCACACAACTTTGTCACACACACACACACCATCTTTCACACACAACTTTGTCACACATACACAATTTTGTTCTACTTCTCGGTCCTCCACCTCCTTTGTCTTTCCTTTCTTCCCCGTCCCCGCTACAACATGCGGTGCTCATTATTGGAAGACTTTGCCATGTGGGGTTATCTGGTCCTTTAACTCTGTGCCCCGCAATGTTCCAGCATGGCTTAGACACAGAAAATCATTAGACCAAAACACAACCGAAAGGCAATTGCTGACCAAGTGAGCTGTAAACACAACAATTTCTGAGCACTAAGTTTGATCATTCGACGCCACAACAATCTGATTGAAACTGTTCACTTGCTTTGCATATGACACAATTCCAGAAGCCGCTTGTGCAAGCCAACGGCTGCATACAATATCCTTTGGCCATACAATGTGCCATCTGCTTTTCCCACTTACGCGTCGCGTCTTTAGCCCTTGCCACATTTTTTGCCAGAGCTTTGCTACCTGTGTTGCTATTGCTTTTGCCCGCAATGCAAGTTTCCCTTTCGTTGCCACGTGTGTTGCCAAGGGCTTTTGCTCGCAACCCAAATTTTGCCATTCAATTTGCCGCCTGTGCTTTTGCCCCCGCCACGTATTTGCCAGTGTTTTTTGCCACCGATGTTGCCATTACATTTGCCCCCGTCGCTTTTTTCTATCCATGTTGCCCTGCAGATTGCCACCGCCATTGCCATTGCCATTGCTTTTGCCCTCAAAGTTGCCATCTTTGTTGCCATCAAATTTGGGCGCCTAATAGAGCATTGTTCTTGAATTTTAGATAAATCATAATCATCATAATAATGATCATCATCAACATCATCACCATGATCATGTATGACCATCATCAACATCATCATCATGATCATCATCATCATAATCATCATCATCAACAACATCATCATCATGATCATGTATGACCATCATCAACATCATCATCATCATGATCATCATCATCATGATCATGATCATCATCATCATCAACATCATCATGATCATGTATGACCATCATCAACATCACCATGATCATCATCATCATCAACACCATCATCATCATCATCATGATCATCATCAACATCATAATCATCATCATGATCATCATCATCAACAACAACATCATCATCATCAACAACATCATCATCATGATCATCATCATCAACAACAACATCATCATCAACAACACCATCATCATGATCATGTATGACCATCATCAACATCATCATCATCATGATCATCATCATCATCATCACCAACATCATAATCATCAACATCATCATCATCATCATGTATGACCATCATCAACATCATCACCATGATCATCATCATCATCATCATGATCATCATCATCAACACCATCATCATCATCATCATCATGATCATCATCATCATCATCATCACCAACATCATAATCATCATCATGATCATCATCATCAACAACAACATCATCAACAACATCATCATCATGATCATGTATGACCATCATCAACATCATCATCATCATCATGATCATCATCATCATCATGATCATGATCATCATCATCATCAACACCATCATCATCATCATCATCATCTTCATCTTCATCTTCATGATCATGATCATGATCATGCGTATCTAGCCAGAACATCATCAGCAGGAACAGAAGCCGCCCTGCCCGCGCCTTCTGCTGAACTCGCCAAGCTCTCCAGAACTAATCGCCGGAGTAGGGTCGTTTTGCCGCTACCAGGGCTGCCCCAAACCTAGCGTTGAGGAAGTCCAGAATTCACTCGGGATCTTATTAAGAAATTGAAACAGCAAATTTAGTAATGGCTCAAAGAATACTGAGCCCAATGTAAGCAGCTCGTGCAGTTGATTGTAAGCTGTATTTAAAAAAACACACATCCAACGGATGAATTTGGTGGGAAACTCTTTTGTTTTGTTTTTTATATATATTTGTTTCTTTCCTCGGTGATCACCAATCCTCTGTCTCTGAGGTGTTTATGACCTGAGGGACGGGATTTCCATCTTGAATGGTTTGAATGACCTCAATCTGTATCTTCAACAACCATGTAAACAATGTTAAGTCCCTCCATATTAGTGCCAATAAATAGTAATAGTAATCCCAAAAACAATAGAACAGCGATTCATAATGATTTATATCACTATCTACAGTAGTAAGGTTTCACTTTCCATCACTCTCTGGGGGTTGCTATATGGCAGTAATATATGGTTGAACCATTCCGCAACGTCTGAGTTTGGCACCACAACAGCACGGCGCTGCACGGCACCGGCTTCTCGAGCCTGCATGGGGATGATGTTCAGTGTGTTAAGGTGGAGCATGAATTTACCCATCATGTGGATATGTGTTTTTTGTTTAAGATATGTTCCAAATGAGGACGTATTTACTTATAGATGTTGAGATGTCAAAAATGTTTGATGGAAACATGATATATATATATATATATACAAATAATATGATGATGATGATGATGATGGTGATTATGATGATGATGATGATGGTGATTATGATGATGATGATGATGATGATGATGATGATGATGAAGTATCACATGAAGGAGCATCTAGAAGCTATGACATCTATGACAACCGTCAAAACAGTGGGGATGCAACGCAACGATGAGATTGGATGATGATCTTGAGACCCAACCAGTGTAGACACAATCCTTTGGCGTCTTGAAGTGTTCGGTTGATGATCACAAATAGGTAGCATTGAGTATTCCCAATTCCCCTCTGGAAATTCAACATGTATATATATATATATAAATACATAATATGTATATATCATATATTGTCATATATACGTATATGGAACATAACAATGCTCAACAGGCAAATTATCCATAAGTTTAAACTGGGCCATGTTCAATTGCTACGTTAGTTTACTGGAGGGTAGCCCTGGCTTTTTGATGAGGCTTTGAGGGTGGCCTTGTTGGAAATGGGCGCGATATCTTGCATCAGTTGCCGCCATGCCCTCGCGAAAAACGTTGATGGGACAGAGTTCTTACTGATTTACTGGTTCTGAAATATCCAAAAGTGTTCATAACACCTTTATCATCACTGGACATGATGGGGATGCTTTTGACTGCCAGCCAGCATGCAACATATCTGGCACCAATCTCAGTTCTGGGCTGCTCATGGGGTTCCAAGCTGGTACTATCCACGCCCTCCATTTCCAGGTCAATGTCACTCTCCTTGGGAAAATTCTGGCACTCGATCAAGCTGGCTGATGTCCAGTTCGATGACTCCAACTCAGCCTCCCACTGCAGAAGAAGAACTGGAGTCACCGGCACTTTCGCTGTCAAAGTCTTGACTGTTCACCTGTCAAGCGGCTGCGAATGGTGTTTCATCTTTCTCCATAAGAATGGTACCCGCACGTCTGGCTTTAGATTGATCAAACAAAGTTAAAGTGCTGGCCCTGGAACGAAAACATAAGAAATTGTCTGGTGGACCTCAACAGGTGGTTTCCACTCAATACAACATCACTTCGTCCAATCATGTCATAACATTTTGGCGTGCAACCACAAATCACACATGCCTACAAGCCCACAGAGCAGAACTTCATCCGAATAATTACCAACGGAGTCAGATTGAGTTTGTGATGGTTTGTGCAAACGTGTCAATTCACCCGACATAGAGCAAATATCCATTCTTGAAACTTTGAGTCGAGTTGTATCGTACCCTTATCAACCCCTTAATGGAATCTAGGGGCTGAATGGCCAAACCCTCCATGATGGATTGTAGTTCGAAGTTCGGAGGCCCCAAGACTTTTTCCCAGTGATTCTTTATAACCTTCCTTATAAACCAACAAGCACGTCACTTTCATATATGTTCACCATTGAATCTACAATTAGAATAAATTGCTTCTGGTAAGCCACCGAAGAACATGCCCTGCAATAAACTGAAATAGCTATGGCAGCTATGCCCCCTTTAGTTCGATGATTGTCCACTTCAAACCTCCATTGCACTGGGGATTTCTCATTGATTCCGTGCTTCTCCCAGCACCGGAGCTTACCCGCTGCCTCCATCTTGTCGTGTAACAGGATCAACGCAAAGGGAAGCGACAAGATGTCAATGAAGCGGGACTCAGTGGACAGGGATATTCCCTTTGGCCATAGGAAATATTAAGATCATAGTTTGGACTATTCATGTGTTTTACTGTTCTAAATGGAAAGTCAATGAACATCATCTATAATTACCATGATCTTAAATCTGTAAAATCTGTACAATGTCCAGTGGTTTCTATTGTGTTAAAAATCTTAAATAATACATACTACAAGCCCTGATGCTATCCACTGATATCCACTGAACATAGACGAATGTAGGGGATTCTGGCTGGTTTAAGGGAACATCTACTGGTTTTACCGCCTAAAACTTGTTAATAAAGTCCTTGGAACATCCTGTAGTTTTTCCCATAAACCAAACACATGATGGATGGGGCAAAAGTCACTCGTCTCCATCCGATTTCAAGGTCCAGAAAAGACCTGGAACCTGGTTCAGTCAGTGGGACCCTTGGATCCCTTGCGAGGGCAAGGGGGTACTGTGGCAGGCATTCTGCTGGTGGCTGACATTCTGAGCATATGCCGCTGATTGAGGCTTTGTGTTGCCCAAGCGGTATCAGTGCCCATTTAGGCGGTTGCATGCCAACGGCAAATCAGAATATCACCATCATGTTACTGGACTTGTTTCCAGCCGTCCCATCGAAATTCCATCAAATACAGTATAAATATATATATACATTGAGGGCCCACCATCAAGAATGCATTTTTCATAGGCGGATGCGGCCCCAAAAGCAGGACCTGGTGGCAGCGCCGTTTGAGCACAAGCCGACTGACAGCTAAACGCATGCTCCACTACCGAACTGTGAGGAAACCAATTGCAACGGATTGGGATTGTGTTTGGGAAGGCATGTGGATCGAAAACAGGCAAGGGGTGTAGAACCCCATGTGGACAAACTCCAAGGAGACCGCACTGCCCGAAACGATTGCTCCTCAAACCCGCGTGTAACTAAAGTTGTAAAGGATCACGCCCTTCCTGGATTTCGCCCCTTGTACGTCCCGACTACGCCCTCAAACCTGTAAATAAGGGATTATATCCCTCCCGTCTGTGGTTACGCCCCTTGTACATGTAAATAAAGGATCACGCCCTTCCCATCTGTGATTACGCCCCTTGTGCATCCCGATTACGCCCCTCAAACCCCATGTAAATAAGGGATTGCGTCCCTCCCATCTGTGGTTACGCCCCGCGTACGTCCCGATTACGCCCCTCCAACCCGAATGTAAACCAGGGATTACGTCCCTCTTAGCGCTTTGGCCGTATATACTATAGTATATTCCAAAGCGCGCGGACGGGATGCAGGGCAACAAGTGCACGCCACACACTTCTCCCAAGATGCGCGCAAAACAGCTTCCTGACAGAAGCGTTGTAAAGGCAGCGCGCTGCCAGAGCGCAAGAGGTTAGCATGGCTTCTTGCGGCCCCGGAAAGTGGACCCTTTTCACTGATTCAAAACAGCTTCTGCACCATGTCCCCTCATAGTGTTATATGGATGTGTGTGTCCATGGCGGCTTGCATTGCAGAAGGAAGGCTGGCGCCAGCAAATGGACGAAATCCGGGCTGTCAGGACCGTCGAGCAGCTCCTGTTTGCTCTTTCGTGGTCCCAAAAATGGGGCCAAAAACCGGCCCCAAAAACAGGGCCGCAATATTGCTGGAAGAAGGCAAGGCTTCCAAAATGGAGGCCCCGTTTCTGGGACCAGGGTGTTGCATACACCGTCAGCCCCCCTCTGCGTGCAGTGAGTAACGGAGACTCCGGAACCTTTCGTTTGTTTTCCTGGCAAAGGGCTTGACAAAGCCTCATCCAAGTCTTACAGTATATAATTATATTATATATATATATATCTGGTCAATCATTTGGAATTGTCTGAAAAGGTGCACACGTGGTACTGTATATTACGCTTATATAACCCATTCCATCCACTGGTAACAAACCTCATTTTCGCATTCAGCATCACCATAATATGGATGATCCATGGATGCGACACCCAAACAGCTGGTACTGTTTTTCTGCATCTTCATCCCAAAACAAATATGGTAAGAGTAAGAATGGGTAATGATAGGTTTTATCATCTGTGATCCGTTCCCATATATACCATATCATGCTTTGGAGGAACCCCGAAATCTTTGGAGAACCCGTCCCATATCATTTGTCGTCGCCCGGCCGCTGTCAGTGCATCTCGCAGGTATCCGTTCCGCATCCGAAGGTCCTCTACGTACTGTTTGGAGCACCTGGAGAAAGCCGATGAATGGGGCTGTCAACAGGCAGGCCATGGCAGGCCAAACACAGAGAAATTGGGATTGACTTAACAGCAAAAAAAAAGGATGGAATCAAGAAAACCTGCTGTATCTGGCAGCTGAAGGGGTCGAATATTTTCCTGAACATGCTTTAACATTTGAAACAATGACCAAACCCTTCAAACTTCCAAGGCAAGGGAAGAGCCCTTTTTTATGTCTCATGATATCTTATCTCTATGTGATAGGTTTAAAAATGTTTAAAATACCTTACAATAATCAATGGATCTTTGTTTTCTTGTGTTTTCAATATCAAGTCAACGACTGCGCTCTACAGAGAAATGGTGGAGAACATCGACATTCCAGGGCCAGGGCGCCAGGTGTAGTTGGCGAGGCTGAGCTTCGCAGGTGTGTGGTTCAAGTCGTTGAGACTCCTTAACGACAGGGAACATATGCGACAGGGCTGGTGAGGGACGGTATTTTCCCCCCAAAATGGAGGCTTATTCAGGGTTATAAAGGTATAACTAATGAGAATGGGAATAGCCTGATAGCATGATATTATGCGTGCCTCAAGGACCAACTGGTACACAAATTTCTGCTCATTGGGGTTTTGATTGTTGCAGGTGCGACCACTTTTCGAGCAGAAGAATGGATTTGATTTCGGGGCATCACCCATCTTGAAATACAGAAAAATAATTTCAAGACATAACTGTAGGATACTGTAGGCAGTGCGAGCGCCAGCTCTCGAGACGTGATGTATATATATATTATCATATCATATGATATTATATCATATTATGTTATATTATATTACAATATAAATATTATAAATTATAAATATATAGATTGTCTTGCGGTAAATGAACGGGAACCCTGCTGCCGAATCGGGGAATATTGCCATGCTTACCCTGAGTCCTCCAATATTTCAAGTGCAGCAAAACTCTGTGGCCAATGTCAATGTATTCAACGGATACAGAGCAACCTATCTCCGAGATCTTTAAATCAGTACAGCACCATGTGAATGAAATGAAACCTGCTACCTGCTACCATGACTTCTTCTATGAGAAACAACTTACACAAATCCCCGGATTCATCTCATAGTTCTATGTTCTTTTACATATTTTTAGGGCTGGGATGCCACCAGAAGAACTCGCAGGTGGGAAATCTATCTATCAATCATCCTGGTATTGAGTACCATGGATCAATTATTTTATGATATTGTGTGATGTTTTGTGCATCAGGAGGCAAGCAAGAGTAGAGTATCCAGTATGTGCCCTACATCCAACATATCCTCAAATGTAGTGCCACTGTGTCACCCTTGCTACTTCTGTTTCTATTCTTCTGCACTCCTGGTATACTAGATTTCACCTATCCATCGAGTGATGGTTGGCTTAATTCCCGTTGGGCGTCCGACCTGCTTTGTTGGTAAAGTCACCACTTGGATGATTCTTGTAAAAAAAAAACATTGGGTGTGGCTACATGTGGCTATAAATGGGCATTTCCTACATTTTAATACGATGTTCCAATACAATATAAACCATCCATTTTGAGGTACCCATATTTAAGGAAACCCCCAAAACATTGACTCCATTCTGATCCTTTTTCGGCTTTGTCTTGGTACCACATGTTTTTTTTCGCCGTACACGTGGCACATCCAATGGTTGCCGTCCAGGTCTCACTTTCACTCTCTTCCTTGCTCCGCTCTTTGGGTCTCGTATGTAGACTTCGTGGAAGTTTCCATAGCTAATACCTTGGAGGACACGGTCATTTCAAACACATCTGCTCTACTCACCCATAGAACTGAATGAATTGAATGGGTCATTTGAGTAGATGGACCAACAAATGGTGGATGACTTTGGAGTCCCTGATTCTTCTGTACTGGGTAGATTCCAATCACTCAGTGGTTTCGACGTTTCAGGACAAATCCTGTCATGATCTACCTAATCTTGCCAACCACCTAGGATATGAAGAATTTCTGATTTGCCAATGCAGTTAAATGATGTTAATGATGTTGCATGAACTTAACCAGGTATAACAACATGTACTGTAAGGGAACAAGAGGCTCAATCCTTTTAAAATTGGTACACATGTTCGAGGGTTAAAGACATTTCGCCATGATCCGAACAAACGGACTCATTGCAAGTCTATTGATGCATGCATACATATCTAGACCGGGAAGTGTTCACTACAGTACAATGGTCACTAATGCTTTCAAAATCGATGGTCCTTTCAAAGTATTTCTAACATCCTATGCTGCCCCATTGGAGTCAGTTCATGATCCAACTTCTGCGGGAAAAAACCCAAGGCTATCCCAAGGGTTACTGTTGCTCCAATCATGTTTGCGTATTTGCCCAGAAAAAAAAAAAAAACTATTTAAGGGGGGAAACCCAGTAATCTACCTACATTTGGAGATGGTTTTTACAACCCATTTACATATGGTGATTTTGGGGATAGTTTCTTGGGTTTACCACATTATATAGATTAATTTATGAAGGTTCTAAATGTTTTAAAGTAGCCCTGAAAAGGTCCGGGGTTTCCCAGCCGCCTGCCATGATTGAAGCAGCATTGAAACCACCACCAAGGTGCTATGCACTATAGCATCAATCCATCCACCGCTCATGAAGACAATCAAGGGCTGTGTCTGTGCGTAGCGGAAGACCCCCGCCAACCTCAACGATCTGCGAGGCTTGCTGGGATGAGTTCATGATTTAAATATATTTAAATCACCATTTCGAAGACATTTTCATGTTTGATTTGCCGGAAAGTAACATGAAAACCAATCACAATAATCACAACAAGAAAGATGAGATGGGTTAATCCGAACTGATCCGAACCAGTCATCAACTGTTGGATGCTTTCAACATCTTCTATCTTTTGTCAAATTCAGAGTCAACTGGCATCTGCATCATCTGCATGTATATTCCTTCTGAGTTGAAACAAGCTAACCACCCGATAGCAATGGTTTGAAGAGCAATATGACAATATCCATCTTGGACACATACACAAGCACACACACACACACATCTCAGGATTAGGACTATTTGCAGAGGTCTTGAATCTCGAATCGACCATTTGAGACCCATCGTGAGCCATCTAGGTGCTGAGGTGGCTTAAAGCAAGACAGATGTGAAGATATTGACAAAAATCTCCTCTCAGTGCCCCCAAGTGGCTTTGGGATGGAACGTATTCTGTACATCCTGTGAGTAAAAGAAAAGATACATCCACTGAAGGCCGAGAGGCTCGTAGTTGCCGGGCTGCGGATCAAATAAAGCTGTGCCCTTGATGCCATCCAGCTGAATTTCGTAGAGGCCTGACCCATGGGATCCGATGGAGACTTCCTGGGAATATTAAGGGAAAATTGACAGATTTTACTGGAATCCATGGGGCCAGGGTTCAAAATTGAGTGGTGTTGTTGTTGTTCGTTTGAGAGGAATCCCTTGGCTTTTTATCACTATAGGAAGTTCATGTATGTCAATTGTCCCTTCATCGATACGCGTCGGATCTCAGGGCTGACCGCTCCAGCGTCCGCTGTCGCGCCGCAGAGCAAAGTGCTGACGAATAGGGATCATCATCTGAATACAGGGATTTCATGGATTGTATTTATGATTTCTTGATATCCTAGAACCCCTCGCATCAGGGTTGCCATATTAGATTTGGATAGATTTGGATTGAGAAGTCACCCCATTTTCAGAAACACAGCATGCTGTGACGGATCATTGTCATTCCAATTCAGTCATCCAAGACATGTGCAATCCACGCAGGAGTTGTGATTGTCTCGATCAAATTCAATCAGTGGGTTTAAGCCCTAGAAGTGAAAGTCTTGAATCAAATTGCTCATGCAATCACCAAAACATCGCTTTGAAACCTAGTCCACTATCCACTCAGATATGGCTAACAAATGGCTATGATGGCATCTGCCAATTGTGTTTCAACCCTTGCAACTCTTGGCCTCATAGCCTCTAGTACCTATAGCCACTGAACTAATCCTGGCAATCATGGCAATGAAACATTAGAAATTAGCCATGCTTAGTAGATGTAGGTACTAGTAGATACCTGCTCATTCACCATGGTCACCGTAGATATTAGTGGAACATCACTGCGTTGATGATTTAGCAATTTTACATTTGTACAGTGGTCCTGGTGATGTCATCTACACCACTGGCAGTCTTCGGGGGTGATCCCAGTCCAACCTGGTCTTGATGCGGACAACTCCACGATGGTCGCAGTATGCTTGGGCATCATCTTCCGGTCCTTGAGGAAAGCAAAGCCAGTTGCGAAGACAGCAGGACATTCTCCGGTTTGAACGGCGATACAGTTAAAAGATGTAATTCAAAAACAAACAAGGACATTCGAAGACCAAGTTTTTGCTGAATCCATGCATCCGTTAGAGGACTTTTACCCCTGGGAAAAAACATGTCGTTTTTGCACGAGTTACTAATGACACCCTCGCGGTGTGCTCTGGTCCACATCTCGGAGGATCGAGGATTCCAACACCCAGCTCCAGCATGGGCCACCAAGCTACAGCAAATTTGGTAGCTAGTAAAAAAAACTGTGTAGATCACATTCTATTCAGATCTAAAATGAATAACTAACAATAACTATATTGATAATCCCTACCACAGTCTCGCTGTAAACTTCGCCAACTGCAGGGCATCACTGTTTGGTGTTGACTTCCTCGATCCAAAGATAGCTGCTATGGCAGCCAAGAGTCATGGCCGGCACCTTTGCCCACTTCTTCTCGACTGTCCTGAAATCAAAAATGTGAAGAAACAAAGGATGAATTGGGTATGATGGTGATGTGAGCATCCCCGTCAGTTAATCAATCATATCCAACTTTTGACCATGGCACAATGTGGAATTCCATGCGGTGACCTCAATGTGCCTCTGGTCTGTATGTCACTGCTTTGAAATCTTACAGCAAATTCAAATACTTGGGGATGGATCATCCCTATTTTGGTAGGACATCCATTGACCAGCAATGTTCAGGGTTCACCAGGGTACCAGGGTCTTGACCCATACCCATTTTGTTGGAATCTGAATCAGTCTCCAGACCCCGGCTCTTGCCAAACGCAGAGTAGATAAGGGTCCAAAATGGACAGGACATCATACTCCAAAAGGCAGGCCATGTGTTTCTATGTGTGGTCATGTTAAAACCCAATCTTGAACCAAACCAACCAAAACCACACAGTTTCCCTCCCCCTATAACAATAGATATTCCCTCAGAAACCCTGGTTTACCGGATCTGTTCATTGCAGAGTCCAATGTAGGGAAAATTATGGGGAAATTTGATGCTACAGGCATGGGGTTTTCCCCACATCTGCAAAACATTCTGCAACCAAAGGATCCTTCCTGCTCGCTTCTGATTTGTTGCTGTCCTTGGCAGCCAGAAGTGTCTGCTTGAAAGGAAAACAGCAAACAACACAAAGCAGCAGTTTCAACAAGAAGTTTGAATTGGTCATTTCCTAATTTGTGCCATCTTAGTGCGCAAAAATGAGATGTTGTCTTTTTTTTGATAGAGTCTCCCTCACATGTTATGATCATCCCTAGGGCCTCGATTTTGCAGCAAAGCAAGCTGCATGTGCAGGCTGCCGGTCACCCGATATGGGTAGGGTGAAGAGGCAAAAAACAACAAAAAAATATGACTTCAATAATCCATTTAGGGATGAGAACTTCCCATGTTGGATCATGTTTGGAGTTGCGCGAAGAATTGGTTCACTCTCACAATTCTTGGAATTTATGAAAATCCTCACTCGTAGCACATGAATTTGGAGTGAGGGCAAGAATGACCTGAACCATGATAGCATCGAAAGCTTCCAATCTTCCGATCCAACATTTCCAATCTGCAGTGACCATCACCCATCGCACTCCGTATTTGGCAAGCAGCTCGTCTTTGGAGCTCAGGTTCCTTGCGAGATCGACTTTGCCATACCACACCAAAGCAGTGAACATGTCATTTTGCATCATCTTCGCCATCAAAACGGGTTCCCACACTTATAATCATATATCATATCATATATAATCATATATAATCATAAATAAATATATACATATATATATATATATATACCTGAATGCTCCCTGTTGTCCTTTTAATTGCCGCTAAGGTTCTGGCTGGGTAGAACAACCGTTGGAGAAACAAAACCATATATATATATAATATTTATATATCATATATATATATATATATCATATATAATTACATATATTCATATATAATCGTACAGAACCAACCAGAACCACCTAATCAGCTGCTATCAGGGCAAAGTTGCGGCACTCTGGATGTCGAATCAGTCAATCCACGGATATCTTCATTGACACACCGCAATATTTTGCACGCCAAGTGTCGGTTTTCTTCGAGTCTTGCCTCTTGGAGCCCTTAGGATCGCGAAAGCACACCCAGAGCGTTGATGAAGTCAAGTGAGTCAAGTGAGTCAAGTGAGTCAAGTGAGTCAAGTGAGTCATTGGAAGGGTAATCGAAACATCGATAAACATCGATGATCCTTGCATATCAGCGCTCCACACGATTCCCCCTTGCCCCCGTGTCAAATCTTAAATGGTCAACGCCGTGTCACAAAAATATTCATACCGAACGCCGAGCAAATTCACTGGACCCCATGGGGCCCCGGCCCCTCGCTTGTTGGGTGCCTCTTCAAAGACAATCTGGTCCTGACCCAGTGGGAATCGGAGTGTCATCTGGTGGGTTCCCATAAATGGGGATACCCCATAATTATTTAAATGGATGATTTTTGGGTACCGCTATTTTAGGAAACCTGCATATTCGACCTCTCTTCAATCCATGCAGGTTCATTTCTCTGAACTGCACGTCGATGTGTCATGTTTTGTCAAATTCATCAGCACGTCTTGCCGTCTTGCCGCATGCCAACCACTGATTCGGGCATCGGTCAGATCCAAACTAGGACCTTCGTGATCATCAGCAATTTAAAAGAATAGGCCAAACAACGTAATTTATCTGAACGCCGGGTATATGCCTTGCTCAAAAATCAAGGGTGTCGTTTTTCTTTGGGGGCCCGATCTCATGACAGTATTTGGGATCAATCTGTATTGGAGCTTGCAAATGCCATCAAACATGCCGCGGCATTACGCCCATGTTTGGCATACGTATGCTACTAACCACCCAGCTGACCAATGATGCCGGCCCGCGAGGCTGCAAATAGCGACACTACCATTCAGTTGCAAATGCCCAAAAAAAGGAAACTTAAAGCTGGGCAAAAGCAACTAGTGACTAGTGATTTAAAAAAACAAAACATGTAAAGGGATGCTCTTTTTTTGTTGATATCTTTTGCGTTTCATTCTATTTCGCGTTCTGCTTGGTTTCTTTCAATGGACTCGACATGTCCAATTTTCCGAACACAAAAACTTCTGATTTGCCTGTCATGAATTACAATCAGTTGTTCAATTAACTTCCAAATGGGTGCCAAACCATCAACTTTGACCGTTTAAAATCTAGGTTTTTGCCTTTGGGTGGAATCCAGTGTTTCCTACACTGTCCTTCCATTTGTGACCTGCCGCCCTACCCTGCCCTATTAAATTGATCTAGCGTATTTGACCGTACCTCATCTAATAGTTTCAGGGTTGCTAATTTTGAGCCACCACATTTTCCACAACCTAAAAACCACGTGACACACTATCAGGGCAGAAGGGCCTGACGCAGCAAACGAATTCTTGTGCCCTTGGAAAGGACTCGAACCTGCCACTTGGTTTCCACTCAAACCGGGCCACAACCCTCTCTGATGCATTCTATATCACTTAAATCATGTTTTGGCCACAACAGAGTCCAAGAAAACGACATGCATCGGCATGTGGAAGATGGTCGTTCATGGTTTCAAGTGAGTATTCCGCCACACATGATGAAATCATAATAAACCAATCCAACATCAAATCGTGTGACGCCCCAAAGTTTCAGCTCCAGCTATCTTGTAAACAGCATTCACTGCATCCAAAAATACCTCTGGGCTGTAGCGGAATTTCAAGGTTAGGTCCACCGTGGCTGCCTTGGCATCATTAAACATCTGCTGTTCACCAATTGGTTGAACATGTTGAAAACAAATTCCGGGGATTGCAATTTGTGAATGAGTGGGTTCTTGGTGCTCCCAAGTTTGACCAGGCCATGCCGGGGCATATGTAGTTTGTTTCTTTCACGGTTGTTTGGGTGGAATGAGGGTGAGCTGTGCAATCAAGTTGGACAATAATCAATCAAAAGCAACTGTGAGAAAAATGAAATTCAGAAAATGCAACCTGAGCAATCCACTATGTCAAGATCTCTGGCCACTACCAAAAGGAACAATTTGGTTGGGGCCACAGCTGTAGTTGGAAGCACCGATATCACGATTGGGGCCCTGACCTCTCGTCGAGCGTCGCTCCTCGACAAATTCTGTTGTGACCAACGCTCGTCTTTTTCAGTTGATTTGTCCAACATGAAACCCAAATTTGCCTGCAACATCGTGGCAGTGGGTCCTCTTCTCTTGTCAAATGTTGACTACCATTTTGTTGCATAGATGCGGTGCCCCAAAAACAACTACACTCCAACCCGGTTCGTGTTTGGTCCTCAGGAAAACAGAGAAAAATTGAACCAAACTCAAATTTTGTTTTCAAAATCACTTTCAAACCACAAGCTCACATCAACGCCGCTGTGGCAAGGCGCTTTAGAAAGTTCTCGTAGTCAAACAGGACGAGTTTCGTGACCTGGTCATTCTGTGCCATGGGGTGTGCCTAGAATGGCCTAGAGTTGGCCCTCTCTGCTTGCGTGCCCCAAACAAATAATCTTGGAGGCCCGCGCGCTGGCAATTGGCCTTGACTTTGAGCCAAAAGCGCATCCTTGACGCCAAGTGGTTGTGTCCCGCGCGGCGCGAAATTAGCAGCGTCATTACGAAGGCGGGTGGCAGCAGCCAGCCAATCAAACAAGCCAACCAAGTGGCTGAAAAAAGAATGCCTGAAACTCGCACGCCTCGCCTGCTTTTCCATATTGCAACTATCGACCCCTGCGCAGCTGCTGCAAGAAGAGTGCGGCTCGTTTTATTGATTCTACCCTGTGTACTTCACGTTGGGTAGACGTGGGGGGGGGGGTTAGCCCACAAATTCCTGACTTTGCTGCACTGGGCTATTTTCCCCGTCAGGATGAGAGAGGCCAGATGACTGTTGGGAGCTGGCGGGTTGGGGTGGGGTGGGGGGGGATGTTAACGTTCCATGTGACTTGCTCTCGTTGTTGATGCTACGCCACGCAGGGGTTGGGGTGGGGGGGGATGTTAACGTTCCATGTGACTTGCTCACGTTGTTGATGCTACGCCACGCAGGGGTTGGGGTGGGGTGGGGGGGGGATGTTAACGTTCCATGTGACTTGCTCACGTTGTTGATGCTACGCCACGCAGGGCTTGGGGTGGGGTGTTAACGTTCCATGTGACTTGCTCACGTTGTTGATGCTACGCCACGCAGGGGTTGGGGTGGGGGGGGATGTTAACGTTCCATCATGGTGCTCGTCCACTTGCTTGTTTGGTAATGTGATTGCTCACGGGATGCTACGCCACGCCCGTTCCATGTGACATGCTACGCCACGCAGGGCTTGGGGTGGAGGGGGGATGTTAACGTTCCATGTGACTTGCTCATGTTTGTTGATGCTAGGCCACGCAGGGGTTGGGGTTGGGGGGGGATGTCAACGTTCCATGAGACTTGCTCACGTTGTTTGATGCTACGCCACGCAGGGGTTGGGGTGCATGGGGGGGATGTTAACGTTCCATGAGACTTGCTCACGTTGTTGATGCTACGCCACGCAGGGGTTGGGGTAGGGTGGGGGGGGATGTTAACGTTCCATGTGACTTGCTCTCGTTGTTGATGCTACGCCACGCAGGGGTTGGGGTGGGAGGGGGGGAAGTTAACGTTCCATGAGACTTGCTCACGTTGTTGATGGTACGCACTTTAGACATGAGTGTTCCTGGTTAGACAGATGACACATGGAAAAGATTTGAATTGCCACACACTTTAGACATGAGTGTGTTTAAAGGAGTGAAAGTAAAGACGAAAAACCGCGACGATCTACTGTAAAGGTTCAAAAATCCGTTCAGATGTTCAAAAAATGATCGAAAAGTTCATACACGTGTCTATGAACAAAGGAAATCATATTTCGCAACGAACAAGAAAGCAAATGAATTGATGCCACAAAAAAGATACGCCACCTAGGCGAAAACGCGGTTTTCTAACATGGACGATGTGGGAACATGAAGTACGATGAAGTGGAGAATACTTTGCCAGAATTCAACACAGCTGAACTCGGGCTAACCCCCCCGTCAACCCTTCACGTTGCTTCATGCCTGTGTGCAGTATGGCATGAGATCTGCGGCACCAGTGCACTTTTTAGCATCGACGAGGTTCCGGTCGGTCGCTATGTTTGTATGCTTGTGTCTGGATGCACAAAACTGATTCAAATTGTGTGCGTGTGTCCGTTTCCAACTTTCCTGGAACTGGGAATGCTTTGAATGTCTGTCTGGACAGAAATTCCTGTTTCCGTAGCGCCAAGAAAGGATCCATGGGAGCAAAGAGGCAGAATGACTTATATGGTCGTTCTCAATACGCCAGCAAGATGCCTTCCCCTGCTGATTTGACATTTCTCCGTTTGTGCGTGATTTACATAGAATAATATGCTCCGTTTGGACAGCAATCTTCTCCTGGAATGTTTGGACCCATGGTAGGCGGGATGCAAAAAAACTAGTGATCCAGTCCTATTGTATGTTTGCACACCTTGCTACGAATGACGATTATATGTGTTATGTATGTTATGATATGTATTCATTTGCTTGATATGGGGAGATTGCTTTGGGGTGGGAAATGGGAAGTTGAAAGATCACAAATGTTCATTGAAATTGTCCGTTCTTTCAAGAATTATTGTTTTCATTCAGACCTTGGGTTATCAAAATCAATCATTAATTCGGTGCAAGTAGATATTCTTACTGCAAGGGATGGCAAACAGAAGCCAACATCCTTTCTGAGTCGCCACCTTATCGCTTGAATCTGATGATAACTTCTGCAGCTCTTGCTTTTCAATCCCCCCCTTTGATATCAAAATCTGCAAACTTATCCGAACCTGGCCCGTTTATCAGGCTGTGGGTTTTCTGCCTGTCTTCGCTTGGTGATCATGCCCAAAGGATGAGGGGGTGTAAGATGTCTATCTTCACGTTGCAAAAGTATACAACAACGGAGGTATTCTTGAAATAGCAGGCAGCCGAAATCCAATGGTTCAAAAAGCTCATGTTCCCCGTGAAATAACGACTTGGTCTAGGGGGAAATCCTCCAGTTTTCGACAGACTCATAGTGATTGTAGCTCCCTGGAAAGACCCTGCCAGTCCGGGATAAGTAAAGCTGGGACCCACAAAACAAGTAAAAGGTGATAAACTCGAGACCCATAAACCTCTTGTTGAGCAATGTTCTAAGTGTCTTATATCCTGGCACCAATAAGGAAATGCTTACGCCATTGCTTACGTTTTGTTTACGCCCGCGCGCCCACAGGTTTTGCTTATGCGCATATTTTGTCCTACGCGGAGCTTATGCTGGCTTACGCTCACCGAGTTTCGCTTACGCCACACCCCTATGAGGGACCCCTTCTTAAACATGAACACAAGGGTTTTGAACGTGGCACTATTGGGGATGGCTTTGCACAGTCCTGGCAATGTGCCCTTCCTGATGGAGCTTATGCAGGGAGTGCACTGACCCATGCCACACTACCCAAATCTTTGCCAACGTGAACAAAAGAATACAAACACATCAAACACTATACTGTACAAAAGAGATATTATATGATATAATGATAATGATTAATATATATATAATCATATATATATATAATGATATAATAGACATGAATCAACCTCATGTGACCAAATTATGGAAAGGATTGGAAAGGCCGCTTGCTCAATCATGCATTGGCATTCGTTGAGCCCTTCTGCTGATGAGTGAACATCAATTCTTCACAAGAAATTGGTGTTTCAAACATGGGAGACCCCAAAACCATGTGTTTATACTCTGAAGATCTATGAAGTAGAATACATCAATGATTTTTTTTGGGATAGCCAAATGGCATCAAATGGCTATGGGTCAAAATAGGGTCAAAAATTGGGGATCCCCTCTGGTAATTTAACGTAGCTATTGAAAATGGCCATTTATAGTGGATTTTCCCATTAAAAATGGTGATTTTCCATAGCTACGTTAAATTACCAGAGGGTAGCCCCATAATTATGATGATTCCTACTAACAATCGACGAAAATCTGAGGTCCCCAAGTCCCCCCAAGTCCCCGACCACGGTGATCAAGCTCCGTGGATCTTGCTCCGTCGATTGAGCAGGTGACGTGAAGAAGGAAGGCACGCTGACCTGTCATCCCATGGAAAATTTCGCCATGATCATTCCATGAGTAGAGCGGTATGCTTGTTCATGTTGTTATAGGGAATTCCTGTATTACTGTGTATATATATATATCACATTAATATATATATATATTATAATATATATATATATACGTATTATAATATATATATATACGTATTATAGGCCATTGTAGTTAGCTATTGTTGCTGGTATGCCCATTCACAAGAATGGATCAACATGGTTCATATGACATATATAATATTGTCATATATTGTCTGGTGAGAAATGCTATGAACCTTAGGTGGGAACCAAATCTGTGGCTCCAAAAACATGGCCAACCTTCTACACACATGATATCCACAAAAAAAAGGTCAATCGACAGTATGATGATTCCTGCCATGTGTAAATCATTGAAGTGGCTTAATCATGTTTGTAATATTATAACATCATATCACATTATATATAATATTTACAAACAAATGATTCGCTCACCACCCAGGCAAAAGAAATTCACGTTGTGCTGGCGCACCTCTACTCGGTGCGCATCATACACCAGCATGGCAGGCATCACATTGGCACGGCCACCTGAGAACTGTCCGGTTGGGGATCCAGGGCGCCCCAGGAGTCACAAAGGCGGCTGAAGGCAAGGGAATGATCATGTGAATGTATGTGAATCATGTTTGATGTTTGTTGTTCGCCATATCATGGACTAACTACATGGATTTTGGTTATAGATGTTATAGCCATTCGGCAATCCACCTCCATTTCCACATCAAGAGCTTTGAACCTTGTGTAAGATTGAGATCGCTGGCTGCCGCTGGACCATGTTTGCCCATGGGTATTCACCAGCAATAATGCAAATAAATGCAAATAATTGGTGGTCCTGAAGATATTACCGTATGTAATGGTGAGATTGCCCACAAATTCGAAAGTGAGACCGCCCGCTGTTCATAAACAGCCATCCACCCGTTGATCTGACAGGACACCATCAATCCAACCAACGACCTTCCGCAGTTCTTGGAAGGCTTTCAGAGGGCCCTCGCCCGCCTCATGGTGTCACAGGGGAAGAAACATTTCGAGGAGGTCAGAATTTCACTGTAAATTGTGCTCAGGATGAGTCCTCCATCAAGGGCATCAATGGCAATAGACATAGTACAGTATTCTATACTAGCAACAACCATCTTAAGGGCAGGTCTAGGTCTCAGACAATGTAGACTCCCTCTTTGGCATTGCTTTCAAAGGACCATGCCTTAGCACGATCGCACAATGCATCCACAATATGGCCTTCTCCATTCCTGGCAGCCAAGAGGCCATGCGCATGTTGTTTTTGAACCAGTCTTCGGAGTCCAACAACGCCTTGGATGTGCCAACAGGGGGGGCCATTTGCAAAAGAAGAAGTTATATTGCTGGCAAATTCCTGGATATTTAGTGGGTTAACCGATGGGGAAATAAACAAAATCATGGACTCAGCAAAACCATGTTGATATTTGAGTCAAGTCAATTGTGTAGTGTCATATTTCATGATACAGGTAGTTCAGCAAAATGTTCATTATTCTGATTTCATGATATTTCTATCCCTACAGTATTATTGAGATATATTGATTGTGAATGATGATCTCCCAACAGAAGTCCCGAAAATTTTCATCGCTCCAGGAAGCCGTCAAATCAGAAGGTCTCATCAATTCCACGCTTTCCTTGGCTCGGACCAAGGCGGCATTCCTCAGCGGCGTCTTTGAAAAAAATGCAGCACACACCTGGAGGCAATGAATCAGAAAATTGATGTATTAAGACAAGATTAGAACTACAATTAGTATCATGTATCAATTAGTAGTTTATTCATATCGTTGATGGACATTTTTTTTCTGGTTCGTTTCTGAATTCCTCCCAAAAAAATCCTGGCCTTTTAGCTTCGGTTCCGTGTATTCCGTTTGCCCAGTGTCGCTTTGATTTGCGAAATGCCCACCTTCAGTTTGAACTCTTCAGCCTGCCACACTCGTCACGTGTCACCAGGAAAAGCAAGGGAATGAAGGAAATGGTGTGCAGCCTAATACTTAAAGTATCTTAAAGTTGGATATAATTGCCCCCAACACAGTAATTGTATAGTTTAGTTGGAAATAAACCATCAGCTAATGAAAGAATAGGTTTACCATGACATTCCAAACATTCGAAAAAGAACTGCGCATGATTTTTGAATTACTAATATGGGGATGTATCAAAACCAATCTTGCTATATTTGGGGGGATGAACATCCATTTACCAGTTATTTGGGGTTCACTAGGGTACCAAGGTTTTGACACACTGCCATATAATTAATTGTCTATACATACTCGTGTGATCTCGTGTGCCTCAGCTTGTGCAACAAAACAACAGCCAACTGGGCAGAGCTGTTGAACTCGCCGTGGGCTGACCGAATGGTGCAGCACGTACCCGCCCGAATTCCCCCTGGAAATTCAACAAATATCACACAATAATTACCACACATCTATGATAAATCATGATAAATCATGGTATACATCATGAATTTATATCAAAACACACATCCAGTCTTCACATTCAGTCACATCCATGAATTCAATCCCATGATATATTCCCATGGTTCCCATGAAGCTTTTCCATTGCCAATGACCGTGCCCGCGTTGCGCGTTGCGGCACCTGCTTGTGGGCCGAAACGCTCTGCACCAAGGTGACACCCAAAGGCCCCATGGAGTTGGCCATGCCATAAGCGACTTCCAGGATGTTTCCTGGGCCCAGGGGGCCTGGGAAGGGCCTGGGAAATCTATGGAAATCTATGGGAAATGGCCCATTTAAGGCTGAAAAAATCTGGAAAATTCTGGAAATATTAGATGATTGGGACATGAGATTGAATATAGATATTCCATGATATTCCCCTGATGATTCTCTTCCCCCATATTTTTGTTGGGGAATATGGGAGTATCAACAGTTCGATCTTTCTTTATTTTCTTTTGGGGACACCTATGCCCACGATTTGTTGGACAAAACTGTCCAAGGATTTCCATACCGGACACCATGTGGGGGATGTGCTCTTCAAGAAGATTCAACGAGTATCCAAAGGTGACTGGCTGATGGTTTCACATAATTCCGCATGCCCTTCTGAAATTTGAGATGATAATTCAAAATGACTAAGGTTTTACTAGCTAGTAGAGGGTGGTTTGAACCATCTCTTAATGTATAGTCTATACATTATAGACACAGTAACTACTGATCCATAAAAGTACTACCAAAAAAAACATCAAAAAAATATCATACTCAATAAAATTGTTTTTTGTAAACAATTATTAACAAAACACTGTATGTATACTTAGATAATCTTAGATATATCTCTGTATATCTCTGTCTTCTCAGGGTCTAAGAGTGCCAAAACGCCTCGATAGTAGCAGTTCTTGTCCATCATGCCCCGGAGCTGCGGAACAGCGATCCTGGGAAGAGATAGGCAGCAAGAAATATGAGGATTATATTATGGCCGAGATTCTACAGGGATTATATATATATATATACATATATATATAGTAAATAATATATATATATATTATAATTCTATATTCTATATAATTATAGGGGATTATAATGATTATAATGTCAAGTCAGGATTAATCAACACCCCGTTATTAATCAACCTCCTCCATTTTTTTTGCAATTTAAAAACAGGTGGTCCCCCAGGATTAATAAACCGTTTGGCTAGGACATGATTAATCAACCCCCTTTGCTGAAATCGATGTTTTTATCCAACAATTTTTATTTCCAATTCTATTTATTTCCAATTGTTTTTAACCTTTTTTTTTATCATCATTGTTGTACTTAAGGTTTAAGTTGATCATTGAAAATTTCAAACAACAACTATTCCCCAAATGATCGATTGCTAATTAAAATCTTTATAACAATCATCAGTTTGGATAGCTCCCAAAGGGTACCCCCCATGAGCCAATGCCCCCCATTAATAATAACCACGGTTTGCCCCTGATTAATCAACCACCTTTCTGATCCATGAGATTTTAACAAATCCAATGGAATTCTATTAAGATCTAATTGACGTAAGCCATATCCAAAGTTTTATGGTTCAGAGTTGCTTATTATTAAGGGGGTTTAAGATGACCTACAAGGTAGAGTTCTGACCTTCTGGGGGGGGTTATTAATCCGGTGTTGGCATTATAGGACTTATATGTGTGTATATGATGGGCACGGGCACGGCATGAATCAACCAAAGGTGTATTGACGAGGTAACATTCTTGACAAGGGAAAACCAACTGGAAACCATGTTGTTTCACATGCAATATGGCCGTTTGCTCCAAATTCGCCCAGGAGTGATCTGAAACCACACATTTCAGGGAAGCTTTGTTGAGGCCCAAAATCCGAAAGAATTTCGGTCCTTCGAAGTAGTTGTCCCGGTGGATTGCTCGGGAGCGTGTCCAATACTGACTTCACACCCCTGGGCACAGGATGGGACAGGAGGCTCCCCAACCCGTTGGGGGTTGGCATGGTCAGGTTAGATTGCCAAGACATACCAACAAGAACATATCACATTGACATATAAATATCCATGTCGTGTCAATACAAAACTGTCAAATGATCCTAGGTCTCAGAGTTGTTACCAGGGCCACAGGCTGTCATGTCTAGCAAATCTAAAAACAAAAAACAGCAATGATTCAATCCGCTATGCATCTAGTGCATTTCAAATATCTCATGCACGTCATCAACAGTTTGCAGCTGTCCTCAAACACACCGGTTTTCTCTGTAGCGCTAACTTGCCCGCATCCTGTGAACTGAAAGCGGGGCTGCGCGCCAAACTCCACATGCAATTTGCATGCAATTTGGAGGATATCCCCCAAAACCCTTCAATCATTTGTTTGAAAGGGATTCTTGCTGGGACTTTGCCGTGTCACAACCAGTTTTTGAAAGGCTGGAAAAAATGATTATGATATGGCCAGGTGTGACACTTTCAACACCCAAAATATCCCAAAATTCTAATCTAGAATAGTGATGAATAGTGGAGGAGGGCAAAGAACAACACATTTCCATCTGGTCTGGTCAAAGCCCAGACTACCCACAGATTGACCAACCATGTCACCATGTCTGATAAAACAAAGGATATCTTGGTGTCGCCAATTTCGATGATCTCCCAAATCCTTCCTCATCTGACCCAGTGATCCTGCTTTTGCAAGCTATCATGCGTCTCACCATCTGCACTCTCTGGTAGCTCGATCAAGTAGGGTTCCAAGTGGTCACGCTCACGCGGTTCTGGTCCTTCAAAACCTGCTGCGACTGAAAACCATTTCTCGGAAAAAAATCGATATGACCATCCTGTGAATCGAACTGCCAGGGTGACGATGCCCTTCTTTGGAATGCTTGGTACTTATCTTGCAAGTGAACCTGATGCCAAATGATCCTGCCAAATGTAGATCTAACATTTTATATGAAGTATTATGAAGTAAACCAGCTTTTAATGGTGCTTATATAGTAGAATCAAACATAATTAAACCTCATCTTCCATTTCTTCCATATCCCAGTTATTTCATGGTATCTTTCCACCTTTAAAACAGCCCTCTCGGATCATCTCGGTACCCGTGCCAGGGCAAGGCCAGCCGTAGAGCGCAAAGGCCAGCCCGCGGAGGATGGCCATTCCTGCCATGGAAAATCCATGGAAAAATCCATGGGAAATCCACTCGAAATGGTGCTTGGTGCTTTTTGAATATGTTTCAATGGGAACAAGATGGAACAAGTGTCTATCAATTTGAAATGATTTTCTATTGCTACGGTTGATTACCAGAGCATACCTTCGGGATTTAGTTTTTTAACCTTCAAGCGATTCTGGGAAACAAGCAACCAAGATGGGGATGTGAGCCTTTCCCAACATCTGGGAGTTTCAAGCAACAACGATAACGATGAATGTTGACTTTACATTTTCAACCAACAAGCATATGGACTAATGAACCAACACGTGGATGCAAGCAAACAAAAACAGACAAAATATGCTAAGCTAAATGATAATACAAGTAGTGTCTAGTATTCCTGTTCAGTTTCCATGGCATTGTGCTACCCGGCAGATACGCGAACATCCCTGAACATCCCTGAACTGCACCTAAGTTAAGGATTTTTGCACCAGAGGAACATCATCAACATTTTTCTAAAAGCAAAACAAGGTGGACGTGGACGAGATGTACGTGGCTACATAGATCACCAATAACCCGGTCGGCAGCTCCTGTGGTGGAGGCTCCAGGCAAGAGCTCTTCCGCAACAATGCCTGATTCCCAGTGGATTTCCCAGGATTTTTCGTAGAAAATCACCACCTTAAACAAAGCCAGGAATAGCAACAGGATTCATCTGAAATAAAATCTCACAGTGCTAGACTGAGATGGTTGAAAGGATAGTCTGATCTGTGTAGAAGGATCGGAACCATCTTCCAACAACGTGATTGTGGGGTTGGTACGGTTGGTATATGTGCTTTATCACCACATTGAGATATCTTCAAAAAAGAGGTGGGGGTTCTCAGGTGGGTCCGCGGATTTGGTGAAATACTTCAGAAATGGTTTCGTCTGAAAATTGCGTAGCCACACATTTCATAGTTGATCATGTTCACTACTCCAACGGCAATCAAATTCAGGTAAATCAATGTAAATCACATTAAATCATTCATTTCCGGAGCAAACCCTATTACCAAAATCCAAAATCATCCAAACCGAATCATCCAAAAAACATATCCAAACACATATTATTCAACAAAAACACCCAAAATCAACAAATCGAAGTCATCCACAGCGCCTGGCAGTGGATCGGTGAATCCCATCTCACCACCAGGGTTGGAGAACACGGCTGGTGGAGGCTCCTGCAGAGAGGATTTCGCAGCGTTTCTCTAAAGAATTGGATCGTTGTTTCACCAAATTTACAGGAAATTCATGAACATGTATGAAAATTTACGGATTTTTTGAAGAGAACATGATATTCAACTAATATTAGATGTTTGACGATATGTTTGAGTATGTTTGGGGATTTAAACCCTTTCGGCATGGGTCCAAATTTGGAGTCTGCGACCGACAGCGCAGACCTTGGAATCGATGCCCGAAGTCGTTGTGTTCAAACGACTCGACCCAACACTGCTGCGCCTCCGTTGCGGATGCATGTAGAGATCCCCCAATAGAAGTGGGCTACCCGAAAACCGCAGTACGTGTGCTACCATGTTCTATCTTTGGAGACTGCATATTATATTAATTTATTATTATTACAATATATAATATATAATATATATATATATATATATGTGTTATTATATATATAACTATATATTGCACAATGATGCAATATTATACAACATAAATTAAAATATTATATATAATATAATACATGATCTTAAACATGATTGTAGATGCTGTCTTGGCGGCCCGGGACAAATCATCTAGCTCTGAGGGCTGAAACATGCTGAAAGCAGTGACAGGTCTGTGGCTAAATGGCACCAAGGCCATACAACCAATTGACCAGCGATGATTGCTTTCAAAACTTGATCTTACATGGCCTTACGTGGGTCTTGGGGGTAAACCAGAACTTAGAATGCAGTTGTCGGCTTGCAGAATGCTCAAAGTGTTTGGCCGCAGCAAGGTACCGCAACACTTTGATCTGGCATGCTATGACTATGGCTATGCTCCAAATATCTCCAAGTGATCGAATCGGATGCTGTACTATATTAATGTACATATATGTACAAGTACGACGTACAAGTAATCTCAAGTAACGCCCAGCCAAACTGGCCCATTCTTGAACCAAGCCCGCCAGAAATTTGAAGTCACACACCCCTGCGAGCCTCCGGGAACTTTGTGGTCTTTTAGCCCCTAGGCGCCATTGAATGACAATGGGCATCAAGCTAGCGACAGGTGGTTGCAGAGTGCTTTGATTCATGGTTGCGATTGAAATCAACATGTTTCACATCTGAAACATATCGCTGAAACCAGGATCACCCAGGGATGGAAAGCCTGAGGCTGCCCCTGGGGCATAACATTTCAACTCTTCGTGCAAAGTTGGGCATCCCAGCTTCTCCCCAGAAAAACTCACCCATAGGACGATAGCCATGAGGCGGCTTGAGACTCTGAGAGGATCTTGTATAATTAATGGCAATCCTGGAACACAGACCTCCAGTGAAAGGTGTCTCTCTATGTCCCAGGCCATCAAATCCCATTCTCGAAGCTCTGCGCTGCTGCGCCTTCTCCTATTACCACAGGACGTAGCCGCCACGCACGAGGATGCACCGACAAAAACCAAGGTTTGAAATCACAGGGTTTCCCACTGTTTTTGCACTTTAGTTACTTTAATCAACGGTTCTCAGCAGTCACCCAGAGGACCCAGAACGTCTTGCAAAATGCACAAACCAAAACACAGCCAGTTTCACCCCTACTTGCACAGAGTTGATTTCACAAAATTTTGGGGAAACATGGTTTTTATCGGGTTTTATTGTATGCCTTTATTATGCCTTTATTGTCATCCTGCGCAGCCGTTTCCCGTGAAATGTTTCCACTGTCGCTGGTCCTGAGTGCTTTTCAAGATTTTGGGTTTCGCAAAGGGTGTCCTTAGTGAGGTCCAGATCATCTGCTCCTACCCGCAAGGCCGCCGATGAAATTTGGCTATACAATGTTATACACAGTGCTTCCAGCTTCAGATAAAGCATGACACATCGACACAGAGAAACTACCGGCATCATTATCATGTGCTCCAAATTCCTCTGCCGAAAAAAATGTTGGGATATGTTGGGTTACCATTATATAACCAGCCCTGGTGACATCTCGTCATCTGAGGATCACCTGAGGATCACCTGAGCACCCAGACTTGGGTCGAAGTTCTTCTCCGAGCTCGGCCTTTTTGTAGGTCAAGCGCACCAGCAAACAGTGCTTCAAATCAAAGCAGACCTCGGTGGGTCGAGCCTCTGGGCCCCGATTCCGGAGGTTTCTTGGTGAATCCCCAGCCATTTATCTGGTAAAATTAAGGGTGGTCTACAAGTCGTGCCGCACAAGGCGGTGGCGGAAGTTTCAAGAATAGGAAACCTATAGGAGAGATTGGTTGTTGTGAATCACGGATGGCAGAGCGAATCCACTGATGGGCCGACAGGTGGTTGGAGTTGTGTTTTGCGGAGTGGCTGCAATGGTTGCAGTGGTCACCTCACCACAACTGCTGGATGTAGTGTGGTGTAGTGCAGTTGTAGTTGTAGTTGTAGGTGTAGTGCAGTTGTATATGTAGTTGTAGGTGTAGTTGTAGCTGTAGTGTGGCGGAGTTGTAGTTTTAAGTTGTAGTTGTTGTAATGTAATGTAATTAGTGTAGTGCAGTTGCAGTTGCAGTTGTAGTTGTGGTGTGGTGTAATTAGGGTAGTGTATTGTAGTGTACTGTAGCGTTGTGTACTGTAGCGTGGTATAGTGTAGTGCAGTCTAGTGTATTGCAGTGTGAAGTACTGTAGTTGTAGTTGTAGTGTAGTCTCGTGTAGTGCAATGTAGTGGTAGTTGCAGTTGCAGTTTAATGTAATTAATGTAGCGCAGTGTTGTGTAATGTAGTGTAGTTGTAATTGCATTTGTAGCTGGAACGTACTGCAGTTTAATTAGTGTATTGTAGTGTAATGTAGTGTAGCTGCAAATTGTAGTTGTAGCTCTGGTGGTGGTAGTAGTAGCAGCAGCAGCAGTAGTAGAAGTAGAAGTAGAAGTAGAAGTAGAAGTAGAAGTAGTAGTAGTAGTAGTAGTAGTAGAGTAGTAGTAGTAGTAGTACTACTACTACTACTAGCAGTAGCAGTAGCAGTAGCAGTAGCAGCAGCAGCAGCAGTAGTAGTAGTAGTAGCAGTAGTAGTAGCAGTAGTGGTAGTAGTGGCTGTTGTAGTAGTTGTAGTGTAATCAGTGTAGTGTAGTGTAATTAGATGTATTTAGATGTAATGAGTGTAGAGTAGTGTAATTAGTGTTGTGCAATGTAACGTCGTATATTTGTACTTGTAGTTGTAGTAGTAGTGTGGTGTAGTGGTACTTGTACTTGTACTTGTACTTGTAGTTGCAGTTGTAGTTGTCTGTCTATCTATCCATCTATCCATCTATCCATCTATCTATCTAACTATCTATCCATCTATCTATCTATCTATCCATCTATCTATCTATCTATCTATCTTATCTATTTATCTTATCCATCTATCTATCTATCTATCTATCTATCTATCTATCTATCTATCTATCTAATCTATCTAATCTATCTAATCTATCTAATCTATCTAATCTATCTAATCTATCTAATCTAGCTAATCTATCTAATCTATCTAATCTATCTAATCTATCTAATCTATCTAATCTATCTAATCTATCTAATCTATCTAATCTATCTAATCTATCTAATCTATCTAATCTATCTAATCTATCTAATCTATCTAATCTATCTATCTAATCTATCTAATCTATCTAATCTATCTAATCTATCTAATCTAATCTAATCTAATCTAATCTAATCTATCTATCTATCTATCTATCTATCTGGGTTCGTCTGGAAATATCGTATCCCCACTGGAAGGTTTGTCTAGAGGGTATGCTTCGGAGGTATGCTTCGGGGTTTGCTTCGGGGGTATGCTTCGGGGTCTGCTTCACATGACCTTCATCACATGGAACTTACTTCATATCTAAGAGGCTTCCAACAAACTTTCCAACCTTTTATATATCTCTGTGTATATCCTTGTACGCATATAAATATATATATATAGAGAGAGAGAGACACGTATGGTTTTCTGGTCTAAATCAACCGCCAAGGGCCAGAGTCGGGCTTTCCCAAGTACAGGTGAAGCCCGAGGCTAGTTCTGACAGCAGGTAGTTGGTTCAAGGCATAGCTGGCTGTAGGAAGCACGTTTGTTCCTGACAGCAGGTGGTTGGTTCAAGCATGTTCAAGCCATAGCTTTGGTGCCATGGCGGTATGGCCAAGGATGTCTTATTTTCAGGGTTATGCAGAGATGTGAAGTATCTTACTCACGCGTTCAAAATGTGCCAGGGTCTGGAAGTTGAAGGTTTGAGGTATGAAACGGGTGTGATTCGTGTATGATTCGGGTATGATTCGCGGAGCACTATTCAGCACACCGTATCAGATCTAGACAGGAGCTACAACGGCCAGTCAGCACCAGAAGCTGGTCGATGCAAACGGTATCGGCTGCCACAATGAAGCTACAGCGGCCAGTGTCGCGACCCATGATCTCCAAACAACAACCATCAACAAGCCTTCAAAAATGATCTTCATTTTGGGGGTTTGCTTCGGGGTATGCTTCGGGGCTATGCTTCGGGGTGTGCTTCGGGGGTATGCTTCGCAAGAGCGCCACCTTCCACCAATACATATCTAGGACCACGGAAAAAAATACTAACCCATTTATCTATCTGCAAGCTTGAAAACGAAGCTATTCTGCCAGACTTCCTCAACTTGACAACATCCTGACAACATCAATTTTTGAACTTGACAACATCAAGAACGAAACAATTCTGCGAGACTTCCTCATTTTTCGAAGTTGACAACATCAAAAACGAAGCAATTCTGCGAGACTTCCTTCAAAAATGGAAAGTTGAGTGCTGAGCTGACGGCCTCGTACCAATGCGTTTTGTGATTTTTCGACTCCACCTGTCTAAACTACTGCGCCTGCCACGGAAAAGTGATGCCAGGTCATACGAAGTGCTGCACCTGTCACGCAAAATCATCTCAGCAAACCTGAAGATCTGCGGCTCCAAAATGCAACCCCTCTCAGGAAATCAGCGCCCGGACCTCCTAACAGCTCTGATGAACATGTCTTACTGCACCTGCCACGGAAAATGCATCTTTGCAGATCCTCTTCACATGTCCCACGCCTGCTATCGTTTTTGGAAATGCTACAAAACCCTCACGTTTTGCTCACTTCTGACAAGGTGCACAATCCCGTGCGCCTGCCACGCAAAACGACATCTGAACGTCCCAAAGTGCTCCGAACCCCCTCAGTTTTTTCCACTTTTGACTTCGAAATGTGCTTCGCACCACAACGGCGTGCACTTTTTCAACATCTCAACTTCCAAAAGTGGTCCGGAGCTGGTGTGCTTTGTACCTTTTGACTTCGAAATTCGCTTCGCGCCACAACGGCCTGCACTTTTTCGACATCGCAACTTCTACAAGTGCTCCGAACATGTGGTGCTTTTAACATTTTGACTTCGAAATGTGCTTCGCGCCACAACGGCGTGCACTTTTTCGACATCTCAACTTCCAAAAGTGGTCCGAGCATGGTGTGTTTTGTACATTTTGACTTGGAAATGTGCTTCGCGCCACAACGGCGTGACTTTTCGACCCTCCGGAGCCACAAATCATTGGAAAAACACAGTGTTTCGCGACTTTCCTACCTTTTCGCGCACCTGGATCTTGTTTCTTCTGAGACTTTCTCTTTTTTGATCTTCTTTCTTCTTCTCTGCTCTTCGCTGACTCTTCCCATCTCTGCTTTTCATCTGTCCATATTGTCGGAAGTTTGACTTCTAAACATCATTCGATCATCGTATATCTGGATATATCTGGTATATTGTTGGGTTTACCACAAAATCATCATTCTTCATGTTACACCATCCACTTTTGGAGGGTTGATCATTTTGACCCGGCTATGGATCACTTCACCCGCTCAGTTTTCGTTGGTGTTCACGCTCCGGTGGCGTTCCCTTTGTTTGCGGATGCTGATAGTTTTGACCCATCCCATGGTCACAATTTGGGTAGAACACCTCTGCTGAAAACTGTAGTTATATTTGCCTGCAGCACTGTAATATGGCATGACGTGAGCCGAGTTGCACCCCCAAGCATCAAACCTGCAATGCTCTCTGAATGGTCCTGTGAGCCGGGGTTTGTGGATCTTGTGTTGTAAACACGGGGCAAAAAAAATGATACCCCACGAAACATGGAAAAAAAGGTGAAACAAATACAAAAAAACGACTACCCAACCAAGGTTTACCCAGAACATACAGTAAAGACCCAAACCTGACCAAATTCAAGTTTGCTCTATGGGAATCAGGGTCTGAAAGGGATTTCTGTTTCTTTTTTATGTCTACATGTCTATATACATTCTATTCAGTGCTCCATCTGAATCAATACAATCCCATGCAATTGCATAGAACATGTGATCCGGCTGTTTCAATAATGGCAGGTCGGTCAGTCGATCGATTTCCAAGTCAACAGTGTTGGAGTGATCTAATAAGCCTGTGTAAATCCTGCGTGTGCGTGTGCGTGTGTGTGTGTGTGTGTTCAGTACGCCTGGTACCAACTTTACATACCTAGCTGCAACTGCAGTCAGAATTGCAGTCACAAACGCAGTCATAATTATTATAGCAGGCTGTTCCATCTCACCTATCACTCTTATGAGCACATGTGGCCTTGTGTTTTATCATTCATAGTGACATAAATCTCCGATATTAGATAAAAAACACTAACTACATATAACTACATAATATATCATAATATTTGCATAATATATTATAATATTAATACTAGATATTTATTATTACTAGATATTCGAAACCAATAAAAATACTGTCAGTTCTTCATGTCCACCATGACACGCCCCTTGGCCGTGCCTCAACCTTCCTGAAGGCCCAGCCAGCATCTTCGACGGATTTCTTTCGGCCACGGCCTGAAAAAAACATGGCCATTGCGGCGGCCTTGGACCGTTACGGGCATCCAGAAGGAAACAACTGGGAAGGCTGTTATATATGTTATATGGGTGTGATCCAATTTATGGGTGTTATATGGGTTGTTATATGGGTGTTATATGGGAATGCTGAACAAATGTTTGGCAAACATCAGTATCATCAGTATAGGAATGTACAGGATAGTTGTAGGTATTCAAATGTTGAGTGTCTGGTTTGGGGATGATGGGGCTATCATTTGCTGTTGCAGGTACCGGTTGTTGGTGTTTCATCTGTTTAACCCATTGTTTCCCATCTGGAGGTTTCCTAAGTCATGGGAGTACCGCAATAGCTGGATGGTTTAAAATGGAAATCCGATTAACATGAATGATTGGGGGTATCCCTATTTTAGGAAACCTCTATCCATTGCAAACTATTTACGTATCAACCTACTAACCAAAGCTTTACCCAGCTATGGATCAGAATAAAACAACAACCCTGGACAAATGATGACAAATGTTGGCCCCTTGTTGATTGCATTCAAGCAGCAAATTAAGATCTTTGCAGAAAGCTATCACCGAGTTCATCCGGGGTTGACAGCCTGCAGCTGCTCCTTCGGGAACAGGCACAGATAATGCTTCCATCATGGATTGCAGAGTCTTCGTCTCCACATACGCCTCCAGCAAATCCCAAAGCATTTGCATGGCATCCCACAACAAATATCATACTGGATGGTTACGATCGTGTTTCCCATGAAGATCATCGTCATGCAATAGTGAGTAAAGTATGTAATTATCTGTATCTTACATAGTGATGGACATTGGTCGGATAATAATCCATGTAAATTTTAAGTAACAGGCGTGGTTCACTTTCGATGGGATTCACTGGCTATCTCGTCTGAAGTGCCTGGGTTCTCGGACCTGTAAGACATCCCTGAAACTCAACCGTCCTTCGTGGGAATGGGGCAAGAAAATGTATGACCCTGAACCCACAAACTGGTGGACAGTTTAGTATGTTCATGTATATATATATATATACATATATATGTTCCATAGTGTTATATTATGTTATATTGCAGTAGTGTCAAACGGATCTTTGATTTCTAAGATATCAAATCTTGTCTACCCTCCTCAAGCTCCTGTCCAAATTCCACTGTTTTATATCCCATCTGGGTAGAAATCTACGAGTATGTACCTAGGGGGACGAACATCCGTAACCACCAGCTGTTTTGATGTTCGGCACCAGGCTTTTGACCCATTGCCATCTGTGCCGTGGCCAAAACATGACATATTTTCCTAGGAAAATATGTCATCTCCCCAGTTTTGGTATATTGGTTTGTCTGAAGATAAGCCTACAAATCCTATGATTGATCATCAATGATCATATATGATCATCATTTTCCCATCATGTCCCTATACAAAAAGTGCCAATTTATTGGGGGGTATACCCCATTTTCAGACGAACCTCCCAATGGTCGTCATGATGGCGCCTGCAAGATCCGAACCAGCCGAAAGCACACCGCATGTGCCTGGCCAAATCCCAGAACTGGGGATCGGATTTTTGTTAAGATCTATGAATCCCTTCCCCCGATTCTGTTTTGGAACTAGGCCACATAAGAAACACTGATTTCACGTGGGTTTCGTATTGGATCTATGAATTTTGTGGGGTTCGAATGCCAGGTACTTATAAATACATACATATACATATACATACATAATATAATATGTATATGCATATATATATATATTATAATATTAGGCCGATGGATTTTGTTCGACATTCTGAGCTCTGGGATCTCCGCCAAACACAATTCCGATGGCCATCTAAGCTAAGCCCAGGATCAAGTGCTTTCGCAGATGAAGTGGACAACTTCAACATCAGGCACTTACAGTTATACAAGTCAATGTATTTCAACAATGATCAATATTGTCTAATATTACTATATATTACTGTAATTCATTATATTTTTGAGATATTCTTCATGGGTCATTAAATGTCCCCATTGAACATCACCCAACCATTAGGTATATGGTCTATAATGGCTACTATAAGGTGATGTTCAATATTCCCAAAATGGGACAGTTACCAACCCCTGTTCTTTGACAATCTGCAGCTTTCTGCTAGGAATTCAATGAACGTTCCCAAAGATTCGATAGACCGGCTGGGTGCTCCCGACATGGCGCAAAGCCCACAAACATTGCCATGGAGGGAAGTCCTCGCGGCTGTTGTTAGAAGTTCTAGGTGCTTCCAACATTTTTCACAGATAGGAATACTTGTGGAAACATATGTGCACTATAGGTACAAGGATGTGAATAATGGAGTATATATAGTTACGGTTTTGATTCAACAGTTATATAATATATTTAATCCCGACCGATGCCAGCTATTCTCAGTTGGCATTCATTTTGATCAAGGTCCTCAACCATCATGCTTTTGACATATGCACAAAGGAGGGCCAATGCCAATAGCATGTTTCTTGTGCCACCCTCGTAATCCATGACCCGTGAGGCAAATCACTCCCTTCAGGATGGTTTATCCACCTAGCAACTGTCACCCAAGGGAAGGTAGCAACAACCGGCAAAACCCCTTCACACAGGTCTGTATCTAGAATCATTCCCCAGAAAGCACCACATCTTGACTTGTTTGACCATCCAGCCATCTAACTGTATATTGGGTGTGTCTGAAAGTAGAAGTTTGATCAATTTTTTCCCATTAACATGACATCACGGCGTACTCCCTATCTTATATCACAAACCAAATCGAACCACCAGGACGTCCCATGTGCCCCAAAATCAGATGGTTAACCCTCAAAATGACCAATATCCTCCAAAATCGCCTTCAATTTTGACCCCGCAAAAATTGAGCACTTGTGTCAGCTCCGGCTTAATAAACACTAACCATCAATTTGGGAAGGTTATCCCCCCAAACAATGATAAATTAATAAAGTTGGTACTGCCCTGTTAATTAGCTGGTGTAAACCTGGGTTAACACCTGAATATCCACTATCATCATTATCCAATGGTTAAATCCCTATTTACATGGATAAATCATGTTTAAATCACCATCTGTTTCACCATGTTTGATGGTCAAATCACCAGTTTCCACCAGTTTTCAAGTTTATTTAGTCACTCACCATTTTTCATGGTTTTTCACCATTCTTGATTGTAAATCACCAGTTCTTGTGGTGAAATATTGTGAAATCATGTTTTTTTTTCCACCAGTAAACCATGATTTTTTTTCACCAGACCTTGGTGAAGATCAGCTGCAATGCCGCCAGCAGTTGCGGCACCAGCATGGCACAGGAGAAGGCGCAGACGCCTTCGTATTCGCTGCGCAGCGAAGGGTCCGTGTCGGAGGCCTTAGTGCTGACAGTTTAAAAACATCGAACGCCGAGGCGGAGAGTTAAAATTGAACTGTTCATGGATTATTCACTGATCATTATAGTGTATGTATGTATGTATGTATGTATAAATATATATATATAAAGATCATTTATCATATATATATATATATATGATACCATTAATGATTCATTTATAATCCATCTGGGGATGATATTGTTGATCATACATCTATGATGAACATTAATGATATAAAATGCATATATTTGATTAACTGGATTCATCTATAATAAACATCAATGATAAAATGAACACGATTTAATGATATGTAACTGAATGACATTATGGTAAATCTGAATTCATAAACTTCATTGTGCTATGTTTAATTGGTGAAAACATATCAACTTGATTCTAATGAAATTGCAACTATCATCGTAAAACATCATGATGTTACAAAATGTTATATAAGCCAGCAGAGACTTGGGATAAATCAAATAAATCAAGTAAATATATGAGTCACGTATTTAAGCAACTGAAGCATTCATTAAGTTCAGGTACGCTGGTTGTTGTTGCTGCTGCTGCTGTTGTTGTTGTTGTTGCTGTTGTTGTTGTTGTTTCTGTTGCTGTTGCTGTTGCTGCTGCTGTTGCTGTTGCTGTTGTTGTTGCTGTTGCTGTTGCTGTTGCTGCTGCTGTTGCTGTTGCTGTTGTTGTTGTTGTTGCTGTTGCTGTTGTTGTTGCTGTTGCTGTTGCTGTTGTCGTTGTCGTTGTTGCTGTTGCTGTTGCTGTTGCTGTTTTTTTAATCTCAACAAAAAGAAGCTTTGAACCAAACGTCCGTAACATTACTCATGGGAGATTTGCGTATGGAAACATACACCATGAAGATCCATGAAAAATACCGGAATGTAATGTATGGATGAATTCAAAAGGAGCATCGAAAAAAAAATATGGACAGCATCCCGAGGGACCTTAAAATTTTCTCAGAAATGTTCAAGCCTGCTGAGTGCATGATGGCAATACCAGTACCAATTTTCTGAGTCACCTCCCGGCATTTTAAATCGGCGGAGCCTGCAGCTTCTTTTACCATCATAGAGTGCGTGCACCAATTGACATGTAAGTAGAGTTTCTTTTCCGACCCATCCAAAGAAAATAGGTCGGTTGCATTCAGTTGCAGTTGACCATCATAGGTAGGTAGGGGCAGAAATATGACTGCAAATTGGTTCAAACTAATCGAAACCAGGAGCCACTTGCGCAAGTACTTGCAAATCCTTTTGTTGCCCACGTGCGCCCCACCAAGGAACAAATTGAAACTGTTCTTCTGCCAGTCTCTCCTGCATCAGCTCATCAACCAAAAGCATATGCAGGTGAACTGGGCATCAACCACCGCATGGGCTCCACGGAAAATCTACAGAAAACCTTTGTTTTATCATCTTTTGTATATCCCAAGCATATCCCTGCAGATGTTCCCTTAAACCATTTCTGCAAATCATGTCAAAGACTGAACACACCACTGATATCTGATAATCCAGCCTCTAGAACAAACAAACATGGAAACATTCAACATCATGAGCCTAATCTAAATCCGCTTGCAAATTCATAAGTATACCGTATACCCTGATATTATATGTATTCCCATGTACAGAACCCAGGGTGGGCTGCAATCATCAACATGAAACCGGTCAATATGACGCTTCATAGTCACCTACCACCCACATGTTGAGGCACTGCCGTCAGCGAGGTTGACAAGTTTCTTGGTGAGTTCAACGCAAAACATCTGGGGGCATGGGGGCGAGAATTGGGCAAAATCCCTGTCGTTCAGTGTTTCAGCTGATCTCGTTTCTTTATCATCCTTTGAGGCAAACAGCTACTGAGGCGCCCGTAAGTTACTATAGTACTGAATTTGGTTTGGACATGACGTGACAAACGGGGAATATATCCAGCAGAAACTTTATTGCAATCAATATAAGAGGTATAATTATGTACATATTATATATATATATATATATTGTATAGAAGAATAATGATCCGACAATGTAACTGATCATTGCACGTAAACGAAACTGTGTAATATTACGTCTGCATACTGAATATATATATATATAACTATATATATGTATAAATAACACATATTATTATATATATATATATTAACACCATACTATGGACATAGGAAATCGTGGGAATACATCACCCAACATAAACCAAGCGTACAGCAAGGCGCTAGGCGCCGCTTCAGTTCCTCCACAGCTTCAAGCACAGCGATCTGCAAATCCCATGCCCACTGCCGCGGAGGCGACAGCCTCGGCTTCGCGAGCCTCAGAGGTAGGATGGGATGAATCGGATCGACAGCGGACAAGGCGAAATGATCCCCAGCTTGGCACGGTAACAGTTATAACATGTTACTGATTGTATATTCATGGAATCTAATGTGTATATATTTATATATACATAAAAATACAGTATACAAATTATAGACTATTTATGTTTAATGACATTTATACTAATGACATCCAATGATTATAGACATTGACACTCCAATTTTGACCACGGCACTTGGCGATCTCGCGCACGGCGTGCTGCGAGGGCGGCCCCAAGGTGTCGCAAAGGTCCTCCAAGAGCCCTGCGGTGCAACCTGCGTGGCTTCCAGTCGCGTTGTATCCCGTTGCGTTATGGCAATTGTTGAAGGGAAAACTGGGAAAATATTGGGAAAACTGGGAAAATATTGGGAAAATATTGGGAAAATATAGGGAAAATGATGAGAAACATGTTTTTCATAGGGAAATCTGGGATAATAAACCATGAGCATCGGAGGGGTATATTATATATATATATATATTCAGTCCCAAGCGTATGGCAACGTATGGAAACTGAAGCACGGCACTAGCAGAAACCCCAAGTTTGCGGGTGCCTGATATGTTCACAGATTTTGACACTTCTCACCCTGAATTATTCATGCTGATTACAAATGATACAAATGTGTGGACAAACTCGGAGTCGCTGACGCTGTTGAAATGTTTGCTTCTACTGCAAACTAATTTGATGGGGTATCATATTAGGAACGAAGAGTGACGAACTGTTCTTGAAGCTTGGTGTACACAACTGCCAGTGTCTGAATGTCTCTACAATGTTGATCCGTTTTCTTCTTTGTCTCACAAACACCAACTCTTCCAAAAACGACCCAGCACCGGTATGTATAGCTCTGACAACCTCATGATTGCTTTGTTGAAAGATCTCAAATATTACATAGATGAAACAATGCACAAAAAACATTGCTAAAGAACGAAATGATATAGTGATGCCTTCCAATGATCTGCTTGTATTTTACACGGTCTAGTGAATAGCCGGCTAATACCCTCTGGTATTTTTTAGCACAGCTATAGAAAACGGTCCATCTATAGATGACTTACACATTGAAAATTATGATTCTCCATAGCAAACTGTTAACTTACCAAAGGGTAAATCTCAATTCATCTGTTGATTATCCATTAATTATCCATAACTATCCATCAATTTTCTATCAATGTTTAATTAATAATCCATTGATTATCCATAAATTATGAATTATATGAATCATTGTTGGTTATACCTGGTTATACCCCCTGTGTGTGTGGAAATCACCAAGATCCACCACGCCTGCGTCTGGCACAAAAGCTCCAGGAACCAAACCCGCCAGGGCCGTCGTTAAGGCCTGGGCCTGTCCAAAAAGATCCAGATCCAAAAATCGAAGCGTCCACTGGTCTGAAAATTTGAGCCGCGAACCATAACTGACCCAAGTCAGTTCTGTTGGGTTTTCTTCAATATAATCTGTATCAACTATAATCCTCAACAATATCTAGTTAAGTATCTAGTTATCAAGATATCCGCTATATCAACCCAAGTCAGTATCCATGGTTTTCCCCAGGATTGACCGGCACTTATGATTTATGGAGTCCAGCCTCTACCCGCCGGCAATTGACCCGCTGGCAACGGAAAACACCAACGCAATTGATAAGAACATACAGTATTGGATAAGCATCATTAATCATCCCCAATCATCATGAATCATCTCTAAAATTACATTGCCACGTGTACTTGGAAGTTAAATTCCACTGAAATCCCAGAAAATCATAGAAAATCACCATGAAAATCCCCTCAAAGCATCATTTTCACTTGGGTGGAGGGTTTGAAACCACATCAAATCCAAGAAAAAACTCATAAAATCCCGTAAAATCATCTGGCAATGTGTCAAAACCTTGTACCCCTTCTGTTCACATCAAAATAGCTGGGTTAAAATGGATGTTCATCCCACTCAAAATGGTATTATATAATAGGTATTGATCCATACCCATCTAAGATCCCATAAAATCCATGTAAAATCCCCATGAAAATCCCATCCCAGCATCCCATCATCCCATCCAAAATGCCGCCTCCATCTGCGCTTGTCGCGCATCGGCACGTGACACCACAGGGGCCCCAGGCCACGGCCCGGCCACGGACAGGTCGCGGAGGCTGGCAACTGGTGGCGACCTGAGGATGTTATGATTTTTAATGGTTATTGACATATACGTATATAATAATATATATAATGGTTATTACTGATGATATTCATGATAATTATATCATTATTGATGATTATTTGATGTTATGATTATTGAGGATGTTATTAATGATTAGTGATGATTGATGATGATGATTATATGATTATTGATGAATATTGATATATATATATAATGGTTATCAATATTCTTGAGGTTATCAATGGTCATTATTGATGATTATTGAGAACTGTTCTTATGATGATTATTATATATATATATAATTATATATATATATATATATAATGGTTATTACTGTGGCTAATAATGATGAATGATCAATTATGAACTAGTGATATGATTATTACTTATGAATGATGACTAATGATGAGCTATTGAGATTACCATTGATTATCCTTATGACTAGTATAGTAGAAATCAAATGAAATTACTATTTGTTATGGTGATTACAGTATGTGATTGTTAACTTACTGGTTGAATATTGACAGTATTAAAACATGTGTATTGTGTGCGTTTGTGTTTCTTAATGGAAGTTTTGATGTGTTTTTGATCACTCTTCAAACATAATCATCTCTTACACCATGTGTTTACCATCAAATCTAGGGGGTCGTGTTATTTTGTTTCCTCTAAACTCATTGAGAGGAGCACTCAATGGGTTGTTCAAAGGAAAAAACAACGGATGTATATACTTGCCATCCAGACATGTGGGACTATCGGACTTGCCGATTCAAATCTAGGGATGCTAGGCGGGGGCTTGAACTATAGACTTCCCCGAATTCAGGAAAATATAAACATGGCAAGCACTACATTCTGTTGAAATTCACATCTACGAAACTTGCTTCCTGTATGGAAATTTAAACATGCAGATTGAATCTAAACTGAACGTATTCGCATGACACACGGGCAGGTATTGGTTCAACACCGAACGGATTCTTCTGTGGATGGTATTTGCACTACGTAAATCTGGAGATGATTCGAGTAGTATGCAGCATCCCTGTCATGAAAATATCACATATCATGAAGAACCACAGTCTGCAAAGATGAATGCTGGTCAGAAGAGCTTGGTTTTTGACACACATCAAACGAACAACAGCTTCATCCAGGACCTTCCAATGGTCAGGACCTCGCAGGTCAGGAACATGTGATGTTCTGAAACCAATTTTTAACATACGGTAACTACATTTAAATATACATAAATATACGGATTTTTAAATATACGAACATGTATTTTAGACTACCTCCGGGACGGTTTTCCGTTGCCCGCCCAGCCATTTGAACATACGGAATCCAAGTCATTTAAACATACTGCAACTACATTTAAATATGCGAACTGGTATTTCATACTACCTCCGGGGCCTTGCGGTCTGACCCGCCCTCCACATATTTAAATGTCGTTACCGTATTTTTACTATACCTTAAAATCACTAATTAAATTCGGGCATCCCCCATTCTCGGACAACCCCAAATCATCTGGATAAATCGCATCATATCACATATTGTGGGATAGAGAAAAAACATTGATTATATCATTATATCCCCATGACTTATCAAATCCCAAATAAGAAATATCATGATATAATGATATATCATATTAAACATATTGTATCCCCATGTTTATATCCCATTGGTCATATCATATATCTCCGGTAAATACGACATATCCCAAATCGTCCCATCCTCACCAAAGCCCCTTCGATGAGCAACTCCTCATCGTTCACAGGCCTCCTCCTGGTATGAACTCCCGGATGACAGCACCAAAGAACCGACAACAAAACTATGTTGATCAATCGCTATATGAACGTGTAGCCCAGTGTAGCCAAACATACATGGCTAATATTTGTTCATCAATCATGGTCACTCACTGTTGATAGTGGTGATCAGTCACTATATGCCACCATAGCCAAACATATGGCTAATTTACCCTCTGGTTATTTAACATAGCCATGGAAAATGGCCCGTTTATAGACGATGTTCCCATTAAAACCTCCATTTATAAGGGATTTTCATGGATTTTCCATGGCTATGTCAGTCATAACCAGATGGTATGTCTTTGTTTTTTGCTTCATCATGGCGGCATTCATCTCATCCAGGGCACCCGCTGTGATCGTCGTGGCTCATGAAAATGATCAGCTTCGCCGTTTCCTGATTTCATGGCGTGGAAAATGTCGGGCATCAACCGGGCTTTTCCAGATGTCTAAAGATATCATTTGTAGGACATGAATATATATATCTATCTACAACACTTATACAGTTGTTTCATAATGTTTCATAAATAGAAAATACATATCTAATACTAATATATCATAATAATTCATAGTATGCTCTCCAGGCATTGCATTTGGTACAGTTCCTGTCATTGAAAGCAACAAAAAACGTGAACATTGACATCATGTCCAATATAGTGAGACATCCTGTGTGGTGTTGAGGTTCCCTACACATGGGATTAATATTGATAACACAAACGCGGTAATTATCTACCGTTTCTTGAATCCTTTCAATATCCATTTAGAGCATCTGGCAAGACCAAATCAGTGCACAAAATTTGGCCGCCCTTGCCCTTCCATAACTGTTTGGTGAAAGGTAACAAAGGCAACAACTACGACACTCATTTCCGTCCACGATATGCGTACATATATTGAAATATATATTGTTTACTTGCCCTCTTTGCTGATGCACCAGGGTTTCATTTATGGTGCAGGTTCACGCAAGTTCTTCTGGTCAGTCTCCCATCACGACTCGCCTGATCTACCCTGAGCCAATCAGCGATGGTGTCGAGATTGGTACCGCACCTGGGATGATCCACGGCGAGGTGTCGCTGGAGGAATTTTCCTTTTGGGCGTGCCATGGGGAAACCACGCACAGTGTAAATTGCAAGCCACAAGGAAAAAAAACACCATAGTATATACATATATTATCTGTAGTAATATAATCCAAATTTCAAATTTGTTGAATCAACACTGACCATTGGATGTCCCACTGGCCATTTTGGCCCGGGGCACACAAGGTGGTTCCAGCCAGTGATTGATGTGGGGGTTTCCATAATCATGGGGGTACCCCAAACAATCATCAATTTATAGATGGATTGTCCATGAAATAAAACATCCAACTATTTGGGTATCCCACTTATGAAAACCCCCATGTAGCTATGTCTGAAAGCTGCCATTTTTTGAGGAGGAAATGATAGAACATTGGATTCGGAACTCTATACTCAGACAAAACCAAAACCCTTTCCTCTGCTAAAACAAACATGCTTAAGAGATACCCTCTGGTAATCAAACATGGCAATTGGACATCCCCTATTAATAAAGGGTTGCAATGGGAAAATCATCTAAGGGATTCTAAGGGATTTTCCATTGCCACGAATGATTACCAGAGGATATCACACTTGCAAATGATGCATCAAATCAATGAATTGCAATAAAATTGTGACATGCCCTTCCCATGTTAGATGGTAGTGGGCTAATCCACGTCGTCACCACCTGTTCACTGATTGTCCTCAGTGTCCTACTCCAACATCAAAGCGTACAGGTCCTCGTGAGCCACCGGCAATGGGCAATCCTGGAGCACAGATTGATGAATCAAAAACGGGGACCTCAAAATTTCTGGGCTGATTGTGCCTGATTCAATCGATTCACAACATTCCGGCTCCTGGAATGTCAAGATTGTAGGATATTTATCACATGAAATAGACCCTCTTGTGGTGGCTACAATCCGGATCATCTGGTGATTGATTACCACCAATATTGCAAGATCCTCCCATATTGATGGTGTCATATTTCCAAAGCTGAGGGTTATATCCCCATTATATCACTATATTTCTATGTGCTTGTATGAATCTGCATTCTATCCCTAGAAATCCCCTACGTATGATGTACTTCCCCAAAACATCCTTGAATTGATGGTTATATATCCCCATGATGGTCATGTTGGTCTTAATCAGCTATTTACTTTTTCATATCAACTACGTTTAATGGTTAAACATTGTTAAATTACCGCGTTTGCAGGTTGTATCATCCTGCCTTCATAGATAGATTCCTGTATATATATATATATAAAAATCAACCGTGCTGCAACCCTTGAGACGTGTACAGCACTTCAGCATGCCGCTCACGCAGCGGGTTATGGGATCAGCAGGGTCCATAGCAAAGAAACAAGAACAAAATCTGCACTGAAGCAAACCATTGCAAGACCTGCTTGTGAACATTCGCCGGAGTGTTGATTTGCGGCCAAGCAAATTGGCTCAAAAACCATGAAGTTGGTTTTGGCGGTCGATCCTTGATATTTGGCAACTGGCTGCAATGCCAAGCAATGTGCATCAAGTTACCCACACGGCCACACCAAGGGCAAGGAGAGTCTTCCGTTGAGTGTGCGCGACCCAACCAAGCAAGCGATACTATGCTACCCAGGATGATTGCACGAGCTGGCGCATCGCTTTTCATGAAGCTTCACCTGGCAGCCTCAAGATCAACGTTTTGGATTTTTGCATGCATCTGCAGTGGGGATGTCAAACTCCTCGACTCTTGCTCTTCATGGCGTTTGCCTCTGGCGCAGACGTGTCTCGTGCCATGACATTCGGATGTGGTGACATTGGGAATCAGCTTCTCTGTGTGAAGGGGCACAAAGAGTGATGTCATTTCGCTTCCAAGTCCAAGGTGTAGTTTCTTGCCAGCCCCAGTCTTTGAGCCAGCTTCGAAAAGTTTTTGCAGTAGTGCAAGGGACGTTGGTCCAAATGACCGTTCCTCTGCTTTTCATTCTGCACAGTCCTTTGGAAAGTCGGGCGGCTAAAAGCACCTGCATGTGGCAGTCACCTCCATAGACAATGGAACGAATCAGCGGATTGGCAAGATAGTTTGATACTGTCATCTTTGATGTATAGGCAGATGGAAACTTTGTTAGAGTTAGCTTTGGTTGGAAAACGGGCTATCCAACCATGCAAGGCTTTTGGTACCACAAACATTCTGTAAATTCCAAGTTTGCGGTGCAAAATTGAAACGCTTATAGCCTATAGAGCGGAGCAAAAACTGGCCTATAGGATGCGGGCAAGCTTTTAAGCATCGCAGCAACAATCTCTTGATCATTTCATGTCTTCTCATCCGATCCAACCTTTTCTTATTTCCTCTCAAGTCTCACATCTCATCTCCTCTCACTTCATCCAATTTAATTTCATCTCATTTCTTCTGACCCGATTCATTGTCATTTCATTTCACATCTCACGTCTCATCTCATCGCGTTTCATCCAACTTCACCTCATCTCATTTCATCTGATCCGATCTCGTTTCATTTAATCTCACACCTCAAGTCTGACATCTCATCTCATCCAAACTCATTTCATCTCATTTCATCTCGGGCCGTCTTTTCTCAACTTTTTTCACGTCATCTCATCTCATGTCCTGTCACATCGCCTGTCTTCTTCTCAACCCACCCCAGCTGCTCGCATTTGATCTCAGTCGTTTTGCATTTTTCTCATGTTATCTCAGCCTGTCTGATCTCAGCTCAGCTCATCGCCTGGAGCCGTTGTACTCTTTCTGTTCTTTCCCCACGACACGTCGCAGCAGTTTTTCTTGGGAAGTTGGGTTCCTGCGCGGTCCGCAACGACGCGCGCAAGAAAGCATCTCGCATGCAAAATGTGAGGGCTGTTTTGCGCAGTGGACACGCAATCAATCTTCGGCGATATGTATGTGTATATATATATATATGTATACACAGGCATAAATATATATATATATATATAGACATTTGCAGGCGTGCATATACATATGTAAATACATATGTAAATATATATATATATATATTTAAAAAAAAACATATGTAAACACCATTAATTATATGCCACAAAATTCTCGTGGAAATAAGTCCCTTGGAATTTCCTAAATCCCATGACCATCCCATCCCCTCCTCCAAAAGCAGCCGCGTGGAGAGCTGCAAGGCGTCCGCCAAGGGGTTCACCGAGGCAACTGTGCCTAGGCCATAGCCCGCCATGCACAGCTGACCTCCGGGAATGGGGCTGGGGTTCAACATGGAGAGATGTAGATATAATATCATCATGTACTATATATATATATATACACTATATATTATATGTATATAAATATACAGATACACACTATGTCTGTGTGTATGAACTAGTTATGTATCTGAATCTTGTCATGGATTACCCGCTGATTATTTAACCTAGCTGTGGGAAATCATAGTTTTAATGGGTAAATCAGCATAATTCCTCTATGAATGGAATCATTGTGTATATGAGTTATCTGATTATGTATGCGATTTGATCATGATTGTTGTGGTATGTGATTCTAATTCTAAGTATGAACATGATTCTGATTATGTAAAATGTAAATGAATCTGATCATGTGCATTGAACTCATTGTGTATATGAACCTAAAATTGCATTGCATATATCTATTAAATATGTGTCATATGTATCTATGTTTTACGCACATGATGATGGATCATGCATCAAGTATCACATGAAATCAAGTGGCATGAGTTGTATGTATAAACATACTCATGTATATATATATATATATATATATTTATATATGTACATATATAAATATATTATATATATATGTATATATTAGGCATGCTGTTGATCATATATATATATATGTACAGATATATTAGACATGCTATTGATCAGATATAGCCATGAAATGATAGATGATGGATCTGTGGTAGAAACAACTTGGGTGTACATATGAATAGTTTTAATGGGACAAACTTTGGATACAACAATGATTGCAAACCAAGCATAATCATAAAAACACGAATGAGCCGTCAATGGTAACCGTCCACCATGTTGAATACTGGGTCTAAAGCAGATCAACCAATCAGTACCTGGTGGTTTGGAATTCCATAATTTCATGAAGAGGGGTGGGTACTATGGGATATGATGATGAGAAATAACTGATAGGATGATGGGAAAAGGATATGTTACGATACAACTAATGAAACAAAATAGTGGGGATATGATCAGGAATATGTATATATATATATACACATACATGACTAGTTTAAAAAAATGTATAAAATAAAATCGTGTGCCGTTGGGCAAGTAATTGGGATACAACGGGTATATTTTGATGATTGGTATAATTTGGTATAGTATGAGTTGTGAGACAGAAATTTCACACTTTTGAAAACAAATGCCAAGCTCCATATATGCTGAAATGTCACTCTGAGTTCCACTGCCATAGATCTTGCGCATGGGAGAACATAACACTTGGAGGCCGATTGATTCAATGTGATGAAACTGCTGCAAAGTTCGCATGATTAGAAAACATATTTGGAGTTTGGTTAACTCTGCCTTATCCAACCAAACTCGTGTCTGGAAAACCAAACTCTTGCAACGGTCTGCAAGTCCACCTCAATACAAAAACAGACATGTCCAGGTGAAGGCAGGGATGGAAATGCAAATTGAAAATGACCAACGATTCAATTCAATAATCGCATGCCCAGGCTAGGGAAATTCATTCACTTTCATGTGGTTGGGAAACTCCGTTCGTAGCTCCAACTGGCTCCCAATTGAACAGGGGAATATATGGAATATGAATACCCATGGCTCCTTAGCTCCCACCCAACCGGATAAGTCAGCCGGCTTGCCTGAAGCACCAACCAACACGGAGCCACCAGAGAGTGATCCATGGCTCAGGAAACCCAAGCTATACCATGGCCTGCGAGGAGGCCAAGGATTGTCTTTTTTGCCATGGATTTCTATGTTTTTAGATTTCACTATCATCTCTAGTTTTCCGGAATATTGGTACCCGTAGCTCTTTTGCTCCCTTCGAACCACCAAATAGGTCAAACAGCTACGAAAATTTACGAAATCCGGAAATTGTCCAAGCAATTTAACACTAATGTGGGATTTAAGCGTCAAATTTGGACTCAACTAGAGCAGAATCTCGACAAAATGGGGAAAACTAATCAGATTTGTATGTGACATTATGTGACTATATGTGTAAATTCTGATTATGCGTGAACTTCATATAAACCAACAGTCTGGAGATCTGACAATATCTGACAATCATGTTCATGCTGATACACTATGCGGGTAGGGTTCCAAGATTGGCAACTCCCAATCGTCAGCAGAGCCTTGTTCGGTAGAGATCGAATGCCTTGGCAAGGGCCGGGTCGATTCATAGTCAGTTCAGAAACTTGCGATGAATTCGACATCCAACCCAGAGTAAAAACAAAACACAAACATAATTTAGACAACATCTGGGGGTTGTGCTAAATTCTTTTGCACGAAAATGGCTCTTGCGCCGGCCTTGGGCGAACCTTGCGCGTTTCTTGCGCGACCACAATCCCGTTGGATTTTTAGATTCTGCATGTTTTCGTGTCCTGTTTTCGCGCGTAACTTCGTAACACAGATACAATTTATTGATTTAAAATATATATATATATATATTATATATATATATATTTATATTTGTGTATGTGTATATAGTGACAGGGAGGGAGGGAGGGAGGGAGGGAGGGAGAGAGAGAGGGAGAGAGAGAGAGAGAGAGAGTGAGAGAGTGAGAGAGTGAGAGAGTGAGAGAGTGAGAGATTGAGAGTGAGAGAGTGAGAGAGTGAGAGTGTCAGCGAGAGAGAATGTATCTACATGTCTATGATATGCGTACGTATTTGCAATATATATATATATTATGTATATATATTCTTATGAGCGAATTTATCTTCCTCCTCCGGCCTGTTTACACATTGTACATCCGGCTGTTTCCACAGCCTGCTGGCAAAGCTTTGCCATGCAGTGTTGTCCTCACAGCCTAAACCGACTTGGACGCTCATCCTGGGTTCTGGCATGATCTCATTGCTTGAACCTAGAAGGTGCAGGGCTGGAATAGAGGAAAGATGTGTTACGGGGTCAACTTTGGACCTAAAGCTTGCGTGGCTCTTGCGCGAAGCTTGCACGGATTTGGGCTGAAAATGAAACATTACCATCTTTGGCGAATCTGTCTTTTTTCGTGTTTTTTCAATCAAACTGCAGATCGAAAAAAACAGGGCTTGAGCACAGGAACTGCACGAAACAGCCAATGCTACAAATACAAAGTAGATGCAGAAATAGCCGCACAAACTTACGAAATCTTACGAAAACATCTTTAAAGAAACAACATGAGATACCCCTACTACAATTTCCCTTGCGCAAAACATTGGGCCGGCCTTGCGCGAAGCGATGCAGGTTTTAAGCTACCCCAAAGATCTCCACAGACCCGCAAATTAAATTTGAATAGGAGGGTGTTAGAACGACCCCCATCTGATTCAGAACATTCTAGGGGTTAACAGGTTAAATCCATTTATATAAATCATTGAAACACACTAAAAATCATAACTGGGTTGCTTATGGTTGTTTAAGGCATGCGGCTGATACGGCGCCCTTGGAAGGGTTGCCCATTTTGAGATGTGCCATTTACGATCCCTTGGAAGGGTTGCAAATTTCAAAAATGATGCTTGCGGAAATGGGGGTATAGGATTTGATTTTTTGAGTTTTTAACATGTTGCACATGCTGTCGTATGATCATTAGGGGGGGTGGGGGTGGGGGGTGGTGGGGGTGTATTAACGTTCTTGACGAGCACTTCCTTTACGTTACGGAAGATGCACACGTTGCGCATGCTGTCGTATGATCATCAGGGTCGGTGGGGGGTGGGGGGGTGGGGGGGTGTATTACAGTAACGTCCCTGACGAGCACTTCCTTTACGTTACGGAAGATGCAAACGTTGCACATGCTGTCAGTTGTGTCAAAGATTATCCCCACAAAAGGTTCAAGTTGGCCCAAGTCAAAAACAAACAAAATATCTTTACTAAGACTAAGACTTATCATTTTCGAGGTCGTTTGTGGGATAAATCCTATAGAGCCATTGTTGCTGGTACCCAACAAATGGATGGAACATGGAAACACTTGAAAAAATGGCGACCTCCGTCGATGCTCCACAAAAAAAACAAAACGTGTACAAAAAAAGGCACGCTTGGGCCTACAGCTGGACATGGCGTCACAACGCTGCCTTGTTGCAGACTGTGGCTTCTGCATTGCCACACGCGCTCTGGCACCGCTAGCGTCGAGAAGAGGAAAAAACTGGAAGAGTGAATGTCGCCCTGATATGATTCGGATGATTGAAAATCATAAATTTCTAATGTTTTTTTCTTGACCCTTGAAGAGCAAAATCGAGTCACTGCGCAGGCGAAACGCACATTTTCACTCTTGAGTCACACGCCTGCCAATCGAAATGAATGTCCATGTTGCAAACATTTTTTGACGACTCCTGCAAATACCAGCATTTTGTCTCTTAGCCTCAAAAATCAGAATCCAAATTCGTCACCCTTACAAGGGCGCCGAGTCAACCGGTTGCCTTGTTTGGTATTGCCAATTCAACCCAAACCAACTACTAGGGGATAATTTTCCATTTTGCAGCCCAAGTTGCCCACAACGCTCCAGACAACCGTTGCAGTGCATCTAGCGATTTCACCAATTCATCCGTTGGTGTGACCTGCGCTGGAAGCGGGCCAACGATTTCCTGCTTGGATGAGAGGTACAGGTATGTAAACCGTCATGGTACCGGTACCCTCTGGTAATCAAACATTGCAGTGGGAAATCAACAATTTTATAGATGATTGACATGATGATTGTCCCAGCTAGAAACATATTAAAACCCTCCATTTATGCGGGTAAATCCGCATGGTAAAGCCAGCTCTTGTCGAATTTCCCGTGCACAATGAGGCTATTGTTTGGCACTGAAAAGGCGCCTCGAAGCTCATGGTCCCTCCAGCAATTAAGGCACAAAGGTTGCTGGGCAAAGGATCGTTTTCCTTCAGGGCCTAGCGGCTGAGAGAGGTTGCATGGACATGTCAGGTGTATATTGCGGATATAACTGGAGGATGCTTCCTTTTCAAAATCACAGAAGCCTAAATGAGGGTCGGAAGAAGTTGGAAGATGATTTTCGGATAGGAATTTTGAATTTTTGACATGTCACCAATCTCACTGGTTGAAATTACCAAGTTCAAGAGTAATCACAGATTATCATTGAACAGTGGGTCAGGGTTATTGTAGCAAGATCAACACTAGGCTACACTGGAAGGATATGGAAGGTTTGTTTGGTAGGCAGGGTAAGGTTGGCACAACTTCTATACATGCGGCTTGTCTGCCCTCATTGCTGCAGCCTTTAATTTGTAGTACCAAGCCTGGAAAGCTATGCCTACAGTCAACAGGGACACCAGGAGCCACCAGCACTTCCCATCCTTAATGAGCTGTCTGAAGTTCAGGGCGCTGAAGAGATCGGGCTCGGCTTTGGTCCTAATGGCAGGAGCATCCCAAGTTGAAAACTGCTACAGATCAAAATGCAGCATGATGACATACTTTTCAAGCACTGTATAAGAATGCATTGTATAAGAATTTGAGGGGTCAGGCTCCAATCCTTACATCCTATATCCTGGGAACATGTCAAATCCCTATTGCTTAAAAAAATTGAGGGACCCACATTTAAAGTTTAAAGCGGCGACCACATTCTCAAATTATTAACAGCCGGTGGCGACTACGCTGTAAAATGGCACCATTGGCCTGTTGAGGCCAAGCCAACCCATGCCAACCCAGCAAGCAAACCCAACAAGCGCACGAGCAACAAGCGGCCCCGAGGGGGAATCCAGCCCAGCGCTGTTGGCAAGACTGAGACATGGTCGAGATGTCAGCCAGCCACACTAGAAATCCTCTGGCTTACGATGCTGTTGTCTCGGCTGTGCTGGGACACCTCGGGCTGCCTTTGCCCCCCTTGCGGGGCTGAAAGCCAAAGCGTGCTTAGCTGAGCGATCCAAGCTGTTTTTGGCTGTAATAGCCAGGGCCGTTATGTAGTGATCACCTGTCAGCAGCCTCTGCGCCTACAACAACGTACATAGCTCATCTAGGCTGTTTTGGCGTTTAGTGGAGAAAGAGCTCCTGGCAGGTGATCCCTGCGTAGCCCGGGCCGCTATCCAGGGATCACCTGTCAGCAGCCCTTGCCTAGCGTCTTTCACCTACAGAACGCCAAAACAGCCTAGATCGCTCATCTAGGCAAGATTTTGTCTTCCATAGCGGTAAGGCTGCAAAACTATGCTGCTGGCCGGCCAGGGCATGGCAGAACATGTGCTCCAACCAATAGGTAGCTAAGAAACCCTTCAGAATCTGGAGAGACTGGTGCAAATCCACATAAATTCAGCTCAAGAATTTGAAGGACCCTGGGGTTCAACCTTTCGGATCCTTATCCAACGCTCAGGCTGTATCATGAAATAATTATAGCGATCTTGGTGGCAAAGCCAAGAGTAGCTTATCATCTTACGCTTTCTTCACACGCTTGAAGCTGGGAGTAGCGTTCCGTTACTTTTGATGGAACGATTGACACCGCACAACAGCTTCCATCAGTTTGCAAAGCAGCCCGAGCAGCACAAGGACTATTTGTGTGTAAACTGCGCCCACATTGCTGGTGTGTAGCCTAGTTTTACACCCCCCCACATTTCTGTATTCTTTTGGGGATCATCATACCCACTTACAGTTGTATTTCTCACACTCGCTTTGTTGTTGGTTACGTTCGTGTTGCCAAAACCCATTTCGGTTAGTCAAATCCCTTTCCTTGTTGGGAAGCAACATTCTGATATTTGTTGGTTGAATCTGGTATACAAGGTGGTGTCGCCAGTGAAATGTCTATGTTACCCCTATTGATTACTGACTAAAGATATAGATCTACAAATATGTACGACAAACCATAGTTGACCTATACAGTACTTAGAAGCTATTATCGTAGATAGAAATAAACACTAATACATACCACACTATACCACAATGTAGATATCAACTACTCTACAACTAAATCATAAACAATAACAATTATATCATATCATAACACATCATAACACATATGTTGGCTTATTTTGGTAGATAAAGATATCTCCCTGTTTGGCTCGGGTCAAGGTACTTCGCGGTGGCCAACTCCTGAAACAGAGTGAAACAATGGATTTGTCCAAGGAAAACACCACGGGACACAATGGTTTTTACCTTCAAATATGGAGTTGTCCTGCAGATGTTCCTTTCAACGGACAATTACTGAAAATTGCCAGTTTGGCCATAGCTGAACAAACTCGATAGGAGAAGTGCTGTTCATTGCTGTTCAGCAATCAAGCAAAGCCAAACAAATCCATCTGGTTCTTTTGCTTCTGTGACCATGGTTTCAGAGGTTACGCCCAGGGCGTTGCAAACCAACCGGACATGCCTGGGCAATGTGTCGATCGCTCATCTTCATTTTCCTGGGAAGAAAGGATTCACATATGGGTCTGCGCAATACAAGTGGGAATTTCCGAAAACGGGGAACCCCAAACCCATTGGATTTCCTGATTGAAAGATGCCAATGTTGGATGTTTTTTTTGGTCCCTAATTTGAGGAAACCCTCAAGTGAATACAGACAAACGAAGGGCGACTAGAGATCAAACTGGCTGGATGTCGTGGTCGTGTATCAGGCGTACAGCTTGCATTTTCCGCAGAAAACTGAATATAATGTGTTGTTGTCACTTGGAATGCTTGTTTTCATTGATAAGTCATGATACATCATGATAAATCAGTCTTAGCTATTGATGGATACATAAATAATTGACTGACACACACACACATTGTGCATAAGTCGGTGCATAACTCACACATAGTGGTGCACCATCCTTGCTGCGGCAACCAGAGAGAAGTCAACACCGAGAGTTACTGTACCAACTGTCCGTTTCCCGACGACATGTACTGTCACATTCATAGCAACGAAATTTACAGTACCTGCCCCTTATCCCCCCAATTCAATGTTGTTACACGGCTTTGCTTGGAAGACCTTCAAAAATAAGACAGGCCTTTCGGTTCGAGTGCCGGCATGGGTCAGCAAGATTGATCAAGGGGGCACGGGGGGATCAGGTGAGACAACATGTAGATATATGTAGGAGGATGTGTATTCTTTTGAAGAGCCTGGTGCTGTTTCAGCAAGTGAGTCAGCCAGAGCCTTGAGACTTGAGACATCAAATCACCAATCAGCAAGAGATTAATCAGAACTTCATGCCCATCCACCATCATCCACCTCCATAAGATGTTATCCAAAAAAAACATCAACCCATAAACCCATTCTCTCCATCTCTAGTAATGATCCGTTATGATTCATTGTCATTAGATTGATTTACGGGGCTCCACACTGAGCGCAAGTGCAGGGGTGCTCCTCTATAGTTATTCAAATCATATTGAAATTATTCTTGTTTTTGTTGATATAACTATGTTCAATTCGACATTGCCCCAAACGGTTCTTTCTACACACATGCTTAGTATCGCCGGGGTCTGAAGAGGCCCTCTGCTCAGCTTGGATTGATGGATCCGTCCGCTGCGAGTGAGTGCGCGAATGAGAAATCTCCACAGATAGAAATAGGACACCTACTTGCAATTGTCCACAATTTGCTTCTAGATTTGGTGAATGTTGCTGAGAAAATCAAAAAAAACTCATATCATCTAATATCGACATACAACATTAATCAAACAACTTCCTGTGGACATGCCGTATCCTCACCAGTCTCGACCTATTCTCTGCAATGTTTAGCCACTGTCTTTTGCAACCAATGAATTTGGGATGATATTTCCCAAAAATGGAAGAGCACTCTGGTGCCAAAGAAAGCCTCATGTATCAGTGTGGAACCCCGATTTATATAAACATATTTCAAATTATCATGATCTCCGCAGATTTCCCCAGCCAGCAGTGCTGAAAGACGAGCTTCGCCAGTGGCCCTCGGAGGCTTACGAAGTGCTGCAGCCATCCAGGAACCTGCGAGCCCATGATCTGCGGTTCATGAGTGACTGGTGAAGCCGTGGAGCACACAACGGCACTGGGACCAAAAACCCTGGGCTCCCTGCAAGGAAAAAGCTGTAACACACGTCCCTCAATCCTGTCTGATTGAAGTCAACTTGTTCATTCTCTAGATAAACATCCCCCCCCCTTTAAGGGGGGGGGGTGGGGGGGGTTGAAAACTGAAATATTTCACTTTCGGGGGGGGTTACCCCCCCCCACACACCTAGAAATATTTCAGCTAAAAATTTCTGGTTTATAATGGTCTCTCCAGGGCCTGGTTGAATTCAAGGCTGAACGTCAAGCTCTGAAACATGTTTGGCAAGTTCACTCTCTTATTTATTTTCTTGGAAACTGGCAGTTACCATTTACATCCATTTACCTAGTTGTGTGGCTTGCGCGTCGGCCCTACCCGCGTAAGGACTAAAAAGGTGATTTTTTTAGGGGGGGACCCTGCTAGAACTGTAAAATACCATGGTTTTGCAACTACCCCCCCTCAAAAATTTCACCCTTGTATTTCGGGGTAGGAAACATAAAGGGGCTCCTCGAGCATTGGCAATGGATTTTTTTAGGGGGGGACCCTGCTAGAACTGTAAAATACCATGGTTTCGCAACTACCCCCCCTCAAAAATTTCACCGTTGCATTTTTCTATGTGTAATTATGTGTATATATAAAATATTAGATATATCTCTATATATGAATGTATGAAAGTATGATATGAATGTATGTATGTACGTTATGAAAGGGTGTGCCATACCATCTCTGGGCTAAAAATGTTGCATCCGGAGGACCCCCCCCCCACATCTTTTCGAAGCCCAAAAAACATGTGGGGGGGGTATATTTCATGTGGTCAGGTGAAATATTTCTCAGAAATTTCTTGCCTTACCCCCCCCCCAAATATTCCAGGGTTAAAGGGGGGGGGATAGATAAACAATGCCAATCTCCCAGAAAATCAGACATGATTTTGAGGTACACTTGACTGTCACAAACCCCTTTAATGATTCAAACAAGCATAGACACCTATGATCGAAAAACAATTCACGGTTATTTATGCGATTGTCTTCCCTTCAACCAATCCAGTGACCGTCATCTATATACCTCAAGTGCCCCCGGGCACCAATCTGCCTCTCGAGTTGCCAGCAGCCAGGAATCCATCCATTCCGTGAAGGGAAGACCTGGATGGAAAGCGGTGAAGCTGAAAAGAACATGCGAAACATTGCAGGGTTGTTGCTGTTGCTGCTGCTGTTGTTGTTGGTGGTGGGTGGTGTTTGAGCCAACCCCAAAGAGGAGAAAAAACAAAACACAAAAGAGAACCTGAAATATCATTATATAATGATAAAGCATGATAAAGCCAAGGGGCCAAGGATATCACTGTGACAAGCGTCAACATGGGGGGCACTGTAATCAGCAAGAACCCAAAGTATTGAATAAACATCCACTGATTGGTGGTTGAGCTACCTCACGGAAAATATGAAAGTCAGTTGGGACCATCATCCCATTTGTTGGGACGGGAATATAAAATACAGCTGACATCGACCAATGCTGGTTGAAAGGCCTGAAAATGAAGAGTTCCAAAAATGGATGGGAACTGAGTCTGCCTCTGAGTGCTCTCTGTGCATCTATTACCATAGAATGATATGATGCCATGATCATAATCATCTCGTATTCTGTCACGATGTCTCGTTGAGATATTCTCAAGCAAGGAAGCAGGCCAACAGTGCCAATATGTACCACTGGGTGTGTGTCAGATTGGCTGCCCCAAAAAATTGGAACCTACACTGAGAATAGCCCAGCCCATTTGTGGCCTAGGTAGTTCCACAGGAATGCTGACCCATTCCCAACATTTGTGGCTGAGAATCTCTCAGGTTCAGGTCATCACACCCCAATTTCTTGCTCAACCACCATTTACATTAAGTCAAACCACCTTCTTGGGGGCGAAGTCACCCCTTTTTGTTGCTTCATTCCAGATTCTGGCTGGTTATATATGGTTATATACAGTATATATGGTTATATGATGTTACATATAATTCCCCTTCTCTGCAGTTGATTCGCAAAGTCACCACATTTTTTGGTGATCTCCGGCCCACGACCAGGCCACGTGCAAAGTCTCTGGTCTCTCGCACAGTCCGTTGCAGCTCTTCCAAACGGCTCCCCTCATGGCCTGGAGAGGTAGGATATGTGGTAACCCCAAAAAAGAGATAGGCAAGGGTGATTTATCATGGATATGAGTAAAATTGCAACCCCAAAAAAGATTGAAAGTTGGGTCATGTATCACTATTTGAGAATTGACGTTTCTCTTTGTGTTGGGGGTACAAAATAGTTTCAGTGCCTGGAGGGTATGTCTAAACTATCATCATGTGCCTCATAAAAAAATAAAAGGCAATTGTTAGATATCAACTGGTATCTCTCTTTTGACGAAATGCAAATGGTAGTTTATCAATTGAGCATACCGCTCAATGGCTGATGTTTCATTATTGTGGACATTCACCCCACAAGTAACATTTATAATACATTTATATAATGTGGCTTGAAGGCCATACATGAGTTTATACAAACTGTATCTAACTGGTTCAATGCGGAGTATGAACTAATCCAATCTGGGAAGGAATCCTAAATAAAAGGTTCCGGTACTAAACCAAGGTTTCAATTGGGGGTATTTCATACATTACGGGGACGGTATTACTGTTTGAATTTATGTACCATGCATTGATGTTCTGGGATTTCAGCCAACATGCTGTTTCAAAGCATGTGCTGCCCCCTTTTTTTTAATTGTCTTGTTTTCCTTGAATAAACTAACTACCCATCCTTGAAATCATACCTACACATACATACATTCATATGATATTTATTTTATCAGATCATATGATATATATTAAATATCATATTATATTATATTATATTATATTTTATATTGTATTACATGATATTACATTATATTACATTATACTATATTATATCATATTATATTATATACATTGTATTATATATTATTATCAAAGGAAGTTGGGAAGCAATACTTCCGTGTTACGGACAGATAGAATTCTGGGACATGAAATGATGCAGGGTGGTAGATCACATAACAATACATAACATAACAATACATAACAAAAGAATAAGAAGCAGTGGAATTGACTTTGATGAAGGGTGGTGATAATGACGGGTGGTGACGAAGGGAAGTGGTGACGAAGGGAAGTGGTGACGAAGGGAAGTGGTGACGATGGGAAGTGGTGACGAAGGGAAGTGGTGACGAAGGGAAGTGGTGACGATGGGAAGTGGTGACGAAGGGAAGTGATGATGAAGGGGAATGGTGAGGAAGGGAGGTGGGGACGATGGGAAGTGGTGAGGAAGGGAAGTAGTGAGGAAGGGAAGTGGTGACGATGGGAGGTGGTGACGATGGGAAGTGGTGACGATGGGAAGCGGTCAGGAAGGGAAGTGGTGAGTTGGGGAGGAAGCCGGAGCACGAAACCTTGTGTTTTTCCGTGTAAAGTGGCTGCAGCCGGCGATGAAAGGTACCTTGTCTGTGCGGCGGGTGCGGCTGCGGTCGTTTCTGTCGCGAATTGTTCCTCCTATGTGTTTTGCAACAATGGTTGTTCCTGTGTGCGTAGTTCTATGCGTTTCCTGAAGCTGTGGTTGCAGATCGCATTGTAATGGCTGCATGAATGTTGCATGGGCTATGTTTCGGGGAGGAAGCCGGAGCACGAAACCGTTTGGGGAGGAAGCCGGAGCACGAAGCCGGAGCGCAGGACTATTGGTTTGGGTTACTTCAAATATGGACTCTGCGCTGGTTGTTTCGAAGCCTTGACAATGTTTGCACGGAACAAGACGATACCTTGGCAGAACAGCGCTGCGTTGCCCTGACAGATGATGGTGTGCACGCTGCGGCCATGTTGTTGAGTGCTTACCGAGCAGGTGCAGGATGTCGTTTGTCGCAAGCAGATGCAGCTTGGGTCCGCAATGTCATTGCGGATAGTGAGAACTTCTTGCCTGATTTGCTTCGTGAAGTGCCATGACGGCCAACCAGGCTTCCAACGTGATAAGCTCTCCAGCCTTTCGTGCCAGTGCGGGCCGAAAAGCTGCCAAAAGCCTAGACGACCAAGTGTAGCGCAGAGAAAAAAGCAGCTGTCGAGCTTGGACTGCGTGAATCTCCTTGACAGGCAACAACTACACCATGTTCACACTTGCCGTTGCGATTTGATGCAATGCATCAACGCTTGGCATTAATGACCTCAATATTGTAAATATTTTATGGTCTACGCCTTTTGGCCTGTAGAAGAATCAACATGAGTTACGCTCAACCTTGCTGACGTGCAGAAGCGCCGAGAAGAGCTCAGATGAGATGAAGTGTGGAGTGTGAAGAGTAAAGTGTGAAGTGTGGGGCGTGAAGAGTGCAGTGTGAAGTGTGGAGTGTGAAGAAAGCAATGAGAAGTGAGAAGTGTGAAGTGTGAAGTGTGGAGTGTGAAGTGTGGATTGGGGAGAGTGCAGTGTGAAGTGAGAAGTGTGAAGTGTTGACTGCGAAGGGTGCGGTGTGAAGTGTGAAGACTGTCAAGTGTGAAGTGTGACGTGGGGCTTCAAGTGTGACATGTGAAACACGACATCAGTTTCGCAGAGTGCACGCACGCACGGGCTTGGCTGGCGCACGGCGCATGCAAGTTCTATAGATGAGAAAGGTCTTATATATATCTTTAAGGCAACTTCCGCCCCGCCTCGTGCGGGTACTACTGGTATTATATTATATTATATTATATTATATTAATTATATTATATTATATTATATTATATTATATTATATCATGATTCTACCAGAATCACCTAGGACCTAGACCTAAACCCAGGTTTAATCTACGAGTACCATTCATGGACGAGCTGGGCAAGGGAATGGGTCAAACCCATTCCAGGCACCCTAGTGAACATCAAAGGAGCTCTGATTCAACAAGCCTGAGAAAACGATTCACTGGATTTGAATACATAACACATAGGTATATAACAGTAGGCAAAGTCATTATAATATTATAACCACAGTTCATTGTTAATTCACTAAGCCTGCAGATTGTCGATGATCAAATTAACCCAGCTTGGCGGCCCAAAGAGCAGCGTTTCCTCGCGGTCGATCTATAACCATCATTTCTGGTGATGTTGTGGCGATGTTGTGCGGAATTCAAACAAAAATCCAGCGCAGCCGAGTGTGGCAGTCATTGCCAGTCTGTCCTGGGTTAAGCCCAAATGAGGGGCTCAAAACCATTCCACGCCATCTTTGCCTCAAAGACTATACCCTCTGGTTATTTAACATAGCCATGGTATAGATGGCCCATAGAAATAGATGGTTTACCTATTAAAAAAGGTGATTTTCCATAGCTATGTTAGTAGGGTATAGTCGTTGAGGCCACCCATCCTGAGGGCCTCGTCGCACCATGTCTCCCAAGGAATGAATATAACCAACTCCAGCTGGATATCTGCTGCTCAGCATCCTCGGCGGTTGGTTCGAATGGTTGATGGGGGGCTTCCCATGGACCCATGAAAGTCGTGTTGGCATCATCCACCAGGGATTTATGGAATGGCTGATGAGCTCATAATTGTGTTTGAAAACGTGGGAATACAAACTCTGGGAGTCTCAAGCTGGATCCAATCCATCATCATGATTGCCTGTTGGCATCAAATTGAGATGGTTGACACGCATGGCGCATTCACGGCACATTTACGCTGCAAATGCCAGCAGATCTGCTTTTCATGTCGACCGATCTCGGACTGATTTCATAAACCCCGGCTGATTGATGCGAGGTGTCAACCCCCCGAGAAGTGATCATATGCCATTAAACATATCATTAAACTGGATGACTGGGTTGCACACTCCTTGGGTCACCCAGGGTTCAACCTTCATCCTCCAAGATACCCAAAGGGCAGCGTGAGCTGCACGGCTGCAAGCCGTCCAGCGACCTGTCAACACTTGGGGGTGAAGATAGTGAAGAGTGAATGCCCATGGGCCCCAGAATTTGTCTGAAAATTTAAGGGACAAAATCTCATTACTGGTTCATCATCATTTAACCTATGAAAATTGCCATGGCTTGTTGGTATTCCCCATGTTCAAACACATATACACACACATCCATAGAAATGACAATGTTAGAGGGTAATCTGAAGGAAGCCACCCAATTCAAGTCACTGCATTTGAGAGGTCAAGACGCCACCCTAACACGCAGTAGGATCATGTAGGACCTATTGATGATCCTCTCAAACCCATGGTTTGGTTTGGAAGAAAAAATCAGGAATCCACGATATGTTTACCATGGTTCATGATTATCAACAATAACCATGCTCATACGCTGCCGCTACAATGCTATATTGGGAAGTCATTCACATCATTTCACATCCATGAATCCCATCCCAGCTGTGGTTGGAGTGAGTGAAAACCAAAATGATTCCATAGATTTTGGCCATATCTAAATGGGGGTACCCCTTAATCATCCATTTAAATCAAGTTGTTCCATGAAATAAACCATCCAGAAATCTGGGATCCCCCATGACTTAGGAAACGTACTACATATCCCCACATATATATCCCTCCAAGCCTAGCAGAAACACCAAGACCTGGCCTGTTCCCCATCTGACTGCGTCATCAAAGAACCCACCACCGTCGCAGCCTCCGTGCCTATGATCTCCTGGTGACCACAATGACGACAACAACCACAACAACCACCAACCAACACCATATCACCATGCACTTTTTTACATCTCATATCTTCATATGTTATATCATGATATATAGTTATCTATTATATGTTGAATATATTTTGTGGATGTTGGCTGATGTTGTATGATTTTCTATGAATTTCTATGATTTTCTAGCTCTCTGGTGCTGAAAATTGCCCAACTAGGCCATGTGGTTTTTCCCGTCCTGCACCTCTCTGGCCCTGAGTTCCGCCTCATCTCCATAGGCTGCAGGCACCAGCTGAAGCAGCACTGGCATGGCCTCGAAGGATCGGATGGATCGGGGGGTCACCATGGTCACCCGGGAATGACAAGAAACCTATAGAAATCTCCAGGTGACCATGGAGTTCATCCCATTTTTGCTGGGGACATATGGAAAATGGATGAAAATGGGATGGAAATGGGAAGAACTAAAGGGTTGATGGAGTCCAATGAGATTTTTTTGACCAACACCAGCTCACTAAGGTCTGACGATATCCCAAGGTTTCAGGGCCATGAAGTTTCGTGACCCTTCACCAAGGCGCATCGGGCCCACATTCACCAACCTGCAAAGCTTCCCGCTGCACTGCCTCACAGATCCATGAAGCTACTGAGATGGCTATGGCAGGATCATGGTAGGATCTCGAATTTGCTTATGTTTACCTGAGCCATACCTGTATCTGCGCAAAGCAGAACGCTCTCTTTTCTACATATTGCTGCTTGATAGGACGTGAAATTAAAGATCAAAACTTGATAGCTTCAAACTTCTGACTAACCGTCCAATGACCCACGGTTTTCCATGGATTTCCATTAAATCATCCATATGTTTGCACGACAAGAGAGATGTGTTTGAAAGTTCGTGCCTTCTGAGCATCTGGATCCGGCCCTGTCTTGAAGAGGCTTTAGCCCTGATACAAACACTTCATGTATTGCTATACGTTGGCTAGTCCAAAATTGCAATTTTTAGTGGAAAATCATGACCAGTCATTGGATGTTGGTGGTGGATGCAGCCAAACCCCAGCTCCAGGGGCCCAGCCTCATGCCATGGACCCAGAGGCAGACTGGGCAACTTCTTCTGTTGCTGTTTCGGCCGTAGTAGCAGCAGCATTGAGTCCTCCCACAGCCCACGAAAACATGGAGTGTGGAAGTTGGGTAGTTGCCTCCTCTACATCTTTGGTTGTAGCTTTGTAAGTAGCATCCAACACACCTGCAAAACACCTAATTCAATCATTCATTGCGTCCATTTGTTGCCCAAAAAAACTGCCTATCAACCAATGTTTACAGTAAGTAGTTCTTTGCTTTGGTGGTTCGGAATCCCCACAAACCCGAATCAACTATTGCTAGGGGATCCCTTGCAGGAATCCAAACCACTAACTCAAAATTCCAATTTGTGTAAGTTAAATACATAAATATTTTTTTTGTGGGTTGACTTCAACCACTCTCATTAAAAAACGCCCCTGAACTGATTCAGTGATAATTCCATCCCAGCGACCCACTCGGGTCCCGCAACGCCGCAATGCCCAGGGGCCCAGTCCTCTCGTCCACCGGGTCGCTGAAACCACATGCCCTCATAGGACAAGCCCTGCAAAACCTCGATGCCCAAAATTACACCTTCTCCATACGATATGTGAAAAATGACCAATGATTATCATGTTATATTATTTCTGATGACTCCCCAACCATATTGGTAAGATTTATAAGTTACAGTTAGGGATGTGCTTAACTCTCTGTGGGGACCTTTCAACACAGCAAGAGCGGTTGAAGGTTGCCGCTGGAAGGGATAGGGTGTATCATATGATATCATATGTATATATCAACATCGATGGTCCATTAGTGTTAGTGTTTGTGAGCTGCCACTTCTGACCCACTGGGCCAAGCATTGCCAGACAATGCCAAAAACACATTGTGTTCACCCCGTGAGCATCAGACACACAGTGATACCAGCCAAATGTGGCTGAAGATTTGGCCTGATGTTCTCAAACAGCAAGAGCGGTTGGACGTTGCCGCCGGAGGATCACACCTGGATATACCCTACGGACCATAGACCATAGCCGTCACAATCGCGGGTTCGGCTCACACAAGCTGACGCACAGCCGTGCGTGATGCACTTGCCATATGTCCCTTCACTTTCACCACGCAATGGTCATTGTTTGTCTCACAGTAAGGGCACTCGGACCTTGAGTGGCCTTCCCATTTAGCTGTGCTGACTGGGTGCACTCACATAATTCACAAAGAAAAGAGGAACCGGATACGCAAAAGCAGAGCATACCTACACAGTGCGTTTCATCTGGCACAGTAGATATGATTTGAACCTAATTTCCGTCAGCTGCTCTCTAAAGCATCTTGGCACCGGTGCGTGTACATGGCTGTGCAACCACAAGCAATAAATCAATGAACTACACTAACTAAACGGACAATACGTTATGTTTGGTCCCAACAAAGGACTTGACGCTTTTCACCAGCCATAATTTTGAGGTAGTGTTGTATAGTGATTACGTAGTGAGGTGATTCTGAGCAACAATATTCCTCCGGAACTATTTTGCAGACATGTAGACCAAGGGGCAATTCTCAGTTTTGTGTCTCATGGATTCTCATGGATGTTCACAACCAAAGATTCTAAATCTGAAACCCTTCCTATCCCGTCCTTGGTGTGGGCTCTTCGGGATTTTGCATATACAAATCCAGGACGTTCCAAGAAGGTCCATCTGTTTCTACTGAAGTCCCAGTGAATACGGTACTGGATCAACCCCAACAGGCCCACCACTTCGGTCCATGCATCCGCGTCACCCCAAGTGTGAACCACAGAAACTCACCACCACTAAGGCATGCCGAGAGCCTGAAATTCAGAGGAAATTTAGAGGAATCATCAAAACATATCAAAACGTCAAATGGTGAAGTTTACAAATGATGATAATTTCCATAGCTATGGAAATCACCATCTGTTTTGGTTTCCGGTATTTTTTCCCTAATACCAACCAGGTACAGTATGCAAGAGAGGTATCTGCGAAGGCCACTGCCCATAGACTTGATCCTATCTCAACAAGTTTACAAAGTAACGCCGGGCAAGGGCCATAAAAAGGGCCATAAACATCAATAGCCTCCGGCAATGAAACGTGTCAATGGGAAATCCCCCCAAAAATAGGTTTTAATAGAAAAATAATCTACAAAAAGGTGGATTTTCCATTGCAACGTTTGATTACCGGAGGGTAAATGCAAAATTCCTTACAACTCAGAGTTGAACCCCCACAACTCATTGTCCCACGTTTTGCGCGACAAAAATTGGACGAGCATCAGCTGTTCCAGTGGCTGTGCTTTGGCCGCAAAAGTGCTCATGGCTGCATGGCGCCAGGACTTAGAAATTTGGCGGGCCGCTGGGAAATCCCCTATAAAATCTATAAATGAGGTCAGGAAAGTTATCTACAAATGGAGACGTTTCCAGCAATGTTTGATTACCAGGGGTAAGGGACATTCCAAGGCCTGGCTCCAAGTCCGGGAGTTGGGTTTTCCATGTCATGACGGAAGGTACAGGTACAGAGACAAAGGTGTGTAAATACAAATATGATATATAGGGAGAGAGAGAGAGAGACAGATAGCATAATGTGATGTATAATTTTATGAAATTTGATGATAATTAATGCACTGTTGATTTGTTTGTATCAATTTGTATGAGATGGGTAGTATGTACAGATGATATCACCTACCATATGCATTTGTACACTCACCACTGTTACACCACATGTGATCGATTGTCACTGCATTATTCATAGCCTCAAGATCCCAGAACTGCACGTTTCAACCCCAACTGCCACCGAAACAACTTTCGAATGATTGATGATTTCAACCCATCCCAAAAGTATGAGTCATGTTTGGATCATCATCCCAAATATACTTGAAAATACCGCACCTATTCTTGAAACCATCAAATAACATACACTGTCAAATGCAGCTCAAAACACCAGGCTGGCAAGGATTGTACAAATCCCCCAAAAGAAAGAAAAACAATTTACCATTATTCTATAGAACGAATTTACTTTATTTTGGGGGGGATTAATTACTATAAGATACCCTCTGGTAATTTAACGTAACTATGGAAAATCACCATTTTTCATGGGAAAACTTACTATAAATGGCCATTTTCAATAGCTATGTTAAATTACCAGAGGGTACTGATTAATTATAAGGATCTACAAGGTCAAAAAACGCGTCGCTTGACGAAAAACACCAAGCTGCCCAAATCACTCCACGGCCTCTGAAGCCGTGCCCTTCAGGCAAGCCCAAGGCCGAGAGCAGATTGGCTGGGGCCGTGCTTTGGATGTCCTGCGTGGTCAATGGGGTTGTCCGAGAATAGGTATATCTATGGTATATTAGTATACCAACCCCAAAAAGGATAGAACAGAGCAATCCTATACAAACATAGATTTAGAAATTAGTGTTCTATCTGTTTGGTCCTTTGTGGGCGTTAGCATATATAGCCCCAAAAATGAGCCATCAAAACTGTGGATAACCACCAATCATGGCCATATTGACCATCAATCCAGGGTAATATATGGATCTATTGACCACAACAATACGATAATACTCCATAAAATCCATATAGCAATTTAATGTAATCCCATTAAACACTCCCTAAATGGTTACAGATATGTATAAATCCCATATATCAACAGTTTCTGGTGGGTCTTAAAAATCAGGGCTTTTGGGATTCATTTCGCCCATGGCTCCACAGTAATGTCGAAGTTGTCCACGATGCTTCGGAGACCAGGGATGCCAACAATCTGCTCCAAAATCTCTCGCGGCTTCTCCTCGAGGAGCTCGAGTCATGATGGGAATGATGGGAAAGCGACTCATACATGATATGTTATAATATATTGTTTAATTATGTTTAATTTTGAAGAATCACTATATACTTGTATACGAGATGGACACATACTCTCTTGGGAAATATGGTTGCCATTATAGGATGGAACCCAGAAGGTGGCAAATGCGCTTTTTCTCTCTTGTTTTTAAACTTGTTGAGCAAAACGTGTCTGCGACCACAAGTTTGTGTTGACACTTCAAATTCCTGTGAATCAAACATGAAGCGGACCGAGTTGAATCATGTTCTGCCGTTCCTGAGCCCCATTGAACCCCTCAGCTGCCAATCTCATGGATGTCAACTCTGCTTGCAACCAAGCTTCGGGACAGTTGATCGTCATTACATTGCTGGATTGAACCTCTTTCCTTGGTTGAAGGCAACCTGCCCCCCCAATGGGATCAGGGATCCTAAATGATCCTCAACATCGCCCTTCAGATGCAACATGGTTGGATGCAAAGTCAAGAAAAACTACGTGACTAGAAAGCGAACGAAAAAACGGATGGTTCCTGGCCGACTTCGTTTGCATATGATGGCAACCTGGTCCCTGATGATCTGATGTCTTTCATTAGGTGCTTACCGATGCGCCTTTCAGCCCGGTAGGACAGCCCTTTCGGCCTTGTCGATCCTTGTCGTCCAAGGCTCTCGCTAAGGGGCAGCAAGGCTAAAAGGTACTTTCTCGCTAGCTCCACTCCATCCACGCGCTGTGGAAATCGCTCAATCAACTCCGGAGCTGTCGCTGCATAGGCCAACCTCCCAACCCCAAGTCCATCCTCCCAGGGTGTGATTCTCTGGAGGTATGGGGCTTCAGTTAATACAGGGCCTGGGGGCTTAAATCTGGAGATCATAAGCTATTCCGCAGGTTGTGCTGTGCGTGGGATTCCTGTGGATTGTTCAAATTTGTCTCTGGAGGTCCGATTCAGACTGCTGATGTGGCTGAACACCATGTTCTCGTTGTGGTGGGTGGTGGTCAACTACGTTTTCATCAAGGGGGAATCACTCTGAATCACTGTTGCCGATTTCAACATTGAGTCAATTGAATCATCCTAGAAGTTCACTTTGACCGCCCACAGCCATACTGTATGGATCCATATATGGTCATCATGCGCACGGTTCTGAGCCAAACCCCTTCCAAATCTGGCACCTGCTTGCCTTGTCTCCTTCAACCACAGGCGCGTAGCTCCTGGTGAAGGACCATGAGCCTATAGTAAGCGACTCCCGAAACAACCATGCTGCAGTATCCCGTTATATCCCGTTCAAGGGTGAAAAGTGGGTTTACCACCGACTCCAGCTAAGTGCACCCCGCACTTGTCATGGTCACGAAGACCACTAACAGGTAGAAGTGGGCTTCGCAACTTAACACCTGAAACTTCCGGAGCAACAGAACGTCGCAGCCCTCATCCTGAACAAGCGCATACCATTGAACTGAATCCGCAAGTGCAGCAGCCTACGGCGTAGCACCACTCGGCCTGGGTCTGGCTGCGCATCGAAATAGATCAAGGTCGTACTACAAATAGCCAGGAAATTTTGATCTGTGGGGTTGTCTCAATTTTTGAAAACCCAAAACCTTATGTGTTTTGAAAACCAGAGTTCTTGATGACTGGATCAAGTGGCCATTGATTTTGGAAAGAAGCAGTTTAAGTATGTTTAAGTTTTAAGTATCATTTTGAGACAAAGCCGTGTTCATCCGCCCATTCAGCTGTTGTTCTCACGTCTGGCTACCGGCGACAGAGGATTTTGGCTTCCCATCCCAAACTATCCCAAATGTATTCAGAATCAAGTGCGGTACCTCTGGGAATTTCCACAAGATTGGATAGACCTAATATATTGACGTATTCTGAATTATATGGGTCTCTATCTATATATATATATATGGTTATATATATATATGGTTCTATATATATATATATCATATGGGTCTAAATTTGCCACATCAAACCATATATCATGTTTTCTGGTTCTATTTTGGTTCTGTATATGGTTTGATGTTTTGTTCACCAGTGAACCATCCCCAAACTGAGGTTTGGTGCGGTGTTTTTTTCCATCTCCAAATGCTGGTGGTTTATGGCAGCCAGGCTTTTCCACATTATATTATCATTATGATCCCAAAAAAAATGATTCCCAATAGATTATATGATTATCAAATCCCATGAAATTTCAGAAGGTTCCTAATAGATCATCATTAAAAAAATCATCATCATGATTCCCAGGGTTCCAGTCAAATCCCATGAAATTTCCCAATGAATTCCACCGGGTTCCAGGATGAACCGCAGCGCGCCGCTTGAGCCGTGGCGCCACTTTCGACTTCCACCGAGAAGGTTCCGTCCAAGCCTTAGATAATTCCTGGATTTTGGAACATGTTGGAACGTTGAAACCCCCGTTCATGTTAAACACCCCCTGAAACTATGGTTTAAGAGGGGAAGAAAACACATATTTGGGACCATAGAATGGAGGTGTTTAAGATGAATGGGGCTGGGATTATTTGGGCAGATCGGGACCATGAGAAGCTATCTTGACCTGTCGTCACCAACAAATTTCTAGCGACGTTTTGGATAGCTTTGGTAGTTGCTGGACTCTCACAAAATGGGAAAGAACTCGTCTCGGTAGAGCAAATTCTGCGAATTCTGTTCAAGTGTGACTGATTTAGAAGCTGAATCATTCTATAATTTTGATTCATCCCAATATATGTACTGTAAATCATTGTAAATCACCAATTAAACCTTGGTTTCTGGGGGTGTTCGAAAATAGGGCCCGGTGGGATTATGGATTTGCAATGGCAGTTGGATACCAACTGAGTTCACCAACGCATGAAGCCATCGATCACTTTCTCCAAGGCATCTTTTTTGCACATCCTGCAATTGGTGTGTTCTTACTAAAGGAAACTATGGATAAAGGCTTAGGGATAGAGGAATCGTTCAAACTATTTCAGGCGATCCTAATCCTTTCAAAGGATCTAGGGGGTCCTTTAGTCCCAGGTCATGTTCCGGAAGCGTTCAAAAAAAACGTGCAGAACTATACAGTCGATTTTACCAAGAAAAAATCACTTGACCTGACATTAATCCAGGAATAAGTTCCAACTGAACAGATCTCAACAAACCCCAAACATATTCTATATGATCATTCATACACACGTTCCTATACAATTTGGTCAGGAAACTGAACCCTCAGCGTGCCAATGAATTGACCAATCCGCTCCTTTCCACCACGTCCAACGCGTTGGCCATGATGGAAGGCGTTGGACGTTGACCTGAAATGATGAGAAAACGCATCACTTGCAGTAATTGGAGTTTTTCCATGATTTTTCCATGTTTTGTTGAATGCTCCAAAGTTGTCGTTTCAATGGGACAATTGATGATTTACATTGATTTACCCAATTTTCTGAAGCCATAGTGGCCAACATGGCCAACATTTTTCAGCACCAGGGAACCTTTATTGAGGTGCTCAAACAGGCGATAAAATCTTGGCAGCGTCTTTTTGAGGTCATAGTAGTCCTCCCCATCAGCGGCCTCGCAAGCCAGTCTCATAGTGGTTGTCAAGTGGATTGATGAGATGAGTTTGTTGGAAAAATATCCCAATCAAATCCAATGAATATGGTTATTGGTTATTCTATGTTATTCCAATGGTGAAAATGATGATCAAATACAATATTTATTTTTGGGCACCCTTTTTTCAAATGCGCAAACAAATTCAGAATAGGGTTCACATAGTTTTTTCAACACCAATTTCAAAAGGAACTCTGCAACAAAAATCTGAAAATGGCAGAGGTTCGATTTTCTAGCAAGCTGCCCAAAAGTTCTACACAAACCTCAGGTCGCTGCCAAAAACCTCGAAACCATCTAAGCCGTCCACAACAAATATGTTTATTAAAAAATCATTTAGCAAAGTATATTTGGGATAAGGAACCCAGGTTCCCCTAAAGATGAAAAACATGCGCAAACAAAATAACTACTTTAAACACATGTGCTACAACAACAACAGCAGCAGCAACAACACCAACAACACCAACAACACCAACAACAACACCAACAACACCAACAACACCAACAACACCAACAACACCAACAACACCAACAACACCAACAACGCCAACAACACCAACAACGCCAGCCACAGCCAAACCCCAATCTGTTGGTACACCTCAACAGCCCAACCGCCTGCTGGGCACCCTTCTCATCCGAACCATCTGCCACCTGGTAGGAGGTTCACCCTTGAAAAACTGGTCCATCCCCATTTTACCCCACCTTGCAAGCTATATGAGGATGGACCGGTTTTATTGGTGGACGAAGATCCGCTTCTAGGGTAAAAACATGTAAAAACCCATGCGATTGAGTTCTCCAAAGAAGGGTATGAGTCAAATTTTGGATTTTCTATAAAATTCTATGAATATCAAACCACATATCTTCAAATGATGGATGGTTTATATAAAGCTTCACTATACCATCCCCAAGAAACTAAGGGGTATAATATCTATATAAACCATCCATAAGCAAAAATCGAATGTTTCGATGAAGTTTCTGCTGCCTCAGGCTCCATCCCTTGCATCCCATGACCACACAGTCCACCGAGCTAAGGCCGGCAAGGCGACCATCCTGTGAGCTTTCACCATAAAGATCCAGCGACTGAGACTGACTCTGCAACCAAAATCAAGTTTGTTTTTCACGGGTATAAATATATGTTATATATATATGTTAAATGGGGATATCATCCAGGATATTTTTAGGGATATGATTCTACAGACTGTAAAACCGTGACCATAAACCTCCATTTGGGGATGGTGAAGAGCAGCCATTTCCACGACTGGTGGCTTCATCCCCACAAGTAGTGCCTTGTTGTTCTGCAGGTGAAACTTGAGCCACGGCCAAACGTGTCAATGATTCACTCATGTTGTGATGATGCAGCCGTCTTTGTAAGGAAAATCATGAACTTGTGGTGGATAATTTTCCTAGAAATCAACAAGTGTGTGAAAGATCCTCGCTGATCTTTTTCCCCAGTTGCTGCAAATGTGGCTTAAATGGACACATTCACGAGCCTTTGAATTTACGTGCACGAGATTTTACGAACTCTGTACAAATATGTGCTGAGGCCTATTGGCCCCACACCTTTGCATCGAATTCAGAATGGTATTTCCAGGAAACCACATTGTTCAGTCATGAATGGTGTTCCTGTTGGCGCAACCACATCACGTGAATTCTTTGGCGCCAATTCAACGATGCTAACATCATGTCCATATCCACGCATTTGTAGATATCTTTTGAAGCAAACAGATCTAAATCGAATGTGACGCCTCGGGATGTCTTAAGAATGTGTCTATGTCTAATTCGTGATTTCAACCCCCAAATAAAGTGACTGCGGACATCCCAAATATATAAATATGTTTGAAACATTGAAATATCTGAAACCACCAACAGCGAAAATTCTGACAGCAAAAAACACGTTAGCTCCATAGGGGAGCATGTTTGATGGCCTTGGTCACTAATATGGCCTTGGTTGTCACTTCCATTGGGGATGATCTCACATATCGGGATGGCTCACCAAGTTATGCCGTTGCGGTGTATGGCAATATGGTATCTGTTCTGTTCGGTTCCTAATTCCCTTTATCCCCCAGAACTAAACTTGAATGAATAAAATCTCTGTTGGCTATACTAAGCTATTCTATTCAAACAGTGGTTTCGCCATCATGTTCATATCCTCACCACATTCATTGATGATATCCTGAGATTTGGGTTGCTTTGCACCAATACATTACTACCCAAATAAACTACCTTTAACATGAACATTTTATCACCGTGGCTCCAGGTTACACAATATTATATATATACAATCCGCAGAAGCATCTATCAACAGTTATCCAGTTCTATGTATTGTATATTTTTTTTTATTTATCGATATCCATCATAATATTTATCTATCCCAAGAACGTTTCTGAAGGTTTCTCATCCATCCCGAGGCTCCATCGCCTCCAATTGCTCAGCCATCTCCATCAGCTCCTGCGCCATGCGGCGCAACTCTGCAGGGGCTCCTGAAGCCTGAAGCGCTTCCGGAAACGCTTCGAGATGCCGTGGAACAAAAAAACTCTTTCAAGGAACAAACGGGGGATACATGGGGGATACTGTGCACAAACTTTATCAAACAATAGTAAAACCATGTAAACTTGTAAACCCTATATTTTTTGAAAGGTTAACATTTGTTAACATGCATTCTTGATTGTATTTGCCTGTGTGGATCCAGATATGCCATATGCAAGACAATGATGTAGCCTGCCATCCCAAGCAATGTTTCACAACCCCCCCCGTAGAAGCTGTAAGATGTAAGTACGACATCTCTTGCAATACAACCGGTTTTTGAAACCAACTAGCAACTATAGGGGTTCAATATGATTTAATAAATAAACTGACCAAACTTGGGAATCAACCACAACTGATGCCCGCCACCTGCTAAGGGGAACAGGACTGATACTTTGTGCATTCACAACTACATGTTGGACAGTATGGTAGGTAGATAAAATCCTGTGAGCCCTCAAAATTCGCTAAAAATTAGAATATTAAGAACCAACTCGCTAAATGTTCAGCATCTGTGGTAAAGTCATGCCCATCCTGTTGTGACCAACATCCCTCATAGTTTTTGGTCGTGCCTTCATATCATCCTTGATCGGAAAATTCCTGGCAACACCATAGACTAGAAACATTTGGATAGTTTTTGGATATGTTCCCTGATGTTTAGTCACATTGACACTGCACCCAGCAAAAACCGAACATGGAAGCAAGAAATGCCAATGTCCAATGGGATCTTCATCTTGCCAGTCCATATCTTGGCGTTTTTTGTTTTTGCAAACAAAAGCCTTGCAGGCGCATCACAACATGCAGTGCCTCACTCGTCCAGAAATTCAAATCAAAATCAGATTCCAATCAGGTTTCCAAGCCCTAGTGGACATGCGGTCACACAACTAGCTTGAATCAGGATAGTCCACAATGCTGTCTTGCAACCAGATTTGAGGTGAGTGCCAAAAGCCTTCAAACGAGCCAAGCCGAACTGGCCACCAATTTTGAAAGAAGAAATCTCAGGGCATAAATCCGAAAAGGCTTATTTGACAAAATGGATCCAGTGACTGTGACAACGAAAGCGCTGCACAAGAGCTGCAAATCCCAGTTCCGGAAATAGGAAACCACGGATCCAGCCATATTTGGCAACAAGTTCAGCCAAAAATAAAACCAAAGGGGTGTATCGCATCAAAGGGTTGGGATTGCGGATCCAGCCAGTTTCTATAATACTTTGAGAGAACAACTTGCGTACTTGAAGCGGAAGTTTTCTCTGACGGGAAGGAATAACATGCGCCGAAGGCTGTGCGTGGCATGGTTGCCTCCTCCAGTCAATCCACATAGCAAAAGAAGGATAAAGTTTTTTCAACCAGCCCCAAAAATAGTCAGGAAGGAACTCCTTCTTGTCAACAAGATTAAGAAAGCATGTTTAACATTTAGATCTAGGGACAAGCTTTGAGAAGCAGGACATGTGCATTTGTTGGGGGATGACCAGTTCAAAACCATGCTCTGACTTGGATTCTATGGAGTGATATTCCAAAGAAATAGCCATTGAACTGACTCAGGGAATCTCCCAGCCCTTGGACAATCGATCATCTCTATGTGTGCTGATCCATGTATCCTTTAAACACCACTCAAGCACCTTGAAAATCCCTGGCAACAAGGTGGCGCCTCAATAAACCCAACAGCTATTGCAGCGATATATGGTAGATACATCTATATAGTCACCAAAAAAAAGGATAAAAAGCATTGAACAATTCTTTATCACAATATTAGAACACCGAACCTTACTTGTCCATCTTTTTGGGGATTCCTATATTTTATAATCTACAATCTACATACAAATATGGTGTAAACTAATCCCAACTTCGCCCTTCCAGCCCGCAGGGCGCAGGGCCTGTGCAGTGCATCTGCATTGGATTCCAAGGTCATCCCGCGACGCTGGCAGTCGCGTTGCAGCTGAGTCTCCAGCCGCCGCGCCGTGGAGGTATTCTCCTGCGGGGCATTTCATCTGAGCTGGTCACCTTACTGAGCTGGTTAGTGAAATCAACCATTTATACCATCTGGTTATGACTGACTTAGCCATGGAAAATCACCATTTTTAATAGGATTAATAGGTAAACCATCTATAAATGGGCCATTTTCCATGGCTATGCTAAATAACCAGAGGCTAACTGGGATAAGCCACCCTTGGGGACTTACTCACGACAGGGTTACCAATGACGATCAGTGGGATGATCCAAGCAACCTAAACATGTATCTGTGAAGGGCCTGGACACCCAACAGCCAAGCATTTTATGAGGAGTTTATATATATATATATATATTGGGATAAAACAGGCTACGACAATATATAACCAACAATATGATATTTGGGTGTAAATGAGCCATAGCCTTTTAGAATGGGATACAATGGGTATATCATGAGGATATCATCCGAAAAATATACTGCAAACGGTGATATATAGTTCTATCATACAATTCCATGTTGGCTTGTCTGAACATGGAGAACATGGAATGCATACCAGTCAGATAGCCAAAAAAAACGGAGAACATGACGACTCGTAGGGTGCTGAAAGGATGTCCAAATTCTGGATGTTGACCTTTAGCTGCCCGCTGAAAGGGACGGTTTCGGAGAACTTTCAGAATCCAAAAAAAAACAGCATCATATCAGCATCATCTTATCACAGTGTAGAAACTCTTGTTTGATGGACCGGGCAAATTGCAACCAGTTTTGACTCGCTCGGAGAAAACACTCCACAAATGTAAACATGGTTGGCAGTTTCAACCCATTCCCAAAAAACTTATTCAGCCTAGATTTCCCTTAGTAATAGGAGGGACAATTAGAATAACCAATCAGACTAGAATTGTTGTATCAGGTGATATCCCATGATATTCCCTGATATTCCCAATGAATGCCATTAAATGCCATGAAATCCCCGTGAAAACTAGGACATGGACCAATGGTCAACTGCAGCCTAAGGACCACAGGCATCATCAGCACCGCTTCCAGTCGCTCACCAAAGCGTTGCCGGTGTTGCTGTAGACGCTGTTGCAAGTTGTCACTTTGTCCTGGCTGTTGGTGGCTAATAGCCATGCAAACTTGGGATCTCATGGGGTTTATGTGATTTTGAAAAGGGAATATAGTGCGAATATCATGGGATATACAGTGGATGAAATGCCAATCACAGTTTCATTGGAAAATGAATGGTCCGAGTCAACGAGCAAAAGAGCAATATCATGCAACATCACTATCTATGTAAGTTCATCAGAGTGCAGGCAACTGCCTCTTGTCCATCATGCCCTTCAAAGGAATACTGGCGGAGTTACTTCCTACAGGGTCAAATTGATCATATTGCACTTTGTCTTGCAATACACACAAAGGGCAAACTAGAAGCGTAACAACTGCGGCTGATTGGCCCAAAGTGACCGAACAGCCACAATGACACACTCCTACATGCTTTTTTCATCAGGTTATACAGTACATGTAGCTAGAAATACATGAATCTAACTTCTTGGGTGGGACCAGATCAACGTACACAAATATAGTTGACATCCCATTTAATTAATATACACTATACACATTGTATTTTTATGTAGTGGTGTCAACCCAACAATATGAACATCAATTGGAATGATCATCCTAGATAATGTCCAAACATGTTGACAATACGGCTTTACAAGAAACCACCAACCGAAAATGACCATGCAGATCTAGTATCGACATGCATTGACCCATCATCCGGCCTATGTACAAGATCTGACCCCTGAGAATCAGGGTGTAGAGAATGGAAGCCCCAGCGCAAAGTGGCGCTGGCGGCACGTCGCGGGGCTTCAACCGGAGAATCTCCGAAGCAGCCTCAAGCATGGCGATTGTGACGGAAATTCGGCAAACAAATACAAACAGAAAGGTCTAAGGTTTCCTGTAGAGTCTCTGAGTTTTTGTCTTTAAAGAACTTCTGGCAATATATTTAAAAAACAAACAAAAAGAAGGACAAGCCTGGGTTCCCAACTCCGAAGGATGACATCATCTCCATCACAGCTTCTCCTGGATCTGCGACCTGTCACTGTGCCATGTGGGCACAGAAATACAAGGGCTTCATGGTACGCTTTCCACAAGGACAAAAGAACCATCACCCCAGAAGAAAAGGCATAGTAGGAACGAAACCACAAGTGCTTGAGCCTCCAAATTTTGAAACTTGCCCACCCGTCGCGATGTTTCGAATCTCCCTGTCATCCAAAATCATCTAGACAGCATCACCAAAAAACCACTGAAACACCGACGCTCTGCGATTGTTTGCCCCAGTTTGCCATTATTGATACCCATTGAAGATGATTGATACATATTGATACAGTAATAGTCTATTGTAGATTGTTGAGACCCATTTGTATGAATTTCTATCTATGATAGATCTCTAATTATTCATATCATTGATAATCACACTATTAACGTACACCATTTACCCATGATTGGCATATGATCAACCTCAATGGCACCTCAAGACCTTCATCCATCGGCTCTATGGGACTTTCCTGGGCCGATGTGGAAAAAGGCAAGTAACCAACATTCCATGGTGAATCTGAAATGCCATTGATAGCAAATGAGCTGGTTAGGACATTTACCCTCTGGTAATTTAACATAGCTATGGAAAATCACCATTTTTCATGGGAAAATCCACTATAAATGGCCATTTTCAATAGCTATGTTAAATTACCAGAGGGTACCGAATGCAGCCGTTGACCAAAAAAGTCGAATTGTGAGCTGGTGAAAGGACCAATTGTACAGTTGATAGCACCGGATGAAAGTTCGTATGTAACAAAGGTTGACCCAGGTCCTGGAAAGGGGAGATCCGAGGTTATGAACTGCGATGATGAGTTGTTATGATTAGTACAAGAGAATCCTGGAGTGGCTGATAGAACATCTTCGGAATATCCAAAAACATTCCCAATGTAAATCTGCATGATGATTTTCAAAATTTCCTACCACGGCTTGTCCATGGGTCCTGTTTAATGTTCTGTCTACCATGGATATGGCTGTGCGCGGTAGTCAAGTCTTTGAGTGGTTCCAGTTCGGCCAGTGGCTGAATTGTTGACCCATAAACATCCCAGCAAACCCGTAAACATATTACCATACATATTACTGTACCAGTGAAGGAAAGGCACATGACTAATGAATTCAATGGCAATCCCCCAACTTGCATGAAACATCACTAACTTAATCACTAACACCTTTTGCTGAAGAGTCCTTCGCATCATTGAGGGCCAAGGTGTGGTCATTGCTGCCGTCGGTCTTTCGCCCTTCTTGCTCCTAGTGGGCTTGGAGCCCCACGGTCAAGTCCCAACTGGTGGAGGGATGACTTGACTTGCATCATGGATGTATAGGATACTGTAGGAGAACTATTGGTCAACATTAATATTGACGAGGTGAAGCGGCCCACATCGAAAAAAAAAAAAAACGTCCAAAAAAATATTGCTATAAGACAACAACTCATTCACTAATTGTCTCAACTAGTCCAAACCCTTCCGAACCTCAAAATCAATCTTCTCATGTGCAAAAAACACCCCAAATCATATATATATTATATATATATATATATATACTGTATATATTATTATATTATCCATCACATATTATCCATCATATAATCCATCATATATTATATCATATATTATCATATCTTATCCATCCATATCTCACCCCCCCGGCCTCCACCTCCAGCAACGCATGAAAGCGATCCAAGGCTATCTTGGGCCAACCAAAGTGCGACAGGGTTTGAGCTGCCAACGAATCACGACAAACTCCCAGTTCCAGTTGATAGGTCCAGTTCCCAAACCTGCGCTGCCGCAGCTTGTCTCACTTTAGCCCGTACAGCTAACAAAAAGTCCGATTCCCAAAATGTTAAACATATTCTAGAATGATCCTAATATCAGAATGTTTAACATTATAAATGATATCTAGATATTATAATATGATACTAATTAGATAAATTATGCGTTTTTCTTTTTATTTTGCGGAGGTAACCAATCACTGTGATGCCCAAAGTGGGTCACCATGGGTCACATCAGGCCTCACCACACCGAAGCACGCATGGTCCAAGGATGCGGAAAAGCAACAATATTCAATGCTCTGAAACCATGTTTTTTCCCTAGGTGTTTGGGGTGAGACTGTTGAAACCACCTTTTTTTATCCGTGCGTGCTTCAAAAGCCTCATTGCAACTGGTGAATCCATCCTTTTCTTATGGTCAAATTTGTTTTGAATAAACCATGCTTAACCGTTGGCTTAACCACTCTGAAAACATACTGAAACCCCACAAAAACCGGCAAAACCAATCAAAACCAGATGTTTAACCAGCCTGTAACTACAGGCTACCACCCTTGTATGTGTTCTGGTTTCCAAGTTTCACCTAAACTCCCCTCGACAAATGAACATATTGACATGTGATGAACAAATCAGACATGAAACATAAATTCCTTGGATTGGTTGCAGGGAAAATCTATAGGAAACCATGGTTTTTACCATGGTTTTTACCACTAAATATGGGGTTTCCGGTTAAAAGTTTCCTTTAAACCAATCCAATGATAAATCTCCCATCTCTTCTCCAAGGCGCTGGGAGCTCCCTTTGATGCCCATCCGCCACGCCACAGGTTGCGCTCCAGTGCCTAGCCATGGAAAGTCGCTGGGAAAATCATCAAACTGAGGGATCAACTGGAAATGGTATCAATAAATATACAATACATATAACAATAATCAATAAATGGATGTAAGATGATGTTTTTTAAAAGGGGAAAATCGTCAAACGATTTGATGAAATATTTCTGGGCGATCCAGCCATGTTTCATTGTCGGAGGGTATTTACGTACTAAACTATGGGTTTGTACAAAAAAAAATATGCGGATTGGAACGAAAGTCTGAAACCCTACAAAAATCTACAAATTATGTATTTCAGAGACACAAAATGCTGAGGGGCATTGACAGATTTTGCGGGTATACGGTATACTTGTGAATAATGATGTTGCAACCAACCAAACAGCCTGGATACCACAAAGGAAAAATGGATGATACAACCAGCAAATGCTAGGTAATACTTAAATAACATGAAATAACCAAGAAGGATGAAACATTCTGAAACTCTGAACAAAAAAGTGTGGACAATACTACTGTAACAACTAAGGATTATTTTGACCTATTATTTTGGAGATGCAGCAAGCAATCATGCTCGTCTTGTAATGGTACCAAAATACAACAACTCACATCCCGATTAGTCATGTACTTCTACAGCAAAATAGCCCGAAATCCAAAATTCCTGTCTCATTGTCCTATAATGAACTGGGTCACATCAGATCAACATTCACCGATGAAAAGATGTCAGTTTTCCACAAGGATCCCCAGGCCCTGCAGGCCAGATACGCAATTTTACATCCACGACATCGTGCAGGTGAGTGGCTACCACAAACCTCTGCAATTGCACTGGAGGGAACCCAACCATAGCTGCTGGGTTCTAATGCCTAAAGATTGCATTGAGCCAATGTATGGTACGTTGAAGGATTCAAATGTGAGACTCGTTTTGCTCTCCTCCCAGGAGTTTGGGTACTTCCTTATAGGAGCCTTGCAAAAGAGAATTGTTTCAGTGATTTGGCTTTGTCTGGAAATTTCGTATCCACAATCCACTTGCTTAATCATTATTTTAATATATATCTTATTCATGTTCCAAAATGTTCTATATTTTCACATGTGATTCTTTGGGGTATACCCAGGGTTTTTTCCCAATTTTGGTATCCACACCCTTCAGCCATTCCTTTGGCGGTATACCATGGCCGCAACCCTGCAGATCTGAAGCTGTGTTTTCCTCCCTGAAAGCTCTTCGATCAGGGTGCACACCGCGGCCTGTGCTGCGCTGGGCTCGAATGAAAAACTGGCACCAGCAAGAACCACAACTAGGTAACTAGTGATTGCCAATAAAAGTATGGTGGTGAATTGTAAATCCAATAGTAAACCCAAAAGTAAACCCCAATTGGGGATGGTTTCGTGGGTTTAGGGTTTACCTCATTCCAAGGATGTCAACAAGAAACGTGTCCAAAAGATTCCACGCGCACATATTATATATATATACATACAGATTAGATTGAAGATCCGATTTTTTTCTGCATCGTTATATACCCATGTGAGGTTCCGAGAATGATTGGGCAAACCCCTACTTGGATCCTGTGGTAGATCGCGAGAACACGTCATAAGACTTGATGTTCTGGTAGTGGTAGTTTGTCAAGACATCCCAAGAAAACACGATTCAACATCCTATTCCCCAACATTGATAAACGAACGATAGAAATGTATCGTCAATGTATATCCAAATCAAGCATAATTAATAGTTATACAACATTTTTTGTAATCTATTTTAATCCATTCTACAAACACCTAAACCTAAACCCTCCAATGGGTGTGTTTGAAAATTCCTCTGCAACCAATGGGACTCCGCTCGCCATACCTTGGCAGCACGAGGTTCTGTGCCACGGCCAAACTCATCGACCTGGCGCTATTTTTTGGCTCGGAAATGAGTAGACAAACAGATGCTGGGCCCATTCAACTTGACAAATATATATATATATATATATATATATATATTATATATGTAGTAGCCCCCGCAGCTAGGTATGCATAATATATGTGTCTTTGTATTTATGTATATAGGTAGGCGGGTATGTACGCGAAGGTATGTATACATGCAGGTAGGGATTTATGTCTGTATGCCTGTATGTCTGTCTGTCTGTTTGTCTGTCTGTATGTATGTAGGGGGGATTCCATGGGGGGGTATATAGGTGGCCGGTGGATTGGATCATATATACATATATATATATATACATGGCGGATAATTGAATCTTCCAGAGATGCTGAAGTGTGGACTTTTGTATATCGTGGCAAATGAGACAAAACTTGATTGAAATCAGTCCAAACAAACAGGGAAACTAAAAGATACAGTACAAAAAAGTTGGATTTGAACAAAGATAAGGTACAGTACCCCAAATCCAATGATGTTCGTCCTTTACCACGTTATTTCATTGCCACATATTTGAGGACTCCCCCCCAGACAAACCCACATATTGAAACCATCAACCAGTTCATTACTTATTATATCCATATCATCCCAGATATATTATATAAATATATAATCTTCCAATCATCCATTATGTTACAGCTAACCCATTATATATCCATATATATACACATATAATTACATATATACTATATATATACCCATTAAATATACCCAATATATACACTATATCTAGGTTAATCCTTATGTGGATAAAATTCATGGAATCCCCTCCCGCTTTCACCCAGATCCCCAGGCACCAGCGCCAGTGTGCCCTCCGTGGCCCTCCGTAGCAGCGTGGCCGAGATCATTGCCTCGTAGCCTTGGGGTGACTTTTTGATTAGAAGATCTGATGAAAAATCAGGGTTATAATTTATGATGTTTTTTATATATATATATATAATGATATATAAATATATATATATAATGATATATATATATAATGATATATATATAATCACCAGCGTTTTAAGGAGGGGGGACGTACCCAAAATGTAAGCTACATTTTTCAAGGTGTTTTTGAGGGGGGCCTTGAACATGTAAGCTTACATTTTGAAGGTATTTTGAAGACCCTCCCCACAAAAACGACACCTGGGGGACGTTCAGCAACCAATTTTACATTTAAGGGGGGGGTCCCCAAAAAATGTAGCTTACATTTTGGTATGGTTCCCCCCTGAAAAGTGGCCTTAAAGGGGTGGCGATTATATAATTATAATACGTATATAATTTAATTATATACAATGGTTATTAAGTTATGTTTAGTGGTTATTAAGTTATGATTAATGGTAGTTATAATTATAATGGTTATAGTTGATGGATATTAATGAATACTATATGAATATTCATCAATATCAATGGAGATTCATGAGGATTAATGGGTATCAATGAATATTGATGGGTTACCCTTTCCCCTAACATTAAACACACCTAGTCTATGGTCGCAAATATGTGATGTCACCACCTACATCCACCATGGTTTCTAAGGGGGAGGTGCTTAATGGGAAATTGCGATTTAAACATCCAAAATGGCTTTTTATTCTGAGATTAGTGGGAATATAATGGGAGAATAATATGGTATATATTACAACAATGTAATCCCTTCGGTAATTCAAGAGTTGGATATGGAAGGCACGGCCCATGGAGATAGATGATTGCTTATTCAAACTCTGGTTTCCCCAGCTATCTCAAAAATTACCAAGGTTATTCTCACGGGGATTCAACGAAACCCCCTGAAAGGTGGCCCCCAATAATCTTTGGGCTTAATAAATGCGTATGAACCCCCAACAGGGACAACAATACGGTCCAATCTTAGCTATCTATTGGTGGGGGGTGTCACCTTTGCCGGTGTTGGTTGAATCCCCACGATATGAAGCATCAATCACTTGGAATAGAATGTTGGGAATGTTACAGGGAATATGATGCAATTTTGGGGGGCGCATTCTTAAGAGACATCCTGTGACGCGAACATACTCTAACAAACATCCTATATTGAGTGATGTTCTGGTGTGATTGAGCTACACATGCCCCAAATATCGATCAGTTAGGGTTATATAATCCTTCTAAATAGAGGTGTGACAACACAAGGTATCGGCAACTGCGCATGCATGCCCATGCTACCGATACAACTTCAACAAGTCTGCTGTGTACAAGGCATCAAACCATCATTGTTTTTTTTATTTGGGTATATGAGCAACTGAGGGAGGAAAAACAAAAGTTGGTATATCAGCTAGTTACTGAGGGAGGAACAAAAAGTTGACAAAATGGTGATGCCCAGGTTGCATCTTTATGTGGCCGTTCCCTGTTCGACCTTTCTTAAATTCACTGCAAACATCAGAAACTGGCCAACCAGTCCTGCCTGGATGCTTATCGCACTTCACCCAAGTCAAGTCGGTTACCCAAACAACTCATCCTGCCCTCTGGTAATTTCAGATTAGCATAGATTAGCTATGGAAAATCATGGGCAATTTGCATGGTTCATACATAAACCATGGTAAACAATGGTATACTATCTATACGTGGACCATGGTTCCATAGCCTCCATAGCTACGAGTATATGAAATTATCGGATGGCAATCTGCGTGCAGCTGTTCAAGGCCATGGCTCCAAAAGCACTGATTCCCTCTGCCGGGCGGTCCCCTGGCGGACAAGCAATGCAATCTTTTACGTCTCAGGGTATAAACTCACTCGCCTCATGCCACATTCCAAAACACAGCGGATATGTATATTGCGACTCTCAAATGATTGTGAAATTTGAAGCATGTTTTTTTTAATCCTCTCTCCAGTCATTTGAGTGCTTACACGGCTTTTCTTCGGGCCTTCAGCTGAAACCCAAACCACCTGGCTGTAGTGTGGCACCACAGCCTTTGGTTTGCACGGGCAGAGGAAGCCACAATTCGCCAGGAGGGCGCAGGCACCTGGCGTCCGGTGGAAATTTTAGTGGTCAGTGAAACCAACCTGAAATCGGTTCTCTGTCCTTTAATCCAACATTAAAACAAGATGAAACAAGGGCATAGTATCCAGGTTTCATGACGCTTTACTTGATATTCTTTATCGAATTGTGGTATAATGTCCCTGGATCTACAGCCCCCCAGGTCTTCACGGCGCACCTAGCGCTCGCATCAAGGTGCTCTTGCCCGACATGTTGGGACCAGTGGCAACGGCACCGCGTCCCGACTCCAGCTGCACGTGGGAGAAAACAGCATCCCCCGGGTCCATCCTCGGCTGGGAATAATGAGGATGTATGAGTCAGTATGAGGGATGCGTTTCAGCAAGACAGTTCAACCGCATTCAAAAGCCAGACAACTAGATTGATGACTCTGAGTGCTGGAATCACTACAGTATGAATCACAGCTTCATTTTAGCCAATTTGATCAGCATTACTCAAACTCCCCAAGAACTCTACCAAATCGGGACCATTCTCCCACGTTTTTGGGACTTCCAACACGCTGTAGCGCAAGGCTCCAATATGGTGCAAGGCTTGCGTCCAGTCGCTCTCCCCCGATCTGTGGCAAGCTCCAGCCACTTCCTGGGTACCAAGGTACCCCGTTGTGGGTGACGGCTATATGAATCCCCAATATACCAGGTAGCTTAATACCATCTGAAAACATAATAACATGTCGTGACATTTGATAACATATAGATATATAATATATGAATCATATATATGTAATGACGTTTTGATAACATTTAACCACATTTAAGAACATTTCATACAGCATCATTTCAAGAAATGACCATCTATGACACATCAACAAAGAGATACAGTGGGAGGATCGTTTGTCCCTTGGAGGTGCAGCCAGGCTGCATCCCATGTCATAGTAGCCCACCCAACAAGGATGGAAAAGACGCAACAAATCAGCGAAATCCTACTACAACAAATGACTAGACATAGAATATCATAGAATTATGGTTGGTTCCTTGCGGTGTTAATGACAACCCCGGATAAATTAAAACCGTGGTTTATTAATTAGGGGAAAACCTCCTCCAATAGTCATAATCTGATACTTAAATGGTAGCCTCCCAGTTAAACAGCCTAGCTCCTTGGCTTCCAATGTCATAGGCAGTCTGGAGACCGTAGCTCCATTTGGCGCTATCCCCAACAGATCATCATTTTCATGGGTGGTAAAGATCATCCCCAGTAGTTGTTTATGGCGGCCAGGGTTTTTTTCCACATTTCCATTATGATCCCATATTTGCTAGTTAAATCCCATTCTATTCCCATTCTATTCCCAATATTCAGATTATAGAACTATCTATTTATCTATTAACCATCCACTCATCATCCACTCATCATCCATTAATAATCCATTATACCATCCATTATGTTATCCATTATTATACCATTCAAACACTATATTACTAATAAACATCATTATCATCATTACCATTAGAATATACCATTAATATCCATTAATCATCAGAGGTCTCGCCACCTTCCACCTTCCCAAGCCACGCAAGGCATGGCTGGCGTGGCAGTGCGCCGTTAGCAGCAGCTCGGCGGCGGCCACGGCGCTGCGCAGGGCCGGCACCTGGCCTTGGACAGGGGCCACGGCTGATGGCAGATGGGTTTTCCTAAACGGGGCTTCTAAAAAAAACGGGAAAATGTTCTAAATGTTCATGGAATTTCCCTAGAAATGGAGAATTTCTGGCTGGGAAAATGATATCAATGTTATTTTTTAATGAGGCAATGGTTTACTGGTGGGTTGAGTAGTGGGTTAGAATCGCAGAGTCTCCTTATGAAAAAAAATGTTTTGCGCCAAACATATAATATTGCATCAAATTACATCAACAATGCTTGGCTTAGCCATTCTCTTTCTCATCGCCCTCAGCAGCAGAATTCATGAAGCTGGAAGCCAATAGCCCACGAAGTTCCTGTCCAACGGATCAATGTCCTTCCATGTAATAGAAATGGCCCACAAAATTCTTCATATATTCTTCATCTCTACAGTAAACCATCCAATTGTGTGGCTGTATAGGCACCAAAAAATGTTCAGCCAAAGGTTTTTGGAGATGTTTGATATCGGAAAAGCACCTTTCCAGCTGTCCCATCCCTTCCCCCGCTGCTGAGGCACCCCCGAGCTCTGAACAGAGCTGTTGTAAGGCTTGCTGCGTGGCAGCTTCAGTCCTCTTGGCGCAGGCCAAGTAAGTCGCCAGTGCAGCCTGCGGCGGTCCGAAGTCTGGGGCTGAGGTTGGTTCCCATCCCTGAAAGACCTTGTCTAAGTGTCCCATTGAGGTTTCTCATTCCATGTTTTAACATGTTTAAACACAAAATATATTTTGGACTTTCGACCAACAAGTCAAGTTGCACTTTAGAAGTGCGGACGCAAAACCAGAGAAGTGGGGGTTGAACTGGGTACGAGCACGACTATACCATGTAGGTCAGGACTACAATCCCACTTCAACGTGGGAATTGTTCGGTGGGGTTCATGGTAGGTCTGGTTGTCCCAGCCAAAAAAAGACCAGGCTGCCACATTGTGGTAGCTGCTATCCGCATGACCTGGCAGGTGAGGGGGTCCAGGTGGCTGTGCTCGAGGCATCGCATTCAAAGCATGTCAGCTTAAACGTGTTCCCACCTTTTATTTCTGACGCAAGGAAAGTTACTGCTAGAAAATATCTCCGGCTCGGGTTCATTGCTTCGCATTGAACCCAATTTCTCGGAACGCTGGTTTGCTTTGACCATAAGATACCAGAAGCTTTTGACAGGTTCATGGTGTGCTCCCACTATTCAAGAGCATACTGAATACTGAGGAGAGGTGTTGTCTACACGAGACTCACACCTACTCCTCTGGCACAATCTCCGTGCCCTTCGAGCGGCCGAAACATCTCCACAGAATGAAACTTAAGAAAGGTAGCAAACAAAGAATGGAGGCTCCCAAAAAAAACCAGACATACACCATTGAATCGCCGTTTGCCTGCTGGGCCTGCTGCCAAAGTATGGCTGGATCGGTGATTTTTGTGCAGTTACCAGCATGAGTTGAACAACTGGCAAAATACGTGGTGCATGCGCACTGGTACACATTGGGTGTAGAATTCAAGTTGGTCTTCCAGCAAGGGGTCACTTCCCCTATCTCTGGCGTAGCAGGTAAACTCGGTACAGTGCTGCAGCTCACCCCGCCAAGGGCAACAAATTGATCAAAAAAGCTATCGCCAGAATCCATCCTTCAGGGTTCCGTTTCTTTGATCCGTGATATCCGTGGTTTTTTTTTGGGCCAACCATAAACCATGTGAAACCACCAATAAAAAGGGTGAAGCCTATGGCGTCCCAAACAACTATCCAGAGTCTGAGAAAACGCATCATGTCTGTTGGGCCAACAATGTCCTGATTCCGGTGTACTCAACCCAAAATGTGCATGCTTCAGTCTTCAACCGAGGCTTTGTGCAATGGCTTGTGCAGTACTTCTTCTGAATGAAGCGATGGGAGGTGATGTTGCAGCCACCCTGCACGACTGAGAAATCATCACCTGATCAGAATCTCAGAAGGGTCAGTTCATAGGTATCCCAATCATAGCTGCACAAATAAAACACACATATCATATGCTTATGATATGATGTTTTATGATATTCCAAGAAAAGACAACGCTAAGGCTTTTGTTCCACCTGGATTTCCTCCTGACATCTCCCTGTCGACTGGCTCCACGTCGATGAAATACGCCAGCAACGATGCCACCCCGAAGAAGATTCCGCAAATCATCCCCAGAATTGCCATGAACCCCCAAGGCCGTGACGCCATGGCCGGCGTCCCAGATGTCCCAGTTTCCCCTTGATCCCCTTGAAATCTGAGGGCAGCAACTCACCAGTTGCAGAACAACAACATCAACAACGATACAAATCATGATGTTCATGCTAGTCAGACTATGATTAGTCTGGATTGTAACAGCATGTAACAGCCATTAATTACTTTGGCAGGACACAATTGGCACTACAGCCCACCAAGATTCACTCAGTGACCAGCAGAGTGTCAGAGTGTCTGTCGTTTGCACCAGCACTGCAATTGTTTCTGCTAAGCAACTGTTGCAAACAGGACGGGCGCACAGGTTGAAGACGTTGAGGATGTTGCACAGTTGCTCACAACCAAAAAAGGTTTTGAACAAAGCGTGCGTAGGAAAAAAAAAGGAAAAGAAAGAATATAAATGTTCAAGTAAAAACATGGTTTCCAGATCTGTTTGCTCTTAGTTCCGTATGATTGCCTCGAGCTCTGCATGAATGTGTTGCTTTGTGTCACTGTGCTCAGGTTTTCCTCCATGGTTCCTGTCTTATTGTTCGGTTCCTCACCCACAGCGAGATAGCAGCACCAACAAAGCTTAGCAGCCTATGGACCTTTAAGAGTAAAATATCAGTTGAATGGCCCAAAGATCCATGCTTGTGGAATGATTAATCCTGACAGTACCCACAAAGTAACACATGACCAATTCCGGCTTGGAGATCCCTTGACGCCATGTTGAAAACGGAAGCTGCTCCTCCAGTCTTTTCGTTGTGAAACGCTCCTTTTTGACCTTGACGAGTGACAGCACTGGAGCACGAACATCACAAACAGGAAGCTCAAGCACCAAAGAATACAGTATCTCAAAGAATCTGAAACTCAATCGTTTGGCCCAGAAAGGGATAGAAGTCCAGTACATGCCACTACTGTATACCCCAATTTATGACCACGTTTATCGGGAAGTAGCGATATACCAGTGGATTTGGGGGTACCCTATTTTGGGCAGATCATGGCAAATCCATGTCCGAAATCATCCATGGAACTTGAAGCAATGCACCTTGCCGCGACGATCATGTGCACCATGACTGTCCACCAGCGGTTTCTTCTTGAAGCAAATGTCATTGTCAAACGGGTTATACCTCGGGTTTCATGGCCAGTCAACTGGCGCACATTGTGGATGAATTGATAAATGGTGATGCCCAAAACTGGCCGCACAGTGGTTGACTTCCGATGCTGAAGCCAAAGCCGAAACAAAACTGGGCCCCTCAACAACGCCAATGAAAACAAAAGAATGTCAGTGGAAAGGTACCAGAATCAATTAGAATCATTTAGAGTTCACTTCCAACAACTGTGGACACTCTGAAGCTCCAAGACTCCAAGGCAGACAAAGTCCCAAAATGCCATGGGAATTCTGAGCGATCGCTATCTCTCCGTTCTGAGCGCATGCCCCTCAATGCAGTCAGGCTGCACCAAGACGCCTGGTTGATCTGGGGGCAGTCCTGGAAACAGATCAACCAACTGCCAACTGCCCCTGGTTTGTTTGCTGAGCATGTCTTGCTGGTTTGTGGTTTGCATCACCTGGAGAAATACTAGGCGGGGTCTACCAAACCAGTTTTCATGGTTGCATGTCCATGAGCAAAACGTCGTGAAACCACCAACCAGGACTACACAAGTCGCTGTAGCATACAGTAGGGGTAGTGAGGGTAGTGATTAGCTCTATTATGCTCTATTGGTTTCCGCTGCACGACAATCTCATTGATGGCTTTGAAAATTCTGGGATGCTACTGTACTCATTTGAATGGGGATTTGACCGATGGGTTCATGTGTCTTTTGCACACGCGAAGTGGTGAACACCCATGCATATGCGGGACATGATTCAAAATGAATCAATGTTGTGCCCAAACTCTTTGACTTGCAAGATCTTTAGTGCTGTCAGAAGGCAGTAGCTCAATGGATTTATTTCATGTCCATCATCTGTACTAGTTGCAACAAGTTAACCTTCCCTATCCTGATGCCGCGCATGTAAATCCTGAAGACCCTGACAATTCAGGCCGTGGGAAGCCAGCTGATTTTTGTCACATTGGTCCCCGGGTTTGAGCCATGGCATGCCACAGCCAGGTTACCCATGTGCTAATGATGTCTTAATGGCTTCAATGAGACCAGTCCCTGCAGGGAGTTGGCACCTTCCCTCAAGGCTTCGCAAAGCTCATGTCGGGCAGACTTCAGGCCTAAGGTGAGTCTGGCCTGCTCAGTAAAATAATGGGGATTCAACTGATTCAACTAACCCCCTTCAAAGATGACCACGAATCAAGCCTCGATGATTGGGGGTTCACCGGGGTTCACCTCTGGGGGGTTGAATCCCCACGATAAAACAGTATGAATCTATGAATAATGTAACACAATGTATCAGAGTGATTTTTTGGGGTACTGGACTAGTACTGTACTGGACCTTGGACCCCTGCCCACATACAGATCTCTGAAGCTCAGATAAGAAAAATGTCAAACAAGAAACTGCATGTCCGGCAGCTGCGAGTTCCTATGCTAAAACCCAGCAAGGCAAGTCACTTCCGTATGCATCAGCCACTAACTCCTCGCAACGCGCAGCAAGGCCCGGGTAACATTCCAACCATCCATTTTTGCAGGCGAATAATGGTGTGAAAACATGAGAAAAACTGCCAATTTGGGTGTGCTAGAATGACAATTACAATTAAAATCAATTAAATAAATAGGAAACTTTATAATCTACAAATTATATTAAACAATTGCATACAGTTGCGAAAAAAACATAGAATAATAATGTAGAAACCAATCAATTTCTTGGTCTATATACGAGCGGCCTATGGTGGCAATTCCTCATCCCAGTTGTGCTGCCCGGATCTCCTGCTGTTGCGATGCAACCCCCCGAAACGCTTCGTTCGACTGACGGAAGCAGGGAGGCTTCGGTCACTGGATGATGTGCTAAACCCATTGATAAAACATTAGGGCTTCCTTTTAAATCATCCCGACTTAGAGGTCTTCTAAATTAACTTGGGGCTTGGTTTATTATACGAATATACCTCTAGAAATCCTCATAGAACTGGAAGGTTGCTTTTTACCGAAATTCAGGACCATTCTCCGTCTTGCTTTCAAATTATTTCAGTCTTAGTTTGCCAAAACAATGAACCCGATCAGGCGCTTCAGGGCTGGTAGATCTCCAGTGTTGCAAGACTTGGACGTCGCATCCATGTCCGATAAATAGAAGATTGACGCATATTGACGCCCCTCCAACAGAATATTGGTATATATTGGTCATGATCATCCCCATTCGGGGGATGTGTCTTTTTGTTTATGAAAACCATCAACTCAGATAGAAAAAAACTGATATCACCTGGGGATGTTTTTGTGGGGCCCATCGAAAATGGGGATCATCCCAGGAGACAGGAGATCATCGGATGGGAAAATTTGAATGTGGAAACCCAATCCAGTTAATGGTGAAATCCCTATTGTTAATGGTGGAATCCCTATCATATTCTATATAGTTATAAATGGTCATATAATATATCCATTATTCCTGGTCTATGTCCCCATGATTGACGGATAAATCCCACTTATTACTATTATTGTTCTGGCTGAATTAGAATAGTGCACTAACCTGAAAAAGAACTGAAACAAGGCCATTTGGGGATGATTCCCCTTACTAACCATTATTCATCATTATTCCAGTGACGTCACTGTCGTCACTCTATATAAATAATTGATAATAATGGGATTTAAGCCACCATTATCAATGATTAATCAATGTTGAATTGTTAATGACAATATCCCCAATAGAATTAATCAATGTTGAATTGTTAATTCCCTATTAGATTATAATTATCAATGTTCTAATGGGCAATATCCCCAATTGTCATTGGCGAATTCCCTATGGTACGCGGGGTGGTCTCCCGCAGCTTGCCGCCTCAAAGATTCGCTCCACGGCGCGCTGGGTCTCCACATCCTCTGAGACATGGCAGTCCGCCTTGGCTGTTGGTGATGGTCGTTGACTTCATCTCTCAAAATCATTCAAAATCAATGTATACATGTAGAACTATATCACGTAATAGTGCATATAATATGATATATGGCTATAATATATTAGTATATATATATATATTTATAAATATATGCACACACTATATGACTAGGACATACTAGAACACGCTTTCGTCATCTTTCGTCAAAATGACAAGAAACCGCTAACACACGGAAACACAGAGAAAACTTTGGGTTCCGGCCAATGGATCGTCAGACTGGGATGTATCCTCGGCACCGCGCTGGGACACATGGGACACTGTCCATTTCACGGCACCCCAGTCATCCATTCCCAATGAGCAACAGCACACAGCCACAGTACTTGTTTGTTGACTTATTTTCTTGTAATACGTCCTAACCATTACAGTGTATATTAATGATTCCGTCACTATTCTTACCTTGCTAACTTGTACAAGAAAATTAATGGTTGGTGCACATGTCCAACTCAAGCATGCTGATACGATTAATTAGAGCACTGCTTCATCATTCTCCCACAGCAGAATACGACAAATCTCTGAGTGTGCGTGACAGTTTGACAGCAAGTATAGATCGTAGTGAAACTGGCTGATCAACTAACAGGGCGAGGAGAAAATATCAGCAAATTTCAAGTCTGGAAAGTAAAATCCATCACCTGACACATGTATCTATCTATTTATCCATCTCAATATTTATCCATCCAACAATATTATACGTCTATATTATCTATATATATATATATGATTATATGTTTATTTAATTATTTACTTATTTTTGATTTATTCATTTTACGTGCGCTCGAATACAACCTACTTTCCAGGCTTGTTCATGTCGCCAACTTCCATAAACCAACGAAGATCCCGTCAGACAACGTCAAGGCTCGTGGAGCCACTTCTGCAGCAGGTGCAAGATGTCGTCCAGATCTGCCAAAAAATCATCGCCTATCATCGCTGGTTGGTTTACCATGCGGCAATTTGCAGATGATTTACTGGCGATCCTATTGTGTACGTACACTATGTATGCAAATATATATACATAAGATATCAATAGGAATTGATAGGATAATATATATATAATATAATATATAATATATAATATATTATATAATAATAATAATAATTATTATTATTATTATATATATATTATATTCTATATATATTCTATATGTTTTTATCGTATTAAATGTGTTCCATGATTTAAACCAGAATCCTACGATTGGATGCGGATTTCTCTACTTGCCAAGTTGGATTCGACGGAAACGGGGGAACTTTACGGGAAAAGTTTTTTTTTGACCATAAAGCAATATATAATTAGGGAGTTCCTGCAAGATCCTGCAAGGTTTCCTGAATCAACCCATGCTAGGATTTTGAATATCCATCTAGGGAAAGAACTGCATGGCTTGGGGGATCTGACAAATAAGATCGGAGATGGGATTCGGATACCCTTCAAAAATGACCAGCCCAATGCTGACCGCAGCGAGATGTTTCTCCAAGTCGCGAGGTAGGTCCTCTAAACCTGTCTCGGAGGCCACAATCCTCAGCGCCAAAACTATGGGGAGATTCACCTGCAACAAGTTGCACTCAATGACCCAATCATAACAATGATAACAATAAGTAATTTCAAAAACATAGTGATAACATGTGATAACAAATAAGAGCATAGTAGTAATAATAACATCACCAATGCCTACTAGAGAATAAAGCAAGAACAGCATAATATGCATAATTGGATCGTGCTTAAGTGGGGCTGGGGTGTAACCCTACTTTATATAACTCGAGTGAACATCCCAATGTCCCAATGTGGGGTTGTCTTGGAATTTGGATCTCCAAAATCCTTGGGTTTAGAAACTGGAAGACTGGCAACTGGCGCAGTCACATTCCGCCCCTTTTCCACTGGACAGCCGCATCTCGTGCCATTGTGTGTTCAGTTTCAACCTTCCTAAGCCGTAATCCTCAAAAGCACTGTTACTGTGGTAAACCAAATAATAAACCAACCAACCAACCAACCAACCAACCAACCAACCAACCAACCAACCAACCAACCAACCAACCAACCAACCAACCATTTTTGTGGGTGGTATATATACCATCCCCAAATGGTTTATGATGGTTTATGGCATTGGGTTTCCCACATTACCAACCCATTTCCACATTCCCCTTCGTGCAAACTGGCCGCTTCAACAAGGGATTCCAGAGATCTTCATACCTGGACCCACTGGACAGTTGAGGTGAAAGCTGCGAAGCTCTAGACTCCAGTACCCCCTGGTAATCGATCGTGGCAAAAATACCAGATCTAGTTCGGTGATTGTCCCATTTACAGTAATATATGCTCATTGAATTTTAATTCATTTTGGTTTTTTATATGGGGGATTTCCCAGCTAGCCATGTTATTTCCCAGCTTGCCAAGTCTGATCCAGGCAGCCTCTGGTTCTCCAACAAAGTCTTCAGGCCCATGACGCAATCCATGACGTCCCGAAAGAGACGTTCCGTGCCCGTGCGGGCCGTGATGTAGGCGATGACCTATGGGGACGCATTGTCCCCCCGTTTTTCTACCACCACAAGGGGGGCTCAGAAGGCCTTTTCACACGAATCCATTTGGGTTGATATTAGCACAAGGTAACTTTTTGGATAATTAATGTTCAAACAGATGCAGGATCAAAAAGCTGGGATTAAGTTCAGGATCAAAGCGAAACAATGTTTTCGCAAATGATTTCAAAATCAAAATCACGTAGTCCCCATCTTTTGCAAATATAGTAGTATATCTAATCACTGTTACCATTATCACTCTTAGGGAATAACCCACTATTACTATACTATTATTACTGTCCGAAATCTTTCCATCGTCTCAAAGCCACTAGCTGGATCCATTGGGCCTTCGCCACAGGAGGCACGCGATGTAGGGAGGGAAGAACTAGGGCCTCAGCAAATATCGGCTTCCCGTGGTTCAACGTGTGAAACATGAGACTCAAAACATCCCCCAGTGCTGGATCTCGTTGTTATTGTTTTTGAAAAAAAACATTCTCTGGGTTTTGAAAGTCAACGGTGATCACAAAGCAATCACCCTCTGGTAATTTAACATAGCTATTGAAAATGGCCATTTATAGCTGATTTCCCCTATTAAAAATGCTGATTTTCCACAGTTATGTTAGTTTACCAGTGGGTAAATATTCTTTTGAAACCAGCAAGTTCATCAACGAGTCATAACCAAGTGACGTGATGTTTCATCCCCACCCATTTCTGACCAGGCCTGGTCTGAACTAAAGGCTCGCAGCATCTGGCGCATGGCATGCCTGCAACGGGGCTCCAGGTGAACATTGGGAATCTCAGCCGATCTATTCCCTATGTTGCTGGTGGTACCGCCAAGCTGATTCTGAGTTGTCTTGCTTATTTCATGCGATATATATATATATATGTATATATATATTAGGTAAACCCAAAGGGCTTCGTCTATAGGAACCAGATCTGAGGCTAAGAGCCTTACATAAACCAAAGACGTAAAGAACCAACATAAAACAACGTAAACGCAACATAAAAGCAAACACAAGTGAATCATAAACACATCGGAAACTCATCATAAACAAAACGCAAGTGAATCCACAATAAAACATAAAACGACTCATCAACAAAACACAAATGAATCCACAAACCATTCTGGCAGTCATGTGTCCCAACTGTCGCGCACGTGTTTCCATCTTCTCTGGAGGTGAGCGGAGTTATGTGACACAATGTTTGCTCTGTGTTTCACTTGTGTTTGACATACGCTTTGTTTGCGCAGCACTTGCGTCAGGCAAAAGTCTAAGATCTTATACTGGGAAAATAAGATCTTAGGATTTTGACATACATAAAAAATACAAGCGAAACACAAACAAAACATAAACAAAACACAACAGGAGCATAAACTTGTTTATGTTTTTTTGTGTTCTGTTTATGTCTTGGTTTATTTTTTGTTTATGTTTGATTTGTTTTTTTGTCGATGATTTGCGTATGGCCTTATTTTTATGTTTTTTGTGCCTTTTTGTGCAAACAAGCATAAAAAAGCACAAAAAAAAACATAAAAATAAGGCCATACGCAAATCATCGACAAAAAAACACATCAAACATAACCAAAATAAACCAAAACATAAACAGAACACAAAAAAAAATAAACAAGTTTATGCTACATGTGTGTTTTCTTCATGTTTTGTTTGTGTTTTGTTTGTGTTTCGCTTGTGTTTTTTTTTTTGTATGTCAAAATCCTAAGATCTTATTTTCCCAGAATAAGATCTTACACTTTTGCCTGACGCAAGTGCTGCGCAAACAAAACGTATGTCAGACATATGTGAAACATGTGGGAGACATCAGTTTCACATTGGCTGCAGGTTTGTACCAGGTTTGGATTTCAAATTGGCAACTGCTTGACACAGGGGGGACGGCCAACTCATGTTTCACATATGTTGCAAATTTCACACACATGTTTTGCTTTATGTGTCACTTATGTTTCAATTATATTCCATTTATGTTTCGTTTGCGTTCCACATATGTTTTGTCTTATGTTTGACATATGTTTCATATACGTTTCACATATGTTTCGTTTATGTTTCACATATGTTTTTACTTACGCCTAGACATAGTTTATGTTTACGTCATGCCCCGTCCACCCTCTATAGAAACCATCCCTGGAGCCCCTTTGGATCAAGCTAATATATATATATATATATAGATAGTGATGTATGTATATAATTGTATATATATAGCCTGGTGGAAGCCATCAAATCTTCAAGGATTCCGATGTGCTACTAAATCCCTCTCAATCCTTGCTGGATCCTTAAAAACAGAGCCCTGCCGGTCATTTTCAGTATCAGACCCCACAGATGGCCAAACAAGATATGCCAAGATAATTTTTTCGAGTTTCGAACATGAACACTTTTTCGCAAGCCCCCCAAGTCATTGTCTTCATAATCCCATGTGGGTGTGGCAAGGACTTGCCATAATCCCTAAAAATTGGAAATTACATGGTTCCCTAAAAGCACAATCTTTTGACCCAGGCCCATAACCATAACATCTTGCAATACTCCCACTAAAACCCGATCAGTGGGCCTCAAGCAGCTATCACTGGATCAGTTCGGTTCGTTAGTTCGTTCAGAATCTACTGGAAGTCAATCATATTCTCAATTCCCAGGACGTACATGTCCATTTTGATGCCGAAGTTCTCAAAAAAAAACAATGTATCCAATTGTCTCACATCTCGGTTGCTAAAATCGACATGTTAGGATCGTGGATTTTAGCCATAACATGTCCATAAAAATGTGGGTGATGATTATGCCAAAACCCATCCATATCCAGGGTACAGTACCCCACCATACCTCTAATTCACTAACCTGAATTAAGGATAGTTAAAGGCTGATATTGGGATCATTCCAGATCATTCCCATATCATTCCCTTTTTCACATTCAGCATCATTCCAGGCTTCATTCCAGGCTTCGGTCGCAGGGCGCAGCCAAGTCACACGCTCTCCTGTGACCTTGGCGCCAGCAACCAACGCCTCAAGAGGCGCCGCGTGGAGGCAGGCGCCTCTGGCGACAAAGCGTGCGCCACCAGGAAGGGCCTTAGGGACACCGTGGCTCGGCCGTGAAAAAAATATGTAGATTTTATGTGGTTTTATCAGATTTTATAAATAAGGACCTTTATATAAAATTATATAAATATCCAAGATGGGATGTTTATAAATCATATGTTATGATTACAGTATGGGATGTCTTTTTAAATATCAAAGCACTTAAAGGACTTAGTTAGGCTGTTTTAAAGGGTTTAGGGTTTCTATGGATGTCTTGGGTAATGAATCAGATTAATAACCAGCACTCAGTCTCCGAAGTTGGCGTAGGTTTTCCCAAAGATCCAGGGATGGACGAGTGAAACCAGCAATCATGGGGTTTGCCCACCAAAAAAATATTGTTTACCACGAAAAAAAACGGTTTTCCGATGTCCTTTGGTTTAGTTCTGCGAACCAAGGGCTCTGAAATCTGGGACCGGGTACATGTGACTGGAAAGGATGATACGAAAAAACCATTGGTGGGTGCATAACTATAGAATATCTGAGATTGTGAATTATTGTAACATGATGTACTATGTGTATCTATGTGTATTATCCGAGTCAAGTAGAGATGGGAAAGTTGATGGCTGGTGAACCAATCCGCTCAAGAAAGTTGGTCACCCATAGTATCCCATAGTCCCATAATCTGTGAAGCGCTTCCATGTTGCATCAAACAGCCGTCTCTTGATCATCAGAAATCTTGTAGTTATTCAGAAACTCTAACATGTCAATTTCGTAAATGTCGTAAAATGTGTATCTACAAGTGCAAGCACAAGTGAGTTTCAATTGTTTCCTCTACATCTGGAAATGCTCTGCTGATCTCCTTTTTTTCCACATGTGTCGAGGGGCACGCCGTCCTGCTTCAACACCCCGAGATTTTTGGCGGTGGACAAAGTCAGCCTAATTGGTCCAAAGGTCATGAGGCTGGGGGTTTGAGAGAGTGGGCAGATATCATCTGGATTTGTCCCCAAATACGGAAGAACAACAAATGGGAGAATTTTGAAAATCATCTGAATTCGGAAAAATCCAGATGAACAGATAGGGGACAAATTCGAAAATCATGCATTCAAAAATGGCAAGTTGAATTCGAAAAACCGAAGGCTTAGAAGAATCCGAATACTTGAACCCACCCACCAGGATCCATTACAGTACTTCTAATTAAGATATTCTATCCATGTCTATCCCCGTGATCCATGTGATTCAATGATTCTCCCAGAAAAAAAACACCTGAGGTATTCGCGGTTGCAGTGCTCCGGCGGTGTTCAAACGAACATGGACAAAAGGAGGCTCCTGCGCCGATGCGATGATCCCGGTTTCAAACCTCCATGTTTTTTTTATGATGGAATGGCGTTGCATTGCAATGTTGGGGTACTGTATGTTTAAAACGTGGCTTGAACACACCCATATTGACACTTGAGAAAAGATGAGAAATCATGAGAAATGGTGAGAAAAGTACATATAACGTACATAACATACATAGTGGCATAAATACAAAGAATAATCAATTTAATTTTAAACATTTTTAAACATATTTAAACATATATTGCTGGTTGCTGGTTGAGCCACCCATCCCAGATGAAAGTCAGCTGCAATCATCATCCGAACAGGGGAGGAATCCGGGGAGTACATATGTTAGTATTTTGTATATGATAGTACCTGCAGCACCTGCTGCGTGATGATTATTGCATAAGTTGATATTGATCAATCATCCTGATCAAGCACAGGTAATTTCCACAGATGATATGTTATTTGCGGAGACGTTCGTGTGCGCACGGGTTTTTACGCACATGGCCCACTTCCCACGCCTTGGGTTTCTCAAGTAGATCAGCGCTATAGGACGGTATAAGACATCCAAAAATGCAGAAATAGGTTGTGAAAAGCATATATTTTGAGCAGGTTTTGGTACGGTTAACGCATGATCAAAAATGATAAAAAAATATCCAAATTAGGTTGCGTTTTGGTTGTTTTGTGGTGGTATCCATATAAAGGACCAAATGCATAAAACAAATTCAAAACATAAGCCAACCATGCCAAAGCAATGCAAATAACATCGCATTGTGTGTTTGACATGAACTGCAAGCATCCCATGCACATCAATACGCGTGCAAAATAAGCGCAACGTGCGCCATGCACTTGGTGTGCAGGATAACCATATACCAAAACCGCATTCAGAGACAACATAAACGATTCCAAGGTTTGCGCACCTCAAAAAAAAATCAAATACTGTACATGATCAATTACCTTGGGCATACCTTGAGGACACCCCCCTACATGCCCATACATACATCGATATAACCCAAATGAAGCACGTGGACTTCAATTACAACAAGTCCAGATGTGTATAGACATGATCAATGTTCTTGAGGATTGTTTAGGTGAATCCACCGAAGCTATCCATATTATCCATATATACATATATGATAATAATTGATAAACAATCTGAACTCAAGGTCAGGCCCGTACATGGATGTAGGGCATCATGCACAGTCGGTTGCTTCTTTTCCACCAGCTAATTGAATCCGAGTACTGCAGGATATGGCATTTCGTATGTCCCTTGGGTCTTGTGCTATGTCAAAACACGCACTTTGTGACCCAAAAACCTGAGATTTTGGACAAAGGCAACCCTATTTTTTTACGTAAAATTTGCATACTTTTGGCGTAATGGTGCACGCAAAGTGAACGTAAAGTGAACGTAAAGTGAACGTAAAGTGAACGTAAAGTGAACGCCTTGGAACGGGTACGGGTATTTTCGCGTACTTTACGGGTAGGTACGGGTACGGCAATTAACGTACCAGCACGGTATTTAACATATCTATTACGGGTATTTACGTACATGTACGGGCTCATTTTTTTGTTTTTTTTTTTGAACGCGCTTAAAACGTGAGAAATAGGCGTCAAAGGGCTATCAAGGAAAGAAAAAAACATCTGTAGTCGCGACCGGTTGTTTTGACGGCTGAGCTGAGCAAACACATGCTGCCATTCGACAGCTGTGCAGCGGATGACGCAAACAGGATGCTCAACAAGGTAAAGTCGCGCTTGTCGGATATGTGTATATGTGTACATGTGTCGCTGAATGTTTTTATATATATATATTATAAATATATATCCATATAAAAATAAAACACAAAATGATGTCTCATGCACCCATGTAGTTGCATGCTCGTGGGCCATCCTCGTCAGAAAAAAGGTGGCCGGCACCGTGATTCTGCAACCCACGGTTGATTCGCATGGTGATCCCCATGCATCATTATGGGCACATCCATATATGCATGTATATTTACGTACATCTGAAGAGGTGGCGCCCATGTGCCTCCAACAATTTATATTTCAATATACAGTGCATGAGAAGTATATATAACACAGTGAATCCTTCATATCATACATCCAAAAATAAAAACCCATGTATATGCCGGTATGCCAAATGCAAATCTACATGCATAAATAAAAATATCCATGTCCATATATATATATATATATTATATATGGTTCTATTTTATACATGGTGATTAGATATATATGATGGTGATTGTGTGCATATATATATATATATATGGTGATTATGTATACGAAAACTAATGCACTATATACATACAATACACCATATATATATATATAATGCACATGGAACCGGATCCGGCCAGGCATGAAACAGTCCAAACGGGAATTAACGGCCCGCATAATAATTTTTGAACTAGATTCCCAATGATCAATCATTTTCATCATTTGGAGCAATGTTTGGCAACCAAGCAGGGTTGCAGGTACGGTATATAATATGTTTAAACAGGTGAAACATGGTGAACCCATCAGCCAGAAATTGTCACAGGGAGGGTCAAGAAAGTCGAGCAGTTGATCTGGACCTGACAACAGTCACCGAGGACGCAAGCGAGATCAAAACCGACAGAGGGTTGTCATGAATCGCCAAGTAAAATCGGCAAGTTGATGCAGCTGGCCAATAGCTATGAGTTGAGCACATCTGATGCATTTTGTGGAAAGAACTTGTCAAATAACACAAATCGTTGTAAAATAAATCTTTATAACTCCATCAAGTCTCACTGGTAGTTGTCCCATCACTGCAGGGCAAATGTTGTTCATCCCCTTCATGATAATCCATTTTTGGGCCCGGACATAAACAGACTCAATACATTCAACCAAGGTGTCTGGAGGAGGTTTTCTGAGAAAAACGGATGAATTAGGTGATGAAAACCTCCGAATGGCAAATGTCAACCACAACGACAACGACAACGACAACAACCACAACAAACAACAACTACAACAAACAACAAACAACAACCACAACAAACAACAAACAACAAGCAACAAACAACAAACAGCAAACAACAAACAACCAACAACCAGCAACCAACAAGAACAACCACAAGAAGAACAACCACAAGAAGAACAACCACAAGAAGAACAACAAGGACGAGGACAACAAGGACAACGACGACGACAACAACAACAACAACAACAGCAACAACAACAACAACAAGAAGAAGAAGAAGAACAGCAAGAACAACAAAAACCTATTGTGTGTTCTTGCTTAATTTCTCAAAAATGTTCAAAGGTTAGTTACTGTCACAGGAAGATTATTATTATGTTCTGTCAGGGCAGTTTGAGCAATTCGGTTTGCAAGGCTGGCATTTCCTCAAAACTGCGGCTCTGCATTGCTTTGTCTGACTTGCTACTATCGAAATGTGGACACACGTTTCTAACCAAAGCTAGTCATGGGACGTCGACGCTAACCCCTCAAACACTACTGTATATACCAATCTTGCAGCTTGCAGCAATGAGATGTTCAACCTCAGTCTACTCCATCCAACCTCAGACGGATTGCGCAGCGTAACTTCAAAACCACAACCTTTTCCTTCAAGATCTTCCTTTCAGCCTTTTGCGTCTGGATCTATCCCGCAAATACCGAAAAACATCAGCAGAGGCATTCTTTCGCGCACCAGCTTAGTCAAAGGATGTGTTGCTTCAAGCTCATCATAGTAGATGTTCCCTGAACTTGAACGAAGCCGCAGCTCTGGAAACTGGAGGCTATTGCAGTAGACCCATGGATGCTCCGGCAACTCCTCATGGGAAACCATCAGGTGGATCTGGGGATCTTCGGAATGAAAACGCATGACCTCAAGAAAGCATTTGATCCTGCAGCCGCTGAAAAATATCTCCACATTTTCACATGATCTGCAAAACTGGACACCATTCACAGGCTCGCAGAGAGTATGCGCTAGCTCGAACGAAAATTTGCTGAAGGTCACGTGATCATCGATGGTGTCAGCTGCAAGGTTCCTGGCAGCTCTCAGAAAGGCCAGCGTCTCTGAGACATTCTGGAACTCCACTTCGCAGCAAAGGGTCACAGATGGAATCTTCTTGAGGTCTCCCAGACCAAGAAATTTCCAGAGTCCCGAGGTTTTCCAAGTACCTGCCGGATGTCGCCAGGGGCCTTCACTGGCAGATGCGCTGCATTCTTCCACCTCGGTCTTCACAGCACGAGAGGCCGCTGCTAGTTCCAGCACTGAGGCATCCGATGAAAGATCCAGCACGTGTACCAAGAGCCCTTTGCTCAGGCTGTGTAGTGATGGCATGGTGATGCAAACAAAATCCACCAGCAATGGCAAGTCCACACATTTTTTTTCGGTGCGCGGCCCTTCTGCCTATAAATTTGAAGCTAATTTTGCAGGTACGATCTAGTGAAATAGTGTTGGATTGCCAAACAAGACCCTTTTGGCAGTGAAAAGGTCAGCTCTGAGAACGCCTTACAAGTTAGGATTCCACCACACTTCAAGTGTGTCGCATGGTTTCAACATGCAACTTGTACTCACGCAAAGACCAATCACAGTACAGCACAATATAATACAATCACCTTCTCTTGCTGAGGTTCTCAATCTTCATGCCACTGGAGTTCCACTTCTTTAAGTATATACAATCATAAATCATAACTTTAAAAATGGTGAATTTTCTGGGACTCCACCGCCGATGAAATTGTTGCAGCGTAAAATGCTCAAAACTACCGTACCATACCGTACCCGATTCAATTGGCATGCTCCGGCCGCCCACGAGACCTTTTCTTAAGGACGATAATCAAAAGGATTCACATGCATTCAAACAAGGTCAAAAAGTAGATTCATGCAGATTGCCTATATACCTTCAAACAGCGCAATCCAACAGAAACCACGTGATAAACCCAATAATACCAATTTTTGATGGTTGATCCCAGCATATATCCCAGCCATTTGGCCGCTGCGCTCCTGCGCTAGCTGAAGAGTTTGGCACAGTTCTTGACAGCAGCGATTCAAGAAATAGTCATCCCGAACCTTCGGATTCAATGGCAGGGTGGCATGGCACGGTGACAGGCTGAAAGATTCTGGCAATTATTGGGACCAAAACACGCTTTCAAAACCTCTTCAATTTTCATCATTTTCCCGTAAGTCGCAACCTTCAAAACTTGCACCACTTAGCCTGGAAATGAGTGTTCTTCGCAGAACTGGTTGCACCCGTTTGAGAAAGCCCCCAAGAAAAGAGAAGACACAAACGCGAAGCCTCTGATGGCAAATTCAACCATCTCCGCTGCTTCGGAAACCATTTCCACTTGTTCACCTGACATGGACACAGCGACAGTTGCTTCGGAACATTAATCGGATTGGAGTTAGATAAGTATTGTTGGAACAAATACGTTTCAAAAAAATAAGGGCTTAATATGTTACATCGACTTCCAAATTTATCCTCAAGTTTTACAGTTCAAAAGTAAAAAAATGATCGGAGTTCGGGCTCAGCAGTTCCGCCTGTTGGAAGGATCTGCGGGAGCCATCCACAAAGATGGGCCACGCCACTCCATCCTGATCCGCCAAAAGAGCCTCAACGGCCTCGGGCGTCACGTCCTGGCGGAGGGGATGGGAATATGGCTGGCCCGTGGCCCCATGATGGAGGGATCATCAAGGGATAGGGTTGCTCCAACACCCAGCGATGAATCCCTTCGGCTCAGATATGAAATCGCCATACCACGGGGCCCGGGGTCCTAACATGAATAGATCCGTAATATTCCTTAACACTAAACTATGGTTTCATTTCGGTGTATTTCACATTAGGGGGAAGGGATTACACGGAGATAACTCATTGTTTTGTTGGTGGAAAAAAGGAAGCTTTGGGATTGTTCCAATTTTATTTCGGTACGGCGGAAAATAAGGTATATGCAAACACCGAACCCATTTGGCTGTGATCCACTACTATAGGGATGGGCCAAAAAAAATCAGGGCTTTTATTCGATCAATGAGGAAAATAATGGTCGGTGGGGACCTACGCATCGTGGTATCGTCTATGTCAGGAGACTCCCATGGAAACAGTTTGATAGCCCCAGCCCAGCAATCAACAAGTCATTATCAGGTTACCCTCCGGTAATCAAACATGGAATTAAATGGCAAATTTCCCATTTACTTAAATGATGTTCCCATATTTTCCCATTAAAGCAGCCATTTAGTTCGGGGATTTCCCAGCGGCCCGCCATGTTTGATGACACCGAAGTGTAGGCACTGCACAGGCCAGGAAGTTCCAGCCGTAGCACCCGGAAGAAATGAAGGTTCACTACCACTTACCCTCAACAGTATTATACATCTACAAAGTGCAATTTTTGTTGGTGAAATCTTACTTTGATCGATGTTTTTTCATGGAAAATCCCATGTAAGCAAATGTCCCAATCTAATGGTTACAGCAGTAATGAATATCCCCATCTTTCCCCATGATTGCTGAGGAATAACCACATATATAGTTTATAGTTCATATCTTTCTCTCTCTCTCTCTCTTTCGATATATATATATATTATATATATATATATATCCCATTGCCGTAATATTATCTAGAGATATCTCTCCATATAAACACACTTGCCATGGTATCCCAATTTCCGTTCGTTAAATCCCCATTTGAAATTTGAACAGTGTTCGATAGCCTGTGTCATTCCATGTTCGATAACGGTTGGTTGAGAACAAGATTCCCAGCTCATGGGCTATGACTATGATAGTCCCCAATATATTGCCATTATCAACAAACCATCATTTATCAAATTATATCACCATGTCTATGATAGTTCAACATAGTATGTAATTAATAGTTAAACCTCATTTTAAAAAAAACAGCCTTTAATTCATGGTTTCACATGGTTCAATCCATCAAAATCCCATATTTCCTTAAAAAATATGGAAACAACATGAAACAACCCAAAAAAAATATCCCATTCAAACATATTAAATTAAAACCATGAATCATTCACATAGCCCTCATTTCTAACTGCCGAAAAAAGCCATCAAAACGACACCCCGCGGGCACCGCGCTCCTCGCGGAAGCGCACCTCCCGGCGGAAGGGCCGGATCTCCGCGAAGAGGAGGCCGTCCGTCCTTTTCGGCGGAAGGGCGGGATCCGGTGGAAGCTCCATGGCTGGGAAATGACTGAAGAAAACACAATGTTGTTTTTTTGGGGGGAAAATCATAGGAACATCCGGGAAAATCCCTCTATAAATGGATGACTTTTAATGGGAAAATTTCTGGGCAAATCATCTATAAATGGAGGACTTTTCATTGCTATGTTTGATTCTCGGGATATACATATATAGACTAATGTGGCCATCAGTTTTGGGGACATGTGTGGATGTCTAATGCTTGTATCATGTCATTCAGGATAAGTTGGATAATCATTATATATTTATATGTATTCATTCTGTATTTCATTATGGATATATTTTAGATATAACCAATACACTATAACTAACTATATAAGGGGGAGTCACCAGCAATCATTTTCGTCAAGTGCATAATTCAACAATATGAGCCATCAAAAGTGGGGATATGGGGGGAATTGGAGGGATGGGGATGGGGATAGGGATATGAAATGGATTGAGTTTGTTGGGAACATCAGACCATCGGAGGAAACACGCTGGTTTTTAGCCTGATGAATGTGGTGGAGATGTTCCCTCCAACCCATTCTGGGAATGAAACCGCGGGAGCTTCTGGATGATGTCTGCTGGCACGATCAAGTGACATCAACTAAATATGTGTAAAAAAATAATGACAATGAAAGATCGAAGACTGGCGTCCTATTTTGCATGCTTGCATGCTTGCATACTTGCCTTGCATATCCTTGCATAGCATAGCACAGCATCACCTCATCTCATCTCATCTCATATCACATCACATCATATCAATCTATCTATCCATCCATCCATGCATCATCATGCATCCATCTATCCATCTATCCATCTATCCATCTATCTATCCATCTATCCATCTATCCATCTATCCATCTATCTTATCTATCTTATCTATCTTATCTATCTATCTATCTATCTGTCTGTCTATCTATCTATCTATCTATCTATCTATCTATCTATTTAATCTAATATATCTATCTTATCTATCTTATCTATCTTATCTATCTATCTATCTATCTATCTATATAATATATATATCTATCTAATATATCTAATATATCTAATATATCTAATATATCTAATATATCTAATATATCTAATATATCTAATATATCTAATATATCTAATATATCTATCTATCTATCTATCTATCTATCTATCTATCTATCTATCTATCTATCTATCTATCTTTCCTATCTATCTTTCCTATCTATCTTTCCTATCTATCTATCTATCTGTCTGTCTGTCTGTCTATCTATTAATTAATTATATATGTACTGTATATCATGGTGTAATATATAAAGTCAATATGAGTACTGTATGTAATGAAAAAAACAAAACGTACAGGGACCAAACATGGCGCCCACTCCTGAGACGCATCGCGATGTAGGGCCGGCCTTCACTGAACTCACCGATGGCCTCCTGGCAACGTCCAACCATGGAGCCATTGCGGAAGCATGGTGGACCACCCAGGGGATATGTTGGATATGGTTGGCCCTGACATCATCACTGATTATCACTGATTCTTTTCAGGGATTTTGAGGATACCATCTGGTTATGACTAACTGTTTGCCATGGAAAATCCCATTTTTTTTTATATTTTTAATAGGTAAACCAGGTAAACCATCTAATAAATGGGCCATTTTCCATGGCGAACCGTTAGTCATAACCAGAGGATAAATCTACCGCTTTTCCCACCAAAAGAGGACCACCCAGGGGATGATGACACAGAGAACAAAAAGTCATCCATGTTCAGGCTCAAGGAGATGAACATCACTCAGCTTTAGGTAATTCTTCCATCCAATATTGGGTAAAATCTAGCTACTTGAAATTGAATGACATTGAATGACATTGAATGACAGTGAATGACATTGAATGACATTGAATGATATTCTCATCTATTCTCCTAGAATCATATCAAACACAATAAAACGCCATCGCATTTCAGGATGAGTCAACCAAATAGAACCTTCCCAATGCCACACATGTTAGTATGTTTGGCAGGTGAACTTGTTTTATGCAGCGTACTGGTGGGCAGCAAAAATGGAGACTGACCAATTTGCCCAATGAAAAGTAGGACGCATAGAGCCAGCAAAGCGTGGGTGTTGAACCTTCTGAACCAACAGGAGTGTCGAAACATGCCATGAACGGTCCAATGAAACCCAGTAATCCATTGTCGACCAATGTGGCTATCATTGGCTATCTCAACCTCCCTTTACTCATTGGTGCTATATGGGCTATGGTGGTTATGTGGTGAGTGGTTTGTAGAGGTCGCCCCAGGCCTTTCCCAGTTCATTGCCATGAAGGTAGGTTGGTGCTCCAGGCGTCAGCACTTGTCGTAGCACTCGCCTCGAGCAACACATCTTGCCAACCGGTCCCAAAGTACCAAACAATGTCATGTTCTTTCCCAGCTATATCATGTTCCAGATTCCACATGTTTCATCATCCACATCCACATTCTAATGGAGCACAAGATTTTGATGTAGAATGATGTAGATATCTTAAGTGCAACAACTGATCCACATCATCATCCAAAGGTCATCGTCTTGTTCTCCGCCGACTGGACGTAGACCGCCACAGACAATTCGGCACGGGTCAAACAATCCACGGTCTGCTGCAGGCTGGCCGCGTTCACCGGGAAACCAGCGCGAGCCCTCCTGTCATTTGCTGGGGAGGATGGCTGATCAACCCCAAATCATCTTGCAACCTGAACATGGAGAACTGATCAGTTCCAAAAATTGTAGGGATTAAGATGTATTACTGTAAGTATACAGTATGTGGGGCAATGAATTGGAAGAGATCCAAATCCGACTCACACCAAATGACCCTCAGCAAAAATGGAAAAGTTGACCCAAGCTCAGGATATCTCAGGATGCAAAGCCTCAGCACACCTGCCCATCCATGTCCCATGTCCGTCCTGGCCATGGGATTCAAGCCACACCACTGCACCAACATCACGGCATCGATGCCTCAGAAAATTTTAAGGATGCACCATCAAAAAGGAAGAAGCATCCACAACAGTCATTGGATGATTATCTGTTGGTACGTACTTCTGCGTAAATGCTTAAATATTACGAATCAATTACTGTAATGATTCATATCAGTGCTGGAAGCATGAACGAGTGAACGTCATGAGATCCATCCCTTTGCCTTTGTTGAAGCACCACCCAATCTTTCCACTTTGACATTCCAAGATAGAAACTGAGTACTGAGTAGAAAGCATGATTTTGCTGCCGACCAAGGCCATGCCATTTACTTATTTTTTACTTTAATCCATGGCTACTGTTAGAGTCACAGGATGTCATAGGCTGGCTGTTCATGGCTGTTCCATTCATGAAACATCATAGTATACCCTCTGGCAGGATTGGGTGAGACCCAGCTGACCATGAGATGTGCCCATTTTCTCTGGCTGCTGCCATGAGACCCCAAGCCTCAAAGAAATCACCCACCTGACAGAGGAAGAAATCTGCCGTCTTTCCAAAGTGTACATGTCAAAGTACGAGTAGTGAACGGTCGGTTAAAACCAGTGAGTTTCATATCTAACTGATCGGTTTTTAAATCAAACGTCCTAACATTTACAACACGTCCCACTCTTAACACTTACCCTCCGGGGATCTAACCTGGCAGAAAAATCCCCTATGACGGTCTCTAGCTGGGAAATTCATCAATGGAGGATGTTCAATTGCCACCTTTGATTGCCAGAGGATCATCTCATTTACCGAAGCCTGCACCAGCAAGACGCAGTGCGGTGTCTGCGACTTCCACTGCAAGGCTTGCGCGAAGAGGGCCGTGGGTTTGTGCCCAGCCATGCTTCGCAGCCAGCCGAAGCGGTTGTCACCGCCTGCAGCTGAAAAATAGATGAACTAATGTGATATAAAGGGATAAAAGTAATCAACAATGGAAATCACGGGGAATATTGTCCATATTTTTGCAACAATTAATAGGAACATTTCAATATTTATATATATAATCCGGTAATTTAACAAAGCTATGGACGATGGATGAAGATGGCCTGCAGATGATTTACCCACTAAAAATGGTGGTTTTCCAATGTTTTCCATAGCTATGTTCAATTACCAAGGGGTAACTCTGGTATCAAAGCCATGAAAGAATAGGATCAACATAGAAATCACCCATCATCACCCCGAATTCGACTATGCAAATCACAGTATTTCAATGTATTTCATTATAATGTTGTAAACCCCCATGGTAAATCACCCGGTCTACCCAAATTCAAGGGCCCCCCCAGGCAATGGACCCCAATGGACCCAATGGACTGGGCTCCGCACCCAGCTGCGGGACTAATCGCAAGGCCTACAGGCGGAGTTATAACCATTATGATACTATCAAAATAGTGGATTTAACCATTGATAATGGTGGTATATTAGGAGTACTTTATCTCCATATTATATATTTTATTTATTTATATTTATTTGGTTTTGTTCAAAAATGGAGGATAGACCCTACTTTGCGGCCATGGGAAAATGGGGATAATGATTTAGTCGGGAAGAAAAATCACCAAAAATCATCCCAGAGAGACAAGCTATTCAAGGTTTGGGTACCCTGCACAATAACAACATGCTTTTAAAGATGGGTATTGCAAACAGGGTTTACGTATGTATAGATTGATAAATTCCGATCCTGCAGAATTTGGACACGCACCTAGGTAATGAATATTGATCATGATTTATGGGGAGCATACAAGCTTTGGTTGTTGGGGCCCATAGACACTGCTGGAATTGTCGCTAAAAGCTACGCAAGACGTGGATTTCTGCCTGCGCGAACTGGTTTTGCGATGTGCCTTCCCGCAGTGACATAAATCTAGAAGGCTACTGTATGCCAAGAGGCTTCGCAAGCCTACGCGAATTGATACGTATCACACAAATGCCTTTGAAGTCATATGTTGAGTCCATCTAAAATCAATCATTAAATTATATAACTGCTCATACGTTCATCTGGGCTGAAATGGGGCATGGTTAATAGTCCGTGCCGAATATATCAAACTGATTCCAAATGTATCAAAATGTCGAGTTCAATCGTATATAAGACAACATCTTCAGACATAAAAATCGACACAACTGCACCAATGTCCCTGCAAAACAGACCATGTTTAGTCAGTCATCGATGTCCATTTTGAGGAATATGGGTATGGGTCAAAATTAGGTACCGCAATAATTGGATGGTTAATACATGTTAATACTAAACTAGACATTTCAATCTGCGGTCCCCTAGGTCTTCCATTTTGACCCACATCCATATATTTTGGAAATGTTTTGAGCCATGCTATGCCATGCTTATGGCCTCAGGCCGCGTCACGCGCGCCAACTGATGCCGCCAGAAGGGCAAAACGGCATCGTCAAAGTCGTCGGCCTGCGAGGGTGCAGCAACGGTAGGAATTCAATGGGATGAAGCTAGCAAAATGCTATGGGGCATAGTGGTGATACAATATAGATATACATGTACATAAAAATATAAATATATATAAATATGTACATACATATATACATATATATATATAGTCACATATTTATTACATACATATAACATATATGCATATGCATACCCGTGTGTCATTCCATCAAAATACCATCGATTCTCATTGATTGGTCAATTGATCATTGGGGGTATTCTCATCAGCCAAAAATGATGAGAATTGGCGATATAATCTATACATATCTATACAACGTATGTTGACTACAGAGGTCCCAAAACGAAACGAAACATCACCTGGAGATATGATCTTGTGTATATATTTATATTATGTATGTATCAATGTATCTTCTTAAATATAAGATCAACATCGGGTTCATAGAATTGCACACTCGGTAAACTATCTAGAAAAGCATGAACATCACCTACCATGGAGGGCCCCAAACATTTTTTCCCCCAACAATGTTTCACCTCCTTCAATTTTAGACATACCAGAAAAACCCTGAACAAAAATTGTGCAAACTTAAGTCCGTCCAAAAAAAAATGGAACAACCAACTCAGAACTAATGATATGGATTGAGGATTTTCCATTAACCAACCATTTAAATTTAGGGGTAGCCCTATGGAACTCTCCATATGCTACTGGGACGGCACCTGCATGCCGCTCTCGTTCAGGCGTTCCTGGGCACCCTCCTTCAACCAGCTGCCGATGGCCTTCCAGGCACCTGGGGTGATAGCTTTCGAGCCCCGAGACGTAGGAAATCGTAGGAGCATGTAGGAACTAGATGGAACTATGGTGAACAAAAAAACAGTTGAAGCGAGCAACAGACTGTAACAGTTGGCTCACCAAATTCGAGTGACGTCAAAATCGCTTGAAATTTAATGTAGGCAACAAACATGAGAATGCCCATCAGGAATATCTGGCGGTGACAGCGGACAAACTTTGGAACTGAACCGACAGAACCAATAAACATGATGAAAATGGCAGATCCAACACCCATACATCCGTGACCACTATCATGGTTAGACACATCATCTGTGTTGTTGTGACATCGACTACAAAAACATCCCGCCGGGTGCGGAATCGCGCGTGTAGGCGCATCACCATTGTCAAAAAATGACAACCCTTTCAGTGTTTCGTAGCTGTCTAAAAGTAAAAATCTTTAAATAAAAATGGTCATTTTTCTTGCGTTTGGCAACCCTTCCACAGGAAATCCGGACCTTTTTTTGCCTTGCCAGTTTCAGTGATCATTGTGCATTTAGACCTGTGCTGTTTTTTTCAACAGGTCAGGACACAACCACCCCATGCTCAGCGTAGCATCAGTGGCGTGTTCAACTTCAACCGAACGTCAACATCCCCACCCCACCCCACCCCACCCCACCCCAGCCCATCCCGCGTTGCCAGTTAGGTGAACATAAGAGTGCAACATGGTGTGTAAGCTCAAAAACATGATGTGAAATTGGGAATGTTGAAAATGTGTGTCACTACACGTACGGTTTTGCACCCGTTAGCAAAAACATGACCAAACTCCCGTCCCCCTCATGGATGTGCATCCCACTTCGCAAGCCGCCTGACGGGGGATCTGGTGGACCCTGGCTCTCCTGGCTCTCCTGGTCGGCCAGAAAGGCACGAGCAAGATCAGCCTCAGGGATGGGAGATCTGTGCTGTGCTCTCTGGTTTGGTTGGGTATATTCCAATCTGGTTGGTGGTTTCAACCCCTCTGAAAAATATGAAAGTCACTTGGGATTATTTTCCCAATATATGGAAAAATAAATTACTTTACTTCGTGTGATCCCCACCATGACATTTATACATTTTCTTACTGGCAAATCTTCTGGCATTCTATCTGACATATCTTCTGACATTCTATTTGGCATTCTATCTGGCATATCTTCTGGCATATGATCTGGCATATCTTCTGGCATATCTTCTGGCATCTATCTGGCAAATCTTCTGGCATTCTATCTGGCATATCTTCTGGCATTCTATCTGACATATCTTCTGGCATTCAATCTGGCATTCTATCTGGCATATCTTCTGGCATATATTCTGACATATCTTCTGGCATTCTATCTGACATATCTTCTGGCATATATTCTGACATATCTTCGGGCATATCTTCTGGCATATCTTCTGGCATATCTTCTGGCATATCTTCTGGCATATCTATCTGGCATATCTTCTGGCATATTTTCTGGCATTCTATCTGGCAAATCTTATGGCATTCTATCTGGCATTCTATCTGGCATATCTTCTGGCATATCTTCTGACATTCTTTCTGACATTCTTCTGGCAATATCTTTCTGGCATATCTCTGACATTCTTTCTGACTTCTTTCTAACTTTCTCTGCACCTTCTTTGTCCCCTATCTTCCTACATGATGTCCGGCAGGGAACACTGGGCGTGGATGGTCGTGGTTGAGGTCCGGCAGGGAACACTGGGCGTGGATGGTCGTGGTTGAGGTCCGGCAGGGAACACTGGGCGAGGATGGTCGTGGTTGAGGTCCTGCAGGGAACATTGGGCGTGGATGGTCGTGGTTGAGGTCCGGCAGGGAACACTGGGCGTGGATGGTCGTGGTTGAGGTCCGGCAGAGAACACTGTGGATCGCGGGTCGCAGTTGAGCAAGGACGACGAGGACGACGAGGACGACGAGGACGAGGAGGACGAGGCAGGAGGAGGCGGAGGAGGAGGAGGAGCAGGAGGAGGAGGAGGAGCAGGAGGAGCAGGAGGAGGAGGAGGCAACTGACATAAAATCTAACAACCCTCACCTGGCAGGTGGGGAAAAATGTTCCAAACCACCAACCAGCAATTGACAGCCCCTGTCGTTTTAAATGGTTTTATCGCATGTTTTTATCTCATAGCAGCTAGACTCACATCATCCAGATTCTACTGGAGTTTGAAAGATTCTGCGGCAAGTGCCTCTGAAAACATAGGACGTAGGATCAAAAGTTTGCGAAAACAACAAACATGAATAAAACTGATCTCAAATCTCAAATGCAAGAGTTGCAGCTCTTTCCTGTCTCAGACTGGGCCAATCTAAATCTAAATCCTTGGTTTCGTGACATTTTGCTAGGAATGTTTCTCAAAATTCGAACAACTTCAAGTGCCTTGACGCACCACAGTGAACTGATATTTTAACCTCACAATGCAGGTTGCCAAAAATTCCTCCTAATTCCTATGAATGGTAATCAATGGTGGCACCCAATGGATGGTTTCGAATTGAAAACCCCTCAAATGGGCTTCCATAGCCATGGGGTAATTACATGTAATTACCCCAATAGCTGGATAACTTATGATGGAAAATCATTCAACAAAACATCTATAAATTCATCTATAAATGGATTTATAGATGGATTTGTTTTCCATCTATACATGGATGGATGATAACTGGGGATACCATGGGGTACCCCTCCAGGGTACCCCATTCACAACCCAAATTCTCCGCAGAACGTTGCCGTCAGGTGGCCGCGGCACTGCGCATCTTGTTGCCTTTGCTGTTCACCGCCAGGCCTCTGGAGGTTGCTAAGCTCCAGAGCGCTTGGACGTAGGCCTGGAGGGCCCCTGGTGGAGGTGAAAATGGGGAAATCCATGGGAAATACAGGAGAAATACATGGGGAAACTTATGGGAAAAATCAGAATCATGATTCGAATCATGTCCAATTATGTGGATTTGTTGCGGATAGGATTAGCTATCACCTTCGTGATTTGCTTGGGGATAAAAATTGATAAAAATTCAATGTGCTGTAGATGATCTGGGATCATAACAGCAAATGAGCTACGTATCTATCTTCCAACCCTTACTGTACTGGTCCCAGGAATTAAAGATAATATATTGATTTATGGCGGCTCATTCCGGGGTCTGAACTGGTCCCATGTGAGCCAAAAAACTAAAGAAGTATCGTCGAATTCCCGAAAAAATCTGAGCAAAGAAGTTCTGTCAGCAGCATCAAACCTCATCTGCCATGTCAACCATGGCTCCTAAATCCCCGCCAACATAGTCTATTTCTTGTGGGTCTGGGTCAGAAATGATGAATCCAAATATGGATTTCACATGTTGGAAGCCCATTTAGTGTGAGGTGTTGTCGGAAGCTCCCCACCCCATCCCACCTGGGTCACCTGTTGCGCTTGGTTCACTTCCAAGTTGAAGGCTGTGGCCTTTCGCCCCAAGCGACAGCGCCGCAAGCGCTGCAACAGCTGCTGACGGTCACCTGGTGATTTCAGTACCTGGTGTTGTTTTTCCATTTTAATGTTTTTTGTCCATGATAGACATAATGTTAATTCATGGTTATTAATGGTTAATGTCTATTAATGGTCTATTGTTGTCGATCGATGACCAGTATACTGTAACTGTCTACGCCAAGCCTACGCCATTGCATGAGGTAGCCTACGCGGGGTATGTTTTTAAGGGGTGCCTACGCGGGCCTACGCGGGCCTACGCGGTGTAGGCTAAAACGAGCCTACGCAACCTACGCCGTCTGCATGGGAGCCTATGCCTCGGGCATAAGCAGTCTTTTGGAGTTCCACTTTATCTAGTTTCCTTCCTAAGTCATGGGGGTACCCCAAATCATCCAAACCATTATATTGTATAGACTATCTTAATCCATTTTAGATCATTTTAGTATTGAAACTTTGGGGATCCCATTTTAAGAAACTCTCCAGTTGAGGTAAACAATTGGATTATAGGTGATTTATGGGACCATTCAAGGGGAGTAATAGTGGTATCAAACCAACCATACTGCGCATATCATGGGGATATGTGCAGCAAATACCATCCGGTGATTTCACATATAGCTATGGTATAGATGGCCCATGATGGCCCAATGATTTCTATGGCTTCAGTGATCCAACTCGGCAATGGGAAAAGCACCAAAAGTTGGTCCACATGTTGCTCAACGAATCTGCGAAACGTCCGGGCCGGGAAAAAAAAGTAACCTACATATACCTACATACCTACATTCTATACAAATCAGAAAACATGGCCCAGGACACCTTGATGTACTTCTGGGTTGAAGCTGTGAACTTCCTTGCGAAAACCTTCAATCAAAGCAGTGCGGAAGGCAGCTGGAGCTGGCTCTTTCAACCTCAGCGAATCGGCAAAATTTGCGGAAGTGGAAGTGGTGGAACATGGTGGACGTGTATATATATATAATAGTTCCATGATGTATGTGTAAATATATATTATATATATATATTGGACTCATGCAACACTTCTTTTGTCACGCTGGACCTGAAGGTTTTCTTGACCATCTGGCTTAGCCAGTATGTCCACAAACTTTCTTTCCATTTTCAGGGCCAAAAGGCATGGACCCTTTTATCTTTCAGAGCTCATTTGCTCCCAAAAGGCATGGGGCAACATGGCTCGAGCCTGCCTGCTGTTCAATTGGCATGAACTCAGGACAGCTCTGAAATAAAAAGTAAAGTCCTGTTCCAGAAAATTCAAATTGCACTTGGCTCTTCCACGGTCCATTTCTCACGGCCGCATGGCTGTTATAAGAGAATTGACAACAAAAAGGAAAAGAAGTTGAGCTTCTCACGGTCGAAAAGTTGTCTCAGGGCATTTAGCAGCAAAAGTCACGAGTCGATCTGTTTTGTTGAATTGATCCGCAGATGCGGAATCTGCGCCAGACCATCTTGTAGGTAGAGGCGGGCCACAGAAAGTGACCGCCATCTACCACGTAATAAAATAACATCCAAAGGAACCCCACATTGTAAGAGGTATGTTGCTCCCCCTCGCCGGAGGCTGTAAGGTCTGAGATTTAAATCAGCAATACGAAAGAATCCCATGTATCGCTTAAGGGTTTCCCGAAAGAACTGGGCCGAATACGGCCACAATTTCTCGCCAGGACATGGTTTCTGCACGGCGACTAAAGTTGCCAGCAGGTTCAACACTAAACTGTCTCGTATTGACACCGCTTCTTGTGTACCAGTGCGCAGGCCAGATTTACTACTATAAAGGCTAATGATCCCACAAGACCTGGATATCTCAAGACCTTTAAACTGGATGGCCAACAGTTCCCCAGTTCGTAGCATGCAGTGAAAACCTAGACCTATCAGGCAAGCAAAAGGAAGGTTTTTCAAGTCAACCGCGCGGCCAATAATAGCCTTTGCAATACAGGTGGTCATAGGAGGGGCTCGTTGAGGTGCTTCAACTCTCCTCCATGAGCGAAACATTCGCCAGCTTTCACGGAGACAACCTTTGATCTCCGGCCAAAAGAAATGTATCCCTGAGAGGGCGTCAGCGATCCAACCAACGGACTCGCCCCGCACCCATTGCATTTCTATCCAATCACAAACAACATGATCCAAATCCTTGAGGTCAGCCTGTTTTTCTAAGAAAGGCAAATACGGGCAACTGCAGTTTCATAACGTAAGCGGGTTTTGTTAGTCACAGTGAAATCACGTAGGCGGATTCCCGCTCGTTGTCTTTGGCGCGCTTTCTGCGTCTTCCCTGCCAGCACTACCCGTGGGATAGTGCGCGGCATTGCCGTTAAAGGCGACTGGCTGCATCGGCGGGATTCTCACTGGATCCCACGTGTCCATGAAGGAGGGTTGAGCCCATGGCTAGTTGTAAGGCACCCATTTTATTGCATATGGGTTGAAGCATTGCGCTTGAAGTTCTTCCCTTGGAGAGTATGTAAAGACAAACCATGCTATCTTCAAGATGAAGCCAACGCTTGTTTATCTTTGAGGTGCACCTTGATTTCCAGAGGAGTGTATTAAGGATCATTTTCATCTCAAGGTAATTGAAATGAGAGCTTGAACCCCATTTAATATTGAATAGTTGCTTCCATTGCCACCACAAGCTTTGACTGACGCATGGCTAGGGGCTTTTTGTCCCATTGCTTCTCCTGTAACAATCCGGACATCACACCCCGTATGATTCACACTCAACCCCAGTTGTTGAACCATCTCTTTCTCGGTAAACTGTACCTCAGTATTTCCCCCATAACATAGCCACCGGCTCATGGGTACCTGTACTTCGGGGTGTGCACTAGACCCAGGTGCCAATCCGAGGCGCTTAACCCTCTGGTCCGGCGTCATGCGTGGCACCATCTCAGAACACATACTGCTGGCCATGATACCAAAAGAAAGAATGGAGAAGCTGTCTCCGCAAAGAGAACATCGGCTATCTTCATATACTTCTTTACTTTTCTTCATGTCTGAGGCGCTCATGCAGGAGGCCGTATGTGCGGGTCCAAAACCCAAAAGTAATTCTCTTTCACTGGAATCCAGGAGTCGAGGTTGTTGCCCTTCACAGTGTAGCAAAAATTGAAGTCCAGATTGGTACGGCGGGTACCTGTAATGGTCTGATGCCCATCGCGCACGTGTATCAGCGCTGGCTCTCCTCAGCCCCGCCGGCTGCACTGGTGGCTGCACTCGCTTGATGCATTTCATGAAGGTGGCAAAAGTTGTTCCCGGGGCCGCGTCCCAGCGCCAGCCCGGTCTGATCCACTGACAATTATCAATAGGTTCTGCACTGACATAGGCGCGAACATACAGTACTCACGTTCTTTCCAAAGTTCAAAGTTCAATCCCTGTCATTTCGTACAACGGAACCGGGCACCAGGCAAGTCTCGGCCTACTTACTGGCATGCAATCTGCGGGGTCAAGTTTCACTGGCATAATTCCGAGCTCATCAGAAATGGCCATCCTATAGCGTCTTCGTCCATTGACGCTACGTTTTCAACACAGTGCTTTACTTTACAGAAACTGCCAAAAATTTCATGTATCCATTGGAGAATTTCTACTAATTGCCAAAACAGATTTGATCCTTCACCCTCCAAGTTGAGGCGATTAGCGCGTGCTGAGCTGAGGTGCACGCATGGAAAACTGCCAAATACATGTACTTCAGAAACATGCGCAAAAAGATTTGCCCATCGTCGAATCTCGTCTTTCGTAATGTTGTTGACGTCATGAAGTTCAATAACATCAGGCCAGGTGGTCCTCGTCACCCGATTTCCCTGTTTGCTCACATCAACCGCAATCCTTCCCTGTGGGATCACACCCAAGATGTCATAAATTCTAAATGTTCCCCCTATGCCATTGAAAAGTGAAATAAGCAACACGGGGCAGGAAATACCATGAAGACGGGAGTCAGAAAGCCAACCAACTGCCCTGACCATGATAAACCGCGGCTGATTGCTGCTGCTCCCCCAGACTCTGAGGCGTCTGAGCAAGTTACTTGCCCGTCGTATTCCGACGTCAGGTCCCCTTGTAAAAGAGGCCCTAAACATAGGAGTTGCAAAAGCTCTTGATGCAGCTTTCTGATTTGTGTCGCTTGTGGCCATTTGCTTTCAAGACATCGCCATGCTTTTGAAAGAACCCCCATTGCTGCTCTTCTGTATTGTAATATAAAAATCCACCTTCCCAGAATGATCTGTGCTTCTTGCTTGCTCCAAACAGGGTTCAACAAATGATACATAGTGGCCAAGCTGAGCTTGTTTTAAAGATACGATCTGATGAAGCTCCTACAAGACCATTAATTCCGTCAATCCTTACCCCCAATTCCACAACAGATTTACTCCCCAGAACTTGCTTATCTTCCGCTGTCAAAATTCCAGTTGAATGCCATGCCTCCAAAGCTTTCTGCTGTAAAGCCACATTGTGGGAGAACTCTCCCTCAGCTCCGACCTCCCCAGATAGGAAGTTGTCCAGGTACACTTGCCACCACGCTCGGCTCTCGGTAGCCGCGCTTGCGGCCTGAGTGAACCAGGGTGGCGGCTTGACTCCCCTTCTTATCTCTCTATCTTCAGGCAACCCCCTCGATAAAAGGACTTCTCGGGATATAGCTTGCATAATACCTACTGATGAACTCCATCCCATTGGCAGGACACGACATGTTGGCCTATAAAGTTTGAAAGCAGCGTCGCCTGTAAACCCCAGTTGATGACCCTTAACTGAAAAATTGAAACACATGTACTTCTGCCACTGCACCGGCAATTCAAAGAGGTAAAAAGCAGCTGACATATCGGCCTGTGACATGGTGATCTGATCTCCCGATTGTAGAAAAATGGGTAACCACTGTGTTGCACTGGGCAGATAATTAATATCACCCCGCAACACTTGGAACAACCCATTTAGAGGTATAAGATTCATTATAACTCTTAACACCGGACGTTTATTTATCGTATACTTGTTTGGTTTGACGACTCCAAAAAGACCCGATAAATAAGTCCCACGTTTGTCGGTGTACGCAACGTCTGCAGGCACCCAAGAAATGATACCCCTTTCTTCCATCAGTCTAAAAACATCCATCTCTTGTCCTCTACAGATATGTACTTTTGCTGAAACTGCACAGGCTCCTCTTTCGTGCTCAGGTAATAATGATTCTTTAGGGTGCTCCAGCAAAAAACGAGTTCTTCCCTTCAAAAAAGGAAGAAGAGGGACAGATCCACCATGCCCCTTAGGGGGTAGGCCCCCTTCAATTTGTTCTGCACTCAGCGGATGAGGCTGAGAAATCTCTTCCCCCGTATAAGAAACTTTCTTTTCTTTCAAATCCCTAACCACATCATCAAAACAAATTTCGGGGGCAGGCGCTCCTAAAAGAAACCGCCTCACTTTCTCTTTCAAACCCTCAAGCACGGCTGCATGAATTTTTCCAGGCTGTCTAGTCCAGCCCTCGTTGGGGTAGCCGTACAGAGCGTTCATAGCCGCGCAGCCTAAAGCAACCCAAGCAGCTGTTCCAAGCTCCATACTATAGCCAGTCCCTTGACTGGCATTCACCCAAGGCATATTGGCTGGTATGACAAGTGGCAGGGGGAACAGCCCGCCGCGGCGATGCCCAGCGGGCCGTGGAGGTCCAGCGCGGTGATCAAACTGTGTGATCCAACCAGCTTTCAGCCCCCATGCCATCTTGACTCCCAGCTCAATCATGCTCTTGACTGCACAGGGCTGCTTCAGCCACTCAAGTCGCGTCGAGGGTGCTGCGCCGCCAGCTCCTAAAGGGAGCACGGCTGGTACAGGCCTCCCCACTGCGAACTCTGGATTATTCCCATCACGGGAATCCAGCACAGACGATGTCGACCCCAACAACGGGCCGTCACCCAGCTGGGACATGCACTGCTGTACCTTGGGACTTTCTTCCCGGCTTGCTCTCTCCAGCACTGAGCTTGTAGTGCAAGGAGGAGTCATCAAGTCTCCCCCTCGCCCTTCTTCGCCTTCTCTCCTCCTTTTTCTCTGCTCTTCGGGCTCCAGTTGTTCCAACCTCCTTTGCCTTTTCCTTTTCCTTTGCCCTTCTTGCCTTTGCCTTTCTCATCCTTGAACTTGTTCTTTCCCTTGACGTCGCCGCCCCAATCTCCTCGTTCCACCTGTCTGGCGTGCTTTTGAGCACTCAGGAGTGCGTGCTGGGGCACACTCCCCGTGTCCTCCTCGCAGAAGACTTCCAGATGCCTGGCCATCGCCCAGCCTTGTCGCGTCGACATGTCCACCGCCAGCAGACGTGCTGACAGCACGTCCGCGAGTTCGGGCAAACGGCCTTCTCGAAGCACCTCGCCAGCATTGCCAGTTCTTTTGCATCGCGGCTTTTGCATTTGGCTTCAGGATCAGCTGATAGTACGTTCCTATCTTCGGCCTCTGTCCTCTTTGCCCTAGCTGCTCGTAATCCTCCTCCAAAATCCCGTCGGCTGAGAGCTGTTCTATGGCTTGCTCTTCCAACATCTGAAAGACTGAGCCCGGCGTCTTCCTGGACTTTTTCTTCAGCGGGGCCATCATTGATCCCTCGCTCGAAGAGCTGTCCCTGCTCGAGCCCTCTCCGCTCTCAGATTCCGAGCTGTGCCTCCTTTTCTTTCTCCTTCTACTTGACCTCGAGCGGCTCCTGCTCTTCTTTTTCTTCTCCTTGTGGCTTTGCGCCGAGCTCGAGCTGCTTTCAGGAGCGAATCGGCCATTGTCTTCTTCTTCTGCTTGCTCTTCTTGTTGGCCTCGGATGCAGTGTCGCTGAGTATTTCTTCCACTTCCTTCTTCACCAAGGGGACCACTGACTGACGCAGAGGGTGATTTGGGGCGCGCGCCAAACCTGCCAGCCCCACCCTCCATGCGGGGTTCGTCTTCCCGTTGACGTCCTAGCCTCACCGCAGATGCGGAAAAAGAGACTCTCTCCGGAACCCGCTTTCGCAGGGCCGATAGCCGAGTTTCCACCTCGCTCTCGCCACCATGTGCTTCCTTCCTTTTCTCGTCTGCGGGATCGGTAGTTGTCTTTGCCGCCTTTAACTCCAGGGCCTTTCCATCTGCAACCGCCTTCCTTCCATGAGCGGTCAACCAACTGGCAGTGAGATCTCCGGGGGGATACCAATGAAATTTGGACAGGTGGAGGCCCTCGTGTTCGTCTTGGAAACATTCTTGAGGCTTCCGATGACAAAGGTGTATCTTCCGCTTCTTGCTTTTGAAATAGCCCATCACTTTCTTTTTCTCCTCCTCGGTGCTGGCCCCTATGCCCTTTACTGTCAGCCAGATGCCTTCCTGCAGTGACTCGGTTTCCAAAACCAGCACAGCGGCATCGGGGACATCGGGGACATCTGGGCCTTCTCCCTGGGAAGGATCCTTGAACACCAAGGTGGATCCTGGCGGCACATGTCTACTGTCTCCTTCTCCAGAACTCTGCCTCGGACAGGTCGTAAAACTTGGGTTCCTTGGGAACTGGTGCGGCTGCCAGGCTCTCTCTGATATCTGAAGGTGAGGGAAAGTATTCCACTTCCTCTTGCCATCCGCCAGGGGGATCAGGGGGAATGACATTCCCTCCGGACCGCCTAGGGCCCTTAGGCCCGGCGTTCCAACCCCTCACGGAAGTCACCTGCCAAGTCCAGCTTGTGGCTGTCTAGACGGCGGTGACTCTTCCTAAAGGGATCCTCTGCGTCCCTGCACCTCCCCTGATGTTTCTTTCCTCCTCGTCGCTTCTTTCCTCTCTTTTCTCCGTGCTGTCGATGAGAATCTCGTGGTGGATACCGAGGCTCAGGGGGCCTGTGGCTCCCCCTTCTCTCTCTTTCCTTATCCTTTTCTTCTACCTTCACTGGGGCGTCTCGTGCCTGATCTTCTTCTTCTTCACTCTCCTCACCTTCTGAATAAAGGCTTTCCGGGCTAGGTTCTCGCTCTCCTCTACGTGGGGGTGCTGGCGGTGGAGGCGCACGAGGGATAGGTGGGCGCTCGTCCCTGGGGCTCCTTGACCTCGGACGCTCGGCCTTGCTCTTGGCTGCCGTCAAGAGGGCGCGACCCTCAGCGGAGCCTGAGCTAGATGCCAGCGAGGAGTCCAGGTTATACAAAGCTCGCACAAAACATGCTCCAGACAGCGCCGCCTCCTCGGCCAATCCACGCAACCCAGGCAATCCCCACTTCTTTTTCAGGAAATCCTGGCTTACTTCCAAAGAAGAACAGCCAAGACACCAAGAGTCCCCTGCAGGTTGTGTCCCTGAGCGACACTTGTTGCAAGGGGCCGCAGGCATTAAGAACTAAACTGAAGAGCCTAAAAGCGGAACAGGACAAAAAGGTGTGATGATTCGTCCAAAATGTCGATGCGACAGCTAATATATATTCATACACTTATGTATATAAAATAAATTAAAGTCATATCATATATAATTGAAAACATATGTATACATATATATATATACATAGTCATACATTTTACATGTATTAAACTCGAATGTACTTGTCCAAAAAGAGTCCTTGGGACCCCAGGTGTTCGCCAGTCATAATTCCTTGGAGCCATGCTTCCCCGTCCTGGTTGGGGTCCCCATCAGCTCGAGAAAATAGGAACCACGCAAATCTGAACTGTTTTATCCTGGAATGTCTGGAATGTCTGAGGAATTTTCACAATTATTGTATAATTTGATTATAATTTATAGTATTAGTGTATATTCTTCTCAGGTTTAACGGTTCCATCCCCTCCATTCCCTTGGTTTTTAACCCCCCCAAAAGGGCCAAGGCTTTGCCGGGCTGCATGTGGATGGCTTCTTCCGCCAGACATGTCTTCTCCTTGGAGGCTCGTTGAGATTGGTACCGAACCTGACACGGCGGGGATTCGGAGGTGCTGAAAGGAATGAAGCGGGGTCCTGCACCAGCGAAACATGTATATATATATATATATGTTTTCTTGGAAAAGCACAAAACATCACAAAATTGTTCTTCATATATTTCTTCAATATATCTAGATTGAAAACATGATGAAGCATACGTAATGTATAATCATATGACATACACATGTGAGACTGATCTAAAAAATGGGGATTATACATCACTCATGTTACTCGCTCAAGGACTCTCGTTAACTTCAAGGAAATAATTGTCCATTTTTCTCATCACTTCCAACCTTTGTTGGGTACCAGGTACCTTACATTCACCCCCCCAGACTCTGACAATACCAGGGCTAAGGGTCAAAAATTGGCTGCAGTATTGAATGGTTTACGAAGCTTACGAGAAAAGGAACAGAATCTATACTGTGAATCAACATACATCAGCAAAACCATCAATTGCATTTCAATCTACACCCACAATAAGATTAAAAATTTTGAATCTTATTGACACAGTTTACTATGTTTGACCCATACCCACCCTGCAGTCAACATCGACGGGCCTTTGGCCCCTTGGATCGCAGGAGCGAACTCCTCCAGGCCCCAATGGCAGCGGCTACTGGTCCTGCAACACCTGTGGTGCCATGTTTGGACTTCTTCACCGTCTTCACCCCTTCTGGTTGGGTATATAATTAGTAATTAGTATGAGGTCTCAGTTTCTGAGCCCCAGAAAAACATAGAAAAACATTGAACAAATGAGATCAATTGCCCAAATCCGAACTCACCTAAGTCACCTATGGAAGATGTAGTACATCTCACAAATTGGATGTTGTCTCGTCTCCCCTTTAGCAACTGGTGGATTACATCGCACCTCCATAGAGCGTGGACGTGCCAGGCATGCTGCGTCCTCCAAAAATGGGTGACCTCTAAAAATCCATGGGTTTGTTCTGTTTTTCCATGTTTTTCCCTAGTGAGAATTGATGAGAATTGCCTCACGCTGGAAGATTCTAGTCCGCCAACAGATTTTTGTGGCATCTCAAGCTGGAGCAAGGTCCTGTTTTTCTGCCCTGGTAGCGTTTCCAATCCAGCGCTTCTCCTTGTGACACCAGGAAAAAAGTTGGCGAAAACAGAAGTAACGGCGAAACCATGGATTTTGTCATTTGCGTAATGTTCCAACTTGAATTTTGCACCAATGAAGTTGGAGTCATTGGGATACATCATCATGGATTCTCTCACGAGAGAAAAGCAACAGATTCTGAAAAGACCAGTCTGAGATCGATTGATCGAATGCATCGTCAAATCAATTTAGATTGAGGTGTTTGTCCCTGGTCACCAGATCTATTGTCATGGGGTTATGAAGCCACCTGAGGATATGAACCGGTCCTGGTCTAGTCGTCCATCGGTCAGGTGGCAGACCAAGCATCTTGCCAGAAGCCATCCATGCTTCAGAGTTCTTCCCCGGAGGTGGGAGTTCCAAGTTTCGTTAGGTGCAAAAAACATCAATAGGCACAACCACAATTCAACCGAACGCTTCAAATTTTGGCCAACGGCCAACATCCTCTCGTGCTATGCGGGCAACTGAAGTTTTCTCCTCTTGCACATAATTATGTTGCACATATTGGCTCAAAACCTCTTCGCAGCAAGTCGGAAATCAAGAGTGACGCGTCCAGCTTCAATGAACAAAAAGTATAAGCAAGCCGCTAGCCACCTCTGTTGTGGCAAAACATGTTGCAACACAACCTCGGACGACAACTCAACATGTTCCACTACAGTAGCACATCACATCAACATCTCATGTTTTTTTCTTCCGGCCCCATTTCAGCAGTGCAGTGGTTGCTTCCAGCATGGGAGAAATTCAGCACCGGAGCGGCAACTCCAGTTGTATAATAAAACGATTCAAAAGAGATAGCTGATATAGCTCACGTCCGGAAAGGTGCCTTGAGATGATGTTCATCTCACCAAAAGTCCGCAAACATCGCAAACAATTCCAGCATGGTGTGTTGAGGCGCAACCTACTCTATTTACAGAGTCAAAGTAAAGTTCTCACAACAGTTTGGGTTCCGGCCATATTTCTGCTCCCACATGCGGCATTCACATGCGGTCTCTCTTAGTACTATCCACTTTCACATCCTTTTACGATCCTTTCACAGCATTTGTCCAATGGGGGGGTGCTGAATCAACAAAATATGAACTGGACATAGATGACATAGAAATGTCCCTCCCAACAGCATCTCAGGTCGTCCTTCCACGACTGCCAAGAGATTGGCCGCTTACTTCATCGATAGTGATGGAGTGCCACGAGAGAATTCAACAGAAATCATTGTTTTAAACAGTTCAAGCAGTCACAAGAGCCATCCAAAATGGTTTCCAAAGTGGCTGTTACTCAAACATTTTCAAACAAAAGTCTAGGAAATTCATTTCCTATGGCACGCCATGACAGGCTGACCACGTGACTTCGCAGGAAACACTGCTGACAATGCTGGCATCCGTATCACTGAAAGCGTGCCTGACCCATTTCAACTGGGTAGGGCAAGCCATTGGCGCACCAATAAACCCACAAGCCAGGGTCATGTTTAGGATTAAATGGACGAAATATTAATGGGGTTTAATATGGTTTATTGCTGAATGTTGAGTACTACAGTAAATCAGGCCAACAGCCATGATGGAACTATATATCAACTTTGCATTCTATACAAAAACCATAGTACCCCTTCCAGTCAAATCTAAGAACTAAGGGGAAAAATCAGCGAAGTGCCAATATTATCTTGTCGATCAAAATTTGGAATATGCTGAAACAGAGATTAAACTTTGACAGGACAGGTTTACTTGGAACCGTATTGTTAGTTGGACTCGCCACGACCAGTGTCCAATCTTCCCTGGTGAGTGCGTCTCGCAATCAAGAGCCCTGAAGGATCTTGGAAATAGTTTTTGCGTCCCGCTATTAAATTGACAGCATCATTAACCACCGGTGCCCTGTCGTATCAAAAATTACATTGTATTTTTGTCACCCCAATGAGGAAAAAGAGAAACATATAGAAAAATAAGTACCGTCCTTAGTCGTCCTTAGTGGATACACAGATCGGCACTTGTATATCCACCCTTAGAGGATGCATTCGTATGCATTCGATCCGGCATTTGTCATCTTGCATCCGTGCATTCGCCAGTCCCCGGGTGTGTCTCGTCGTCACCAGGTGGTCCAACAATTGTGACCCATACCCCAATTGCGCTTAAACACCACACGTGACGAAAAGCCTGACGTACTGTCAGCCCTTTCAAGATCGACAAAAGTGGTTCCCAACTGACATGTGCACGGCTAGGTCTTCTGATACCAACCATCATTTCAGTTTGCAGCAAGTCGACTTGAGGAAGTTCAAATGTGATATCCCGAACAAACATCCGCCTCCTAAAGTGGGTTCTGAGCATGGTTCTAATTCCGTTCCAACCAGAATCGTTTCAGAACACAAATTATCGTTCGGCACAAGCTGCAATTCGCAACTCGACACCACGGCCCAGCTAAATTTGAGAATGAAAACTTTGGACGGACTGTTGATGCATATGTGGCAAAGAAGGTCACTCTCTTCCCGACAACTAGAACAACAACTACAATTACAACAGCTACAGAACTACAACTACTACAACTACATACAACTACTACTGTTACTACAACGGCTGCTGCTACTAATATGACAAAAAACAATATGTTAGCCATAATCCAAACACATATCACAATAATACACAATGATGCTGATCTAATTCAAAATTCAATCATCATAGTAACAACAACACATGCTACAATGCTATATCAATCTATATCATCAATCTATAAAGACTCAAAACACGCAGTGCAGTTTTGTCTATTCCCAAGGATGCTCAGGGCTGGGAAAATCCGGAAAGGCCTTTTGGAGGCGGAGCATCAAGAGCTGACCTCAGGAATCGGCATAGCTATGCATGGTCAAGAGAAAAGTAAACTTATTATGGACAGCGCCATGATGAACCAGAATCACCATATAATTACCCATATGATTACCATTGGATTCCTTGAATGTATTTTGCCAGGTGGGTATAGTTGAGGAGGCCGAAAAATGCACTCGAAGGAACATTACATGTGTTTTATTCAGGTGCACCAGTCTACGGTCAAGCCACATGTTGGCGGTTTTTCGTCTCAACTCCGCCCATATAACTTACCAAAGGATATGGCCAAAGCTGGGCAAACCATAGGGTCTTGCACTGGCAGCTTGAGGAGTTTTCCTGTTTCATGGGGAAGGGTGTGCGATCCATTTGCCCCTGCTCACAGCTTCCTCTTCTCACTGGTGTCGCAGAATTGGCATGAGCCATCAGCAAGGGCCAAACAATTGGCACACAGCAAAGAAGATCAACGGTTAGTGGTTTCAACATGTTTCAACCTTAACTACTGGTATACTACTGGTATACTACTGGTACTGAAAAATAATCAAAATATGAAAGTGGATTGGGAATCATCAGTCCAGAATGGAAACAAACCGTTGAAACCACCAACCACAGATCAATTTCATGTCTGGATAGGGATTCAGAGCTCTCCCCACCGCGCAACCTCAAGAGCTGGATTCCTTTCTGTCCTGGTGGCAGTTGGGCAAACCAAATTTGGGGCTGCCTCGCCCAATCTGCGCAACACCATCACTACACGCATTGCATATATACATAAACGTGGCCAGAACGGATAAAGACTTCTTGCTGGTTCATCAATGGCTGGCCTACGCGATAATCTGAGACAAAATCGAGGCTGCAAGGATGGCTTGAGTAGTGGAGCGATTGGCTCTGGATTTCTCCAGCTCGCACATGAGCACTGCCCTGCATATCATTAGTTCTTGACGACCTGCTACTGAGCATTGTCCTGTATCCACCAGTCCACGCAGGCAAAACTCCAGAGCATGGGGACCAGACACAGGCTTGGGCCAGCATTGCCACAAGGGAGTACCATATAGAACCCCTCAATGGTTGGCCAGCTGGGCCACTGATTCCAATATTTGCGTGGTTTAGTGCTCCGAAAAATCAGGGGGTGCAAAGCAACGAGAGTGAAAGCATTCCAAGATTATGCATATTCCTATAATTCTCTTGGGGGTGAAACCTCGATTTGTTAAAAGTACATGACTCCAAGTCCCCACATGAAACGACAAGCCACCGGCAGGTCTCATGACGCCACTACTGCGACAGCCTGGCCGAAGATGAAGCATGCCATGTTGCCTTTTGGATCTGAAAGACCTTCAATCATGGTGAGTATAGAAACATCATAAGACAATTAAATTTTGTGTTTATATATGTCTATGTATCTACACTAATTGTAACAAAATGTTCCCCCTAGGCCAAAGGGGGAGGGGGGTGAGGGGGGGGTAGGATTTCTTTTAGTTGTCCCAACCATGCATTTAGGCCACCGCTGTTCATCTCAAACCTTAATCCAAAGCCACGCCAAACCTGTGCCTGCAGAAGCCTATCACTTCTAAAGTGTGGCGAGTCCCGGCTACTTTTCAATAAGTTCCTCTCTTCTCTCCTCCAAACCTTCTCAAACAGCACAACTGACTGCCTTGCTTAAAACCTCTGGTTTTAAGCGAGGCGCTGCTGCAGCTGCCCGTCCATTTTTTGTGATTTTGGAGGTTTTGGGAGGACAGGCTCAGAGGAGTGGAAGGAGAGGAGACGAGAGGAAAGGAAAAGGAGGGGTAGTTGAAAATCAGTGAAAATCAGACCAACCAAAAAAAGAAAGAAATCCAAAAAGCAGTTGCGAAACGAGTCTCGCCCCTCCGATTTCAAAATTTTAAGGGAGTAATTCGGAATAATTTAAAATGCAACAAAATTCGTGAATGTTGCGCTATATATATATATTACATACACATGCACCTATATTTGGACAAATGGTAGGGAAATCATTCCATCAACCAGTTGGTTATTTTTGACAATTCAGAATGTGGAGCCTGTAGCTGTCCCCAGAGATTTCATGCTAGTCATTCAAAAAAAAAACATGGCATCAAGATGTTGGGGATCTACAAATTCAACCCCAAAAACAATGAAACAACTATAAAAGTGTAAAGCCATTTCTTCCATAGAACATGGATATATATATATATATATATATTATGTTTTTTCCCAGTTTAGGTAATCTTCATCATCAGCATAATTGTTCCAGCCAGTTTTCCCATGGATTTTAGACAATTTCCCCCCACGCCTGGCGATGGATGGTGGTTCCCGCCCCTGCGTCGCCGATCAGCGCTGGACCCACCAGCGGCATGGATTGAGGCGCCTTAGTAAACGAAGGCCCCAGGGCCCCAGAGCTGGGCTTCTCACCACCTGGGAACCTAGGCCTGGACTTTTATATATGATAGGTATAACCATGGTATAACTTAAGTGTATAACCATGATAGGTAAATGACCATGATTAATATATGATAAGTGACCGTTTATATTTATGATAACGATATAGTTAAGCATGATAGGTACCA